ATCCCATTCACACATTCTAAGCTAAGCAAATGCTCTTCTCAGTGAGTCCCTGAAGAATAAGCTGCAGATAACCTTGTGTTTAGCTTTATCCCCCAGGGACAGCTAATCAACAGTGAAAGCAAGCAGGCTTGCAAGGGGCAGGAACAAGCTTAGTCTAGTTTCCTTTAAATGGGTTTACAATTTCAGCTCATCTCATTCTCAGGCTTCATAAAAAGAAGCAAATGACATTAAGAAACCAGACGAATAGTATCCCTGGTTGCTTTCAAGTCATACCCTACCATTGCTTCCCTGAAAGTTTTATGAGTAGTGATTTATCAAATTATTGAACTGATAACCCAGCTATCTGACTGTACTGTGTTTCTAGGAGTCAGGGCAGTTGGCAGCCTGTCGCCAGCTGCTCAGAGGCGCCTAGAGACACATACACACATATTTTTAATGTCAGTGAATGTTTGAAAGTGCATTCTTTTATTGTCAGGCTACACAATTTTAGAGTGCCTCTCAGAGTTCAAACTTGACACCACAACTGGGAAGGCTAAATATAACTAGAAGTGGAATTCTCAAGTGGGCACGAGAGTCTCAAATGGAGAGTCTCCTCCATTTGCTGAGACTATGGTTTTCATTTCTGTGACCCCAGGCTCTCTGCAATTGCTGTCTTTCATATCCTCCTTTTAGAAGTCAACCATTTTTTATTCCCTCACCTTCTTTCCACCCCTCCATTGTCTGCACTTTTAGCACATTTGAGAGATGTTTTCCAAGAGTATGATACCAGGTCCAGAGACCGAGCTCAAGTGACCCAATTTTGAATCAGATCCAGTATCTCCAGAACTGGATGAAAGGGATTCTACTCTCTTTCCTGTTAAATAGCTTAACTCTATGAATTGTGAATCAATTTTGAGAATAAATTAAATATAGTTATAATATATTATATCAGGCACATATAAATGTAATTTCAAAGTAGGCATAATTTACCCATCTATTCTTCAGTTCATTCACACAGTCACTATTGATGGAGTAACATTTATTTATGTCTGAGGCCTCTACAGGGCCTTAGGATTTAATTAGAATTTAACTTCTGAGTTGACTTAAGTTATAAAATATACTTTAGGACAGCTATGGTATGTTCCAGGAACTAATCTTCTTTACCTTTAATAGATTCTTAAAGGATGGAAAGTGGTAATATTTCAAGCTGATCTTCTTCAGTAGATAAAAGATTGAGCATAGAGAGATCAGGGTTTTTTTTTTGTTTTTTTGTTTTTTTTTTGAAAGCTCCAACACAGGCAGTGGGATGATGAGTCACCTGCATCCTGAGGACCTGAATCCTGGCACACAGCTCTTCCCCTTTGGCCACACTCCTGCCTTTGTTGACCTGTGATTCATTCTGTCCTTGACAGACATGTGTTTTTGTATTCATGCCTTTCCCTCACAGCACCCCCCCCACCCCCCCGGCCCTGACTTTGCCCCGAATGCTGCCTGACTCTTCTCCCCACGACTAACAAGCCAGGTGAAGGAAGACGGATAGTGGCCTCCATCTTTGGCATATTTGCTGGGATCAGCAGGAGGCAGGGAGCTTAAAGATGTGCTTCTGGCCACCGAGGTCCCTGATGCAGCTTTTTTCTCCAGGGACAGGGATTTGTCTCCTTGGATTGCAGGGACTCCTAATTGTCTCTTGGGCTATTCATTGATTCCAATGCCCAAAAACCTTATTGGGCCAGGTTTAGCGTTGTATACTAGAATTGTGCTGAAGTGGTACAAAATGAATTGTCTGAGGGCAGGGGTGGGTGAGAGCTAGGGAGATAGCTGAGTAGATAAAGGGCTTGCTATGCAAGCATGAGGCCTGGAGCTTGGGACCTAATGCTGTTATCGAAGCTGGCCCGACAAGGTGACTCACCTGTAACCACAGCCCTTGGGAAGTGGAGACGGATTCTAAAACAAACTGGCTAGCTATACTAGTTACACTGGAAAGCTATGGGTCATTCGAGAGACCTTGCCTGGATGTATAAGGTAAAGAATGACTGAAGCAGAGTCCAGCCTCATCTCTTGGGCCTCCTTATGCACACACATGTGGATATACATCATTCGTGCATACTATACACACATACACATAAACTACTAAAAAAGGAAAAAAGAAAAATGAAATTACAATGGTACTGAAAGTCCACACCTAGCTCTGTGTCTAGAAGATCTGTGTATAACATAATGAGTAGTCATGAAAGACTCATAACATCATGAAAGACTCAGCAAAACACTTGGGCATGAGGTCAGTATAGTAAGGAATGGAGGCAAGAGCTGTAAAAACATGTGTTCAAAGATGAAGTGTTTCATTCATAACATGTGCAAGTTGGACACAGCCGAAGGGAGCCCTTCTAGCAAAGGAGAGGCTAAAACTAAAGCTATCAGAAATTATTAGAAAAAGCAGAGTGCTTTTAATGTCAGTTCTGTCCTGTAGAGCTGACACACATCATCCAAACCCCCAGAAACAGTGAGATCTTAGGCCATGGGTGGTCTGATAAAGGATGAACACTTGGTCCAGGAAAGCGCTCATCTTCCTAGATCATTTCATTTCCTGGATCCTGGAAAGCTTGGTACAATCATTTCTCTGACTTCCCTTCTTTCAGGACCAGTCACCCATGTTGTGTTGACATTCATGGGAAATCTGAGAAAATTTTATGTCGTGGTTGGGTGCCAGGCCCTGGTATTGGCTTTGCTTTCACCTATCCCTACACTTGAGCAATAATTCCACAAAAGAAAGGAAACTCAACTTCACCATCTATTTACTTAACTATGGATAGTTCCCCCAAATTCTCTCCATCAGTGAGAAGGACAAATGTAGCAGATGCACAGGGAGATGCTGCACTGTCACGTAAGCACAGAAGCTGATTTTACTGGTTTGAAAAATTAAAGTGGATGTGCATAAATTATCATCAACTGTATAATCAACAGCAAAGCTGCAAAAGCTGTACTTAGGGAATCTGAGATCAAACTAAACAGAAATGTCAAGGACTACAGTGTTTATCCAGGGAAGGTGTTGTTCAGGCAGATTGATAGCCTTGGAAATGAGCAGCCAGTCTGGTCTACAGAGTAGCTCTCTCCTTACAGAAAAGATGGGGTGGTGTAAATGCATGAGGTGAAAGAGAAAGGTGCATGCGATTAACCAAGGCTGACCTTTCACTTCTTAAGTCTGTAAGGAAAAGATTCTAGAAACCCTAGAACTGCGATGGCATTTGTAACTCCTTCTCCTCCCCACACAGAACAACAAAGAAAGCTGTAAGTTATTTAGACTGGCCAGTACACTTAGTTGTGTGAGCTAAAAAGCTTTGTAAGACCCAATTAAAAATTATAATACTCGAGTTCCCACTGAAAAGTACAATTAATAGTTAAATTATTTCTTGAATGTCTTCAAGTGGACAATGGCATTGACACAGATGGGAAAGTGGTAACATGTTTTACAGGAAGCACAGTGCAGCCCAATACATGCGATCCTTCATGCAAAATTAGTGTCCAAAGGAAAGTGGGGTTTTCTTTTCAAATAGCCTGCAGCGTCTCACATACCGCTTCACCCATACCATTCTAGTGAGGCCACATTCTGTGTCCTGGGAGACTTGCTTTCAGGTTATTGCCATGACAGCTGAAAAGGGTAAGTGGCAAAGTGCCTTTCTGATACAACTGTCACAACGCCTGCCCTTGATGGGGAGCTTCAAATTATCAGCGTCCGTCTGATAACTCTCTCCAGGAAAGTGCTAATGGGGATGGAGAGATGGCTCTGTAGTCAGGATTTCTTGCTGCTCAGTCACAAGAACCCAAGAGGGAGAGTTTGGAGGCCAGTACCCACATGGTGCAGACCCTGTAACTGCAGCTCCGAGTACCTTCTCAGGCCTCCAAGGACATCTGCACATGCATGTGCATATATAATCATACAGACATGTGCGTATGGATACACTCATATAAATAAATAAATTGTTAAAAATAAATTCAGAAAGCAGGACATAGAAAATGTAATGGAGTTTAAAGTATTCTCTGTTTTCATGTCACAGAGATGGAGGTGAATTAGGCCATAGGAAAAGAGAGAACCCTGGAAAAAGGGAGCCCCAGTTATTTACTGAGGCAAAGTCTTCCTATCTTTCTGAATCTTCTCACAAAATGGGATTTGTTTGTGGATCTGTTAGATCTCAGAACATTAATCACATCAATATTCAAGGAAAAATCAAATGCTTCTCAGAGTCAAATAAAAACTATGCTACTTATGCAATTAGTACAAACAGAGAACTGATAATTTTAAATGACTGGCATTTCTGTGCTCATCTTAGGCAGATAATTATCTTTCATGCACAGTGGCAATAAACTGGCCTGTTGTTCTTAGTTTATCCTCACACTCAGCAATCCTGCCATCTCACAATGACTCGGAGACCACCCTCTCCAGCCCAAATGCCTTTTTAACCATCTCTTAGATATCTCTACTTATGTATCTGACCAGCCTACTAGCCTCAAATATGGCAAACTAAATACAGCATTCTTCCTGTGCTCAGAACAAACTTAGGTACCACCTTGGGAGAGTCAGGTGACATCATTTAACAAGTTGCTTTTAAGATCGCATCAACTTGCATTCCCTCATGATGTCCCATCAAGTTCCAAATGCTACATTTCTGATGTATTTGGCCTTCTAAAGACCTTTGGTACTTTGATCCTTTCTTTACCTCTATTCCCACTTGTGCTAGTTAGAGCCTTGGCCATTTCCCATCGGGACCTTTGTCCTAAGTTCCCCTTTCCTTCCTTAGGTGGTTGGGTTCTTGGAGCATTCTTTTTCACAGTCATAAAACCATTACATACATTTTCAAGACTCATTACCACTCTAGGAATAAAGCAACCATTGTCAATGAGGCCTTCTGTGTGGGCTTCCTCCATGTTTAAATGAAAATCAGCTGGGATTAGCTGGTGGGGGAAAATTAAATAAAGCAGAAAAGTAGGGGTAGCAAGAAAAAGACTTTCATGTCTCAAATGCTCACCTATTGTCTCCCAGAAATATATTTCCCAACCTCTTGCTGTTTGAGAAGAATCTGTCTTGAACAGCAGGGTCAGGCTGTTATTGGTGCTCTTCAGATTTTGTGGAATTGTGGAACCACAGAACTTTCCAAGAGACCGATTTCCAATGCTAGGACCATCGAAAACCTCCAGGTAGTCATTGTTGCATAAGTTGGAGGGAACCACATCAAATTGCTTGAACCTGTGAAGTACACCTGGTTATTATTCATGCCCTGTTTTATATGCCCAGTAAATTGTACCTGTAGTTCTTATAACATTTAAAAACACATAAAGCAAAAGACTGTCCACACAGTATTCAAGCTTCACTTGGGAAGAGATCTTATAAACAAGACATTACTGATGTGTTCAAACGTGAAGTCAGTATTTGTTGGGTAACTGCAATATACTAAGAGCTGTGATAGGAGCTGGGGATGTAAAGATGAATAAAATACAGTTCTACATTCCAAGACAATCGAGGCCTAGGTTCAAGTGAGGTCAATTTTTAGAAGAATTTTTTTTATTCTTTCACAATTACATACATACATAATAGACTTTGATCTTATCTCCTCATTATTCTTTCACCTACCTCTCTCCTGCTGAACCCCAGCAATCATCTCACTACTTCCATGGCTTTTTTGATGTGCCCTATAGCATTTAACTAGAGTTGCTTGTGTAAGTATGGCAGGGGGCGGGTGTTACTTCTTGAACAAGGGCAACTTACTAGTGACTACACCTTCAAGGAACATGACTCCTTCCAACATTTCTTCCCATTACCTGCCTCTAGGTCCTAGGATTATTAAAAAGTTGGCCTATGTTATCACCCCAATAACATGCTAGGTTTTTTTAGTCTCACCTAAAGGTAATACTCTTTTGCTTTTTTTCTTGTGTTGTATGATAATTGGCACTGCTGTCTTATTCTTTATTTGTGTGAAGAATGCTAAGACAAATAGAAGAAATTCTGGTTCATATAGCTCGACTATGGTTCTTCCAGTTTCTTGTTTCCATCTTTTAACATGAAGTTTATAGAAACACCAAGTGCAACAATGTGATACAGCCAAATTACTGCATCTGGTACACAGCCTGTCCTCAGTAAAATTAAGTTATGGTTTTAAAAAACAAGAATATGGAATAATTTGGGTTCTTATGAAATATGAAGCAGTGGTAACATAAAATGAACTAAACTCTGCTGTGTCACTGGACTAATCTAACAAGAAATTCACACATCGATCCCTGGGTTGATCACTGGAGGCTCCTGACACAGGCCCTGCCCTGTCTCCCTAGCACTGGGTAGAGATAACTAGATGTTCACACGTAGAAGTCTGGTGGCCATAGGACCTGCCCTGGCTACAGAAATGCCAGCGGAGGGTAAGGCACTACTTGTTTTGATATACAGCCTTTCTGTTGCAGTGGGGATCACAGACACAAACGTAAGAGTGGAGCTCCCATCTGCCCTGGCCACTGAGTGAGCACAGCTGGCCGAGCATCTTGACGGCCATACTGAGACTACTCATACCAAAGAGAAGTCAAGCGCTAAATCAGCGTGCCTCGGGCTGCTGGCCACCACTGCAGCCTTCCTGACAAATTCATCCTGGCTTTCCCTTTGACGGCCTTAGTTAGTATTTTATTCCAGGCCTGTGCTCTGCCAATTCCTTTCTTTTTCTTTCTTTCTTTCTTTCTTTCTTTCTTTCTTTCTTTCTTTCTTTCTTTCTTTCTTTCTTTCTTTCTTTCTTTCTTTCTTTCTTTTTCCTTTCCTTTCTCTCTCTCTCTCTCTCTCTCTCTCTCTCTCTCTCTCTCTCTCTCTCTCTCTCTCTTTCTTTCTCTCTTTCTTTCTTTGTTTCATTTTGTTTTTTGTTTTTGAGATAGGGTCCTGAGACTTTTGATGTAGACCAGGCTGGCCTTAAACTCACAGAAATCAGCCTGCCTCTGCCTCCCAAGTGCTTTTAAGTAACTATTCCTAGATACCCCCAAAAGGAAGACTTCATAGGTGCTTTAACTTAGACCCATATGACAGGCTTAGTTCTGTTCTCTCAATAATTTTTGTTAACAGATTTAATGAACAATATGATAATATGGAATAATTCTGAAATACCAAATAGCTAAATATTTCCTTTTTATGAGCATTAAAATAAACCCAAGTCTTTCCCTAAAGGATGTTGGCTAGTCAGATGAATGTTTTTGAGGATCCAGGCAAAAAAATTCTTGATCCGTTGCATAAAATCCAACATATACTGTTGTCTTTAAAGAATATTATGTCAGAACAATAGGAAGACCATTTCCAATGACATTTTTATTTATTTTTAATTGTTATTTTTGACATATTTGAGTTGATTCTTTATAGACAACATATTTGTTCTTACAAAAGAGGAATCTAAAAAGAATGACCAAATCTGAGTTTTCAGGGGCACTCAAATCTGTCACGACTTCCCCCAAACAGCACAGAAAATGCTGAGAAAAACTCCTTTTCCCGTGTGTGTCCAGCACATTTTCAGAGCCTGTGTAGAAGGCTCTTTTTACTAGTATGTACACCTTCACAATCCCTGTAACAGTATCTGTCCCATAGAATAAAGGCTACGAGATGTATACTGTGAATACCTTTCCAAAATGTGGAAGGACCTGTGACTGTGGATCTCCAGAGTCAGGCAGGAAATGTAAACATGTATGTATGTTTTATATACATGTTATGTCTTGTCAGTGATGATCTGGATATTTCTCCTCCAAATTCCTATGTTAAAATCTTAACTCTAGGTGGACAATGTTATTAAGTAAGGGCTCTCAGAGTTGATTGGGTTGTGAGAGTACAGTCTTTGTGAATGGAATTGGTGTTCTTATGAATGAGTTCTGAGAATGCCCTCGCACCCTTCACCGCTGAAGGACAAGTCTGGTACAGCTAGGAGGTATTTTCTTCTATGAACCAGAAAGTGCATGACCATCTGATGCTGAAACTGCCTATCTTGAACCCCTCAGACTCTAAAACTATGAGAATTTTTGCTGTATATAAGTCATTTATCTCATGGCACATTGTTACAGCAGCTTGTACATCCTATACATGTAAGAAGCAAACACTACCACAAGCAGCCTAGACAAGCTGTGCCTGGACTTTCATTCTGGGATGGTCAATCCCTTCTCTGGCCTCTCCCTCCTAGTAGTTTGTCAGCTTTTGTTCTAAGACTTGCAGGACCTTTATCCCTAGGACACATTTTCTTCACAAATAATCTCAGGCAGGATTGACATACAGTGTCCTTCAAAGTCCCACGTATAAATCACTTTCTTCTTGAGCTAAATCAATTTGATGAGTCCTGCCTTACACTTCATGAACCCAATGGACACAAAGTGCTGAAAGTGAACTTTGGAGTTCATAATCATCAGGAAGGAACCTATCAGTGACAAATAGGAGACAGGTGAGTAGGCATTTGTACCAGTTTGTCAAGCGTCTACGTGGACAACTCTGTATTGTGCACCAACTAGCCTAACATTCAGATTACCTATCACATGCTGAAAATTTCATGTATCAGTGAAATTGAAGAGATGGAAATAAAGCGTCGTAGAAAGAGGTCTCTTACATTCTCCCTCTGGACAATGGAGGCTGCATTCCCTTTATCAGTCTTGCTTGGAATAAGCAGAATTAGAGAGATAACTTAATTGTGATGTAATTTATCACATAAAGCAACAATTTAGAGTGGCTTTGATTCACAAGTAAAAATTAATTTTGTGGGATAAAGTTTATCTTCAAGAGACAAAAAGCAGTAGAATTACTCAGGACATGGGTTTGGGAGGACACTTGATGTAAGTCCAGATTTTCATGCTTCACTTAAATATGTGTTACTTTGGGGAAGCTATGTGACCTTTTGAGACACATATACAAGTATGCTTGCATATTTCTCATGACAGTTTTATCAGTACAGTGTTACAATGTACAGTAACAGGAAAGTGTTGAGCAAAGCTTCTTGTATCTAATAAATGTTGAACAAATGGCAACCATTATTCCTAGCCCTTCGTATCCTCTTAGATGTTAAGGAGGGCTTGTAACTTGACAGCTATTATGTGAAACTCCATTACAAATGGTGAGAAATTGCAAGGATGGTGTTAACAGGTCAAGCTCCTGTTTTAACATCCATCCCCACTGGATTGTGTGGAGGATCAGAGGCCTACTTTGTAGGCTTTGCTGCTACATGGAACCCCTCTGCCTTTCTCTAAATTCCAGCTAGGCCACTGTGAGGACTCCTGCTCTCCATCAGTGAGGTAGCTTTCCTGTGAACAGAGCTGAAGGGATTTTCTTAAGGCAAATTTGTCTCACATACCTAAGTAGAATCAATCTGTTGCTTCTTACGTAGATGCTGTAGACACAGTAGGCATTGTTGGGGTAGTTGGTGTTTGTTTCTAAAGGACTGTTTAAGATCCCAACAGACTGGTTGTAGGTTCCTCCACACCCTGTAACAGAAGACAAGCCAATGTGCAGATGATGATTATGACTCATAACATGGACAAATCTTTTGGGGAATAGTCTAAGGTATTGTTTACTGTTTCCTAAAAGAGTTCATATTGATTGTTCTTCAGATGACCTAAACCTCCTTCAATGTGTTTAGGAATAATGTTGAGTTTCCCAGGCAGGAGAAAAAGGAGAGAAATGAAGAAGACCATTTGAAAGCACATTTTGAAGGGGAATAAGTCTAATTAAAAACAAAAACAAAAACAGAATTAAAGTGACAAGAAAGAATATTTCATATGTTGGGGTATATCTGTACCTTCACCCTAAATTACAGGTTGACAGAGAGATGGTATGGCAAGTGGGTTCTCAAATAAGACAGGCAGAACCCCAGTTGTCTCTGTTCATAGTGGAAGACTGCAATGTAGAAATTCAAATCAACATGGGTTCAGGTCCTCTCTTTTAGGGATACAATGTTATAGGTGAAATGTTGGAAGTCAGTTACCTCTGTGGGTCAAATATCTTACTCTCAGGTTCTACAAATTTGTATTTAGTTGTGAAATTTATAAATTTATATTAGTAAAGTTTATACTTGCCCTAATTTGTATTATTTGTCTTCAATAAGCATGAGAATATTTGACCTACTCCCTACTCTAAGTTCAGCTGTTAACAGCTCATGACCCTTTGTAATACCCACCAGTCAACAATGTAATCACCACAAAAATATAATGATGTTCCATCATAACTAATAAGGTATTGTTTTTATATGAATTGTATCTAGCAAGGATCAGATGTTCCTACCTAATGATGGTATTTCCATGAGCATGTTTATTTGTTTTATGATTCTAAAATTGTACAAAGCTTGTATATTTTGATGATGTTTCTATGGTCACCAATGAATACACTCCACTAACATATCACCAAGATTAGATCCAATTTGTGGCTGTTATTTTAGGCTTTTGTTTATTTGATTTTGCCTCAACTCTGCCCATTTGCAGGGCAAATTCTTCTCTGTGGCAAAAATCTTCATACATTCAGACCTCTGGATATAGCAGTCATAAACTAAAGGTCATCTGGGTAGCAACTGCTTTATTTCACTCAATGCCAATTACACGATCTCTGAAAGCTTATCAGTGGCTGAACAACTTCTCCACACACTACCAAGATCTGAAGCCAGAAGCAACCACATTCTTTAAGTAACTGACACCGAAGGGGGCTTGAACCATGCTCACTATACTTTAGGAAAATAAGGGGCAATAAGTGGAAGAATCTACATCAGGGGCTTAATTCTCCAAAGTCGTGGTTAAGAATAAAACAAATCCTCTTCCTCTTCACCCAAGACCAGGAGAGAATATGTGCTCTAGTTTATTGATGCAATCAGACATAGAAAGCATCACAGAATCGTTCTTTCTAGTTGCCAAGGGTCAGGAGCCAGACGTCAGCTCCTGAGAACAAACCATGAGACTCTTTTCATGAGTAAATACATGTCTTGGTGTTCTCTGTAGATGCGCGGCAGATTTCTTTATTTGAAGAGAAACTACTTTATTTCCTACCATTAGCCATTCATGTGGCCGAGCAAAGACAAAACAAACCCAGGAACAGTTTTCTGGGCTTGTTTCACTGAAGTGGCTGTGCTGGATAACACACTGTTGCCAAGTAAATCTCAATTCTCTGTTTTATTTTCAGAGGGTAACTTTAGCTAAAGTTCAGGGGAAGTGTTTCTTTTTTAAAAATATTTATTTTTTAATTTATGCAAATATTTGTGTGCCTGCTTGTCTGTATGTGCATTACATGTAGATAGTGCCCACAGAGGTCAAAAGAGGGCATTGTGAGCTGTCATGTGAGCACTGGAAACCAAACATAGGTCTTGGAAAGAGCAGCAAGTGCTTTCAGCCACAGAGCCATCTCTACAGTCCCCAATGGTTTATTTCTAAAGAGAAATAACTACTTTTGATTCATGTATCTAATTGATCATTTTTTGACATAATGTCTCTGAATCTTTAAGTTGTTGACTTATGATGAATCATAACAAAATATCCTTATGTGAATTACAGAAGAAAAAAATTCCAAATAATAGCAGTATAGTTACTCACTAGTGACTCTGTAGGAAATCTTGAACCCAAAGTCTGTGGCGTATTCGTTAGAATAAAAGTTGAGCGACACTAGGCCATCCACGGTGAGGGGATACAAGGCCTCAGAACCACATATGGTCACAAGAGGAGTGGAAGAGAGGTTGTGACCTTTGATGATGTGCAAGCCATCGTGATCACAGTCTCCAGTGATGGCTGAGCGATCTACACAGAACACAGAATGACCAACATCAGAGCAGAAATGCTGCAGACAAGTGATGCTATAAACAGACAAAATACCACAATTCTGTGACTGATCCAGAAATCACAACCAAAATTAAGAGATGGTTCTCTATATCAATATGTAACTTCAGTTCCAGATGAAATAATATTTATCCAGGGGACAAAACATGGAAAGAAAAGAGAAAGTAGACAAAACTCCAGAACAAATAAACTCAGCTGTTACTCAGAATTTCCTTCTCTTCAGAGCCATTCTATTTACCCAGGGATTATAAACCAGAGGCAACTTGCCTCCAAAGGGAGATGTGATATCTGAAGACTTTTTTTTTTTTTTTTTGCTGCCATATTGGAGAATGAGATAGAGGCCAGAGAAGCTTTTAAACAGGCTTTAACACACATGGGACACTCTTAGCACTCTTGCCACAAAAACAGAACAGAAAATAAAAAAAGCAAAACCCCCAAAAACCAGGCAGCCCAGATGTCAGCAGTGCTGTCTTTGAGAGAAACTTAGCTAGGTAAAGATAAGAGGGACCATGAGCAGAACATGAGAAGCTCCTTGATGTTTCCTGACAGCCCTTTCCAATATTCATGCAAATGTCAGTTTCAGGGCTTTGGTGATTGTAAATTTGCATCAACATTTTCTTCTAATTTAAAGCAAAGATATGCTTGACCCCTTCCCTTCCTGCAAGACAACATACAGCAGTTTTCAAAGGCATTAAGGAGACTTTTGCTGCTGCCGTGTACTTGTGTTTATAGGTGAGTGTCTACAGCATCATATGTAAGTAGATAGTCCTCTAAAATATTTTACCAATGTATACACTAAGTTCTAATGTAAAAGTTACCATCCCATGCTCAATCAAACTTCTGTGATCAATAAATTCTCTCAACACTATTGTAAAAAAGTATATCCTTGTACACAAATATTTGAACAATTTCTTATTCATTAGAATAAAATTTTAGAGTTTGAGTTATTAGAACTAAGGCAGGAATGTTTTCCAGGTTTCTCCAAAGGCTCTTTGGCGAGGTGTTCCCAGTTGACACTCCCACAGCACTTTAGGATGTGATAGTCTTCCCAAGTCTACATTCTGACCACCCTACAGAGAGAACTGGCAACCAATCCCTATCTCTTCTGCTCTTTGTACTGCAGTCCTAGCCCCATGAGACCCTGTTCTCTGTGTGTGATTTCTTTATTCTGGACTTTTCACACAAATAGAATCATGGAATGCAATCTTTCGTGTTTGGTTTGTTTTACTTGGTCAACCACATGGACTATAGAAATATCTCTAGTTAGCAAAAATGTATAAAATTGTAAAGTCACACAATGCAGGGAAACATTACCAATGCTGGATTTGGTTCTTGGTCCCACATTAGCTCAACATGCCTGCTGGGCATGTATCCTTCCAGATTTGAAGAGGCAGAAGTATCTTGACAGAATTGCAAATTAATTGTAGTTTATAAATAGATGACTTGTGAAAAAAAGATAATTATGACCAAGAGTTGATGAAAACACTCATCCAGTTGAAGGGATTTCTTGTCATGTCTTCATTAAATATCTAGTGTGTTTTATCAGCCACAGCCTGGCTCAAACCAACAACCTTCCTGTTCGTCTACCAACAGCCCTCTCTGTAGAGGTGGGAAGTGAGTAGAGAAAAAGTGCATGTGCTTAGGAACCTCCCTACTGAGGAATCAGGGCTTGGGAGGTGAAGGTCACAGAACATAGATGAAAGCATATCCCATGGTGCTGTTTCATGGAAGCAGCAGAGCAGATCCTAATCTTACCCATCTAATCACTCATTCAATATTAATTGAGTGCCTATTCTGACTCACAGAATTGTTTCTCTCACTAGATAGTTTCCAGTGGATGTCTGATGGTAGGTGTGTATGCTTGCATGCATGTGTGTAGAGTATAAATGCAAATGATAGATTAAAAGCTATGAGCCTGGCCTAACGGCATAGACCTGTAATCCCAGCTACTTGGGAATCTGAGGCATATTGCAAGTCTATAGAGTAAGTTCACGGCCAACTTGAGTAGTTTAGCCAGTCCCTATCTCAAAACAAAAAGTAAAAGTAGGCCTGAAGACTTAGCTCAGTGGCAGATTAATTGCCAAACTTGGTGTATATCGCTCAGTTCAATACTCTGTGCTTGGGGGAAAAAAAGATGCTATGTTAAATATAACAGGTTTCAGATGCATTTTCTTTAACCAATTTTATGTGGTGCCTGTGTATTTAAAGTTATTGTTTTATTTTTTTCCATTCTGGATGCAATATATAAAATGGTACTTTTGTTCTTTAGAAACCAGAAGAAAGCCAGGCCTATGACCTCAGCTTCTCTGCAAACTGAGGCAGGAGTTATAGCCTTGCTTGGTCTACATAAGAGTTCAAGACCAGCTTGGCAGCTTAATGAGACCCTGTTTTACAATAAAGAGTAATGAGTGTGGTTATAGCTTAGCTGTAGGGTGCTTGCTGCACCTGCCCAAAGTTCAGTCCTCAGTACGGAGATAAAAGGGATTTTTTTTATTTGTAATTTTATTTGTATTTACACTATAGTTTAGAACATGTTTATGATTGTCATCAAGTGGTGGTTTTAGACCACTCTGCCTACATCTCTCTCTATAATAGCTTAATTATTTTTTGTTTGCTTGAAATAAATTGAATCTTTGGCTGTTATCAAAAAACAAGAGATGAGTAATGGTGAATATGTGGGTATTTAAGCTGGTGTAGCCATTATGAAAAAGAGGGCCCTCAAAAAGTTAAAAATAGACCTATACTTTTCAGCAACTCCACTCCTGGGCATACACCCAGAGGAAATGAAGTCAGTGTCATGAAGACCGATCTATTCTTCCATGTTTGTTGCAGAATTATTCATAGTAGCCAAGACATGAAATCAACTCAAGAGTTCTTTGCCTGATGAATAAAGAGAATGACACACAGAGACAGACAGATGAATAAGCACAATGGGATACTATTCTGTCTTTGTGAAGAAGGAAATACTGTAGTTTGTGGCAATATGAATAAATTTCAAGGCATTATGCTAAATGAAAAAAACAATATACAGCAAAAATGAATCACACACAATCTCATTTCTCTGTGAAATCTAAAACAGCTGAGCTTGGAGACTAGAACAGTGTGCAAGGATGGGGAGACGTCCATCAAAGATCACAATACTTAACCTTATTTTTGCAAAAGGAATAAATTCAGAAAATCTTCTGTACAACATGGGATTATAATTAATAATGATGCATTATCTACTTGAGCATTGCTAAAAGAATAGACTCTAGATGTTCTCACAATCAAAAATTTGTATGTTAGTAGATATTTTAACTCGCCTGACATAGCCATACTGCCAGCCATCCTTATATCAAAACCTTTATCAAAGCCCTTTATCATTTGTCAGTTAAAATTAATTAATTTTTGGGAAGGAACAAACATACCTTCTAAATGGAAGGACACAAAGGTCAGGATGACCAAAGACTGAGGTTCAACGTCTATGAAGTAGGTGCAGTTCATGTTGTTGTCGTATTGCTTTGGGAAGTTTGGAGAGATGATGTCACCTCTGGAGCCATTGAACCTACGTCCACATCCTACACAAGAATAAAAAACCAACATCAAGACATTTGTTATCATCTGTAGCAGCTATTTCATAAAGAGAAAGATGTAAGACCCCATTTCATGAAGTCTCTACAGAAAATATCTTGAGACACTCCAAATGAAAGGAGAGGACCAAGAGAATGACTCTTTGATTTATAAGTCAACATGCGTGCAAAATAAAAACTTATGAGAATATCATGAGGAATTTTAGATGCTACATAGTAGATACTTTGCCATACAATACACTTATTTTTAAGCCTTACAATATTTTTAAGAAGATTAACTATCAAAGATTAAATATCATTCATGTAAGAGACAAAACATCTGAAAGTGAATTGGAGGCCTGGGGAAATGACTCAGCCTGTACAGTGACTGCCTTGCAAGCATGAGGAGCTGAGCTCAGTATTAGAATCCAGGCGGAAACAGAGCCAGGCTTCATGGTGCACCCTGGGAATTCCAGCCTTGGGGAGAGAGAGTGAGGAAGACCCCTGGGGCTTGGCTGAACAGCCAGTCCAGCCTAGGTAGTGAGTTACAGGCCAATTCAAGATTCTCCTCAACAAAACAAAACAAAGAAGGTGGACAGCACCTGAGGAATACCCAAGGCTTCCATATGCACTCACTTATACACATACACACCTGCACACACATGCGCAAACACACACATACAGTGTGATTTATCTCTGAAAATTACTTTATATTTTATTTGAAAAGTATTATAGTAGTCACCTAAAGAGTTTATAAAGTGTTTTCTAAATGTCTTATTAGAAAACTGTTCCTTATTTTTAAATCTAATCACAATAACAATGATAGCTGCTTTTAAAAGCTAGTTTAGTCTACTAGTCATGAAATTTATCAGATTTTTGCATGAATCCTGGGTGCAGGAAATACAGATACAGAAGGTGGGTGCGGTAATACACACCAGTACTCCCATCTACTCTGGAAGCAGAGGAAGGAGTATAAGTCCAAGGCAAGCCTGGGCTGCACTGGAGCTTCAGGGCTAGCTTAGACAACTTAGCTAGACATGTGTCAAAACTTCAGAAGTGGAGAGGAAAGGGTTGGAAACATGGAAACTAAAGTGGTGCTTCCCTGGCATATGAAAAGCCCTAGGTTCAACCACATTATTGCAGAGACTAATACATTTGCATCACTAATGCAACATTTGTTTTCGTTTATCTCTAGCTAATGTATGTCACCCTCTGACTGGTAAATTATGACAACGTATACAGCCTTTTACACTGAATCTCTCTCTCTCTCTCTCTCTCTCTCTCTCTCTCTCTCTCTCTCTCTCTCTCACACACACACACACACACACACACACACACACACACACACACACACACACGTGCACAGGTCATCTGAACACCAAGGCTACTTCAGAAGTTGGCCATCATTACTCCCTTTCCATCACCCTTGTTCTTTTGCTCAAATCTGAAATATCTGTTTGCTGCATTATTCCCTCCGATTCTTTCCCCCAAGCTTTTCCTTAAACAACGCTTTGCAAATAGTGGCCACCTGATTTAATTCAGCCAAATGCACAGGCCACAGCATCTCAAGCTTCAAAACTGCTACAATTCCCACAAACCTAATTCGTGCTCAGCAGTCAGCGTAGTGGAACCTTTTGTGCATACCCAGTTGACTTGCTCTCAAATTCAGCTTCGATAGCACTGTATCTTTTTTTTCCCCTCCAAACTTGTTTCAAACTCCAGTTCTTCCTGGCTTTGCCTTCTTTGGAATACAGGCACGTACAGCCATGCCTGAGTCTCACTGACTTTCGAAGGAAGGGTGTTCCTACAGAATTAGGTGGCTCACTCATGTTCCTTCCCAGGATCCTTACAGGGCCACTCTTGATGGGCCTCTCCCACTGTTCCCCAAGCCTGTCTGAGGTACCTGCCTTTCCTCAAGGGTTTAGATTCCAGTACTACTTACGGCTTATGAAGGACGCAGAGAAGCCCTGGCCTGGCATCTCCTCGGACTGGAAGACAGCAGTGAATATGTTTCCTGATGTGACGATGGGACCGGGAGCCACATCCCCACAGCTTGTGGCTAACAGGGTATCATTGGTCTCCAAAGTTCCTTCCCAGACCTGTTGGGGGCAAAAACATGACTTAATGCTAACAGTTTTCACCTGCAATATCTTAACAGGTTTAGGTTTAAATATAATTGTATTCAATCTTATGGGGGAAAAAAAAACGTAAGACCAACTCAGTCACATGCAAATCTGAATATTTTCTTTTGAGAATTATTTTTAAAGCTGGTATTTAAGTGGTTTTTTTCATCCTGGTTGCTCTAATGAGGCTGAATTTGGTTTTTGTAGAGCTGAACAGTGAGGTTTTCCTCTGATTGGTCTACCTTAGGTAATCCTGCCTTCTACATGGGCATTTGGCCATGAAGGTAGTCCCATTTGGTCTGGAAGGAAGTGACTAGATAGAGTAAAAGAGCCAAGGATGCTGTGTACAGTCTAAAAGCCTTCTTAGTGGCTGCAGGAATATTCTGATCTCTCTTAATCCCACCCTAGCTGATACAGGTGATTTGTGTTGCCACTTTGGATTTTTGTCAGCTTTGCAATAAATTCATCAATTTTCTTGATTTTCCTATTGCATTCCTATTGTTGTTCATTAATTTCCATTTCCATCATTATTTTCTTGATTATTTGCTTTGACTTTATTAAAAATGTACATGAAAACTTCAGTGATATCAATTTACTTTTAAACAAAGTTTTTGCCATAATCTATATACTTGACTGGTCTTATTCTCTTTGATTACCTTCTGTGTGTTTTTAAAATTCCCTTGAGACTTCTTCTTTGACCCATGGGTTATTTTAAGGTGTTTAGTGCCAGTGTGTTTTATCACACAGTGTGTTTTGTCTTTGTCAAAATCCTCTCTGAATCTTCAGGCCTGGCCAATGACAGTTACAAAAGTTTCCCCTGCCGAGCCCAATGTCCACCTTCCTCATCCAACTTTTCCACAGCCAACATGTTCCAGTCTGTGAAGTGAGTTGCCGTAAGGGTTTCAGGCCCTGACGGCCAAGTACACTCTCATACATAGGTGCATTCGTAGCCCAGGCACCTTTGTGGGGGTGGGGGGTGGGGTAGGGGGGGTGTCTGTTTTTCAGCAGCCCCCAGATGGAGGCCTTCATGGCAACTTTGCCAAGACCTCTTGTGAGGGGAAGGAAGAAAGTTGAGGCGTTTTCCTCCACTAAGTCAGTACTCAGTGTTTTCCGTTTTTGTTTGGGACTCACACAGTTGTGAATCAGTCCTACCTCTGTGCTGACCACTTGACCCTTTCCATGTACTTATCAAAAAGTGAGATGGGAGGAGCCCACACTTTTGCCCTTTTCACCTCTTGATTATGCCATTTCAGGAAGTAATTAAAGACTTGATTTCTCCGTTCACTCTGGCTGTTTTTTTTTTTTTTAGCTGACTGCTTACTCTGATGTGCAGAAGGCCGGCTCTTTTTCTACTATTACTTTGTAGTTTGACTCTATACCATCAGAGAAAATATTCTCTACAGTTTAGTTATTTGATTTACTAAGGTTTCGTTATTTTTATCTCAGTATGTAGTCTACCCTGGCATGTTACAAAGATATTGGAAATGTGTATGCTATTGCTAATGTGTGGTTTCTTTTACATCTGTCAGTTTTATCCAAAGCTTCTCAGTTTCCGAGCTCCCTTGCATCCTGGTGCATTGTCTAACTGGTTGCCCTATGAGCTACTAAGAGCAGAGGGTTGAAATCTTAACCCAACTAAACGGCTATCTTTATAGTTCTACGAAGTTTTGCTTCTCATGTTTCTGGTTCCATTGTTTCAAGAAAGAACATTGAGTCTCATTTCATCTTCCTGGTAGACTGGTTGTTTATTCTCATGTAAGATGTCTCTTTTCTACAGCACTATTTTAAAGCTTTGAATTCCATTTTAGAAGATGTTAATATGGTCATTACTGCTTTTCTTAAAATTAATGTTTCCATGATTTATCATTTTATATCCTTTTCTTTCAACCTACCTATATAGTTGGACTTGAAGTGAGTTTGTTTCCACTTGCATCATGCTTTATCTCTAATAATCTGTCTATTCTAATTGTTGTAACTAGGTTATTTAACACACACACACACACACACACACACACACACACACACACACATACACACACTGTGCCTCCATTTTTCTATTTGCATTTCTTTTTCTTCTTCTACTCCTTGATCCACTGTGTATTTTTTCTCGACTTCCTAGATATCCCATTTTTCATAGGCCTTCATATCCTTTCTTATAATTTTTATCGTTCTAGGTGTTAAAATGTACATAAGTGATTACTGAAGTTTACTCCAACATTCACACTGGGCCATTTTGAGGGGAGTGTGGAAATACAACCTCCACTTAGGTTCCTTTACAACTTTCCATTGTCAGATACCATTATAAACCTTTGTTTAAATTACTAAACATAATTCATAAACATATAGAAGAGTATATTCTAACTGGATGCACACATTTCTGCTCATTTCCTGATCCCTTCTTCTTCATGCTCAAGGTTCCTGTCATACCATTCTATGTAGTTAGTTTAAGTTCCCTTAAACAATCTTTTATGGCAAGTACCTTATGGATGTTTTCTTTTAGCTTCCATTTGTATGGGAATTTATAAATTATACCTTGTACATTATGAGTAGTTTCCAAGATGCCAAATTTATTGTTGACAATTCTTTTATGTCAGTACTTCATTATTTCTTTAACTACTGTCAGTTGAATTGTTGTCTTTCCTTGGTATGAGTGTTGGACATTTTGTTATTGTTCATGGGTCCCTAAGGCTCTGTTCATGGTTTTTTGTTTTTTGTTTTTAGGTCTGTTTTCTCTTTATTGTTTCAGGGGGTGACTTCTGTTGTTCTGTCCTCACATTTACTGATTCTGCTCTCTGTCATTTCCACTGAACTATTGAAATTAAACAGTACATTATTTCTCTTGTATTTTTTTAGTTCTATAATTCTCAGTTAGTTCCTCATTGTAACTGCTCTTTCTTTGTTGAGATTTTCCATAATTCATTTTGCCATGACAATGCTTTAAAGGGAACTTGTCAGTGGTTCCTGAGGAATTTTTATGACAGCAGCATTGACATCCTTGTCACATATGTCCATCATCTGTTTCATCCCAGGGTTGACATAACTTGATTATTTTTCCTCACTCAAGTTGTAATAGTCTTTGTTTCTCTTATGATGGGTTCTTTCTTGTTGTGACATAAACATTTTATCTAATTGTGTTAGTAGGCCCTGAGTCCTTATTTCAGTCTTTTATTTTAGAAGAGTATCACCATGTCTATGTTCAGTACATAGTCTTGCATATATTCTTGGGCTCTGTTTCTAATAGTGATTTGATTTTCTGAGTATCTGCAGCATAATTTTCTCCACCTTGGTTTTCATGGTACTTTTGAATGTTACTAGTATTGTCTTCCTTTTACTTCTTTGAGACAGGATCTCGTGTGGATCAGGCTGTCCTTAAACTCCCTATGTAGCCACGATAAGCTTGACACTCTGGTTGTCCTACCTCTACCTCTTGAATGCTAGGATTACAAGCGTGTAAAGCCACACCTACTCTAGCTTTAGTTAGTGCTTCCCAAGAGTACAGAGAGTCCTTCACCTGGTTTGGCTTCTGTGTATTTCTTCACCAATGGAAAGGGTGAAGTAGGATTTCCCTATTAGTACCTTAGGGTCTTGGGGAGGAGAAATGTCTCTAATTTTGAGAACAAAAGGAGATCTTTTGGATTTTTGACCATTCTGTCCACCTTCGTTATTGTCTCTATGGCAAAGAAAAGAGTCTTTGACTTAAAGACACCACAGACCTTCCCACTCCAGGTAGTTTGCTGTCACTGGGTCCCTTTGCTCATTATTTCCATCTATACAGCAGCATCCTTTGGCAGAAACAAGAGTTTCATAACACAGTTATTACAGTTTTGTCAATGGAAAGTCTCACACTCAGTGAAAGAGAGTGTTTCTTCCCTGACTTATTTTTGATATCATTGGTACCATTTCCTGGTGGCACTGGGCTTGTATGATACTTTCAGAGGGATTTCCATTCTGCCCAGAGGAAGAATGGTCCCACTCGGTTTCCCATTGGATAACTTATAGGACTTCATCCTATGAAAAGAAATCTCTCTTATTTCATAGGAAAAAGCAATTAAGAGAAGTACATATTACTTCCATTTTATTATGTACATATTTTGTAAGTATTAGATTTTCATTTAAATAAGACAAACAGATCGATGTGAAATAAAACATTTTGAGAGATGATATAAAATAATAGCACTGGTTTTTAAAAAGGCATTTCCTTTCATTGGGTGATTCTTATATCCCCACGTACTAGGTAGTTATTATGCTATTATGTCATATTCTAATGTTTAATACAACCCTACTGAACTGGGAATCATTCCCTTCATTTTATAATTAAGTAATTTGAAGCCCAAATATAAATTAAATCATAAAATACATGTGGGTGGTAAGTATGAAAGAAATGAATATATTTCTGGCTAATGGGACTTAGGTCAATGGGTCTTTCCACTAAAAGGCATAGTTTCACAGGGATACAATATGAAGATGCAATATAGCAGAACTAAAGTGAATTTATAATACAGTTGTGGTCATGTCAATGGAAAGTGAAAAGCAATGCCATGTGGGCAGCAAAGCTGCTTTAGAGGAAAGCTGCCTCTCTAACTTCCCGTTCACCATCTTTTTATTCAGGTCTCTCACGGTTGTTTCACCTTATGGACTCTTAATGTCTAGAACAAAGGTTGTCATTGGCTACTTCAGTCTCCTGTAATTTTTATAGCCGGGATTAAATTTTCTTTGTGATGAGGCCTTATGCTGTTTATACTGTCCTTTCTTTTAGGAAAGAAAGACAAAAACAGGAGGAGAGAGGGAGAGAAAAGACAAGGAAGGAGAGAAGAAAAGAGGGAAGGAATGAGGAAAAATGAAAGAGGAAAGGAAAAACCACCCATCAATGCTCATGACAATTTAAGATCAAAGAAAAATCCCCTTAATTTAGTCACTCTGCCCAAACCAGAAAATGGAAGGCTACAAGAGAGATGTACTTGGTGGTTCAAGTCTTATCTTTTAACAGTTGAGGTTTCTTGCTTTCACATCTAAACAATTCAAGCAATACAAATGCACTATTTTCACCTTGAGAAATGCTGAGTTTTCTGTAGCCAAAATGCTTATATTCACAAACCAGTTAAACAAACAAACGCACCAACCTTCACAAAGCTGTTCAGACACTGGCTGTCACTGCTGGGGATGCGGAAATTGCTGTCAAAGCTAATCTCCCAGTGTTTACTGTCATGTGTGATGGCTGTCCAGGAGCATCTGCTGTTCTGGGGGAATGTCTGAGGCCAATGGGGAGATTTGATTGTACCATTATCTGAATGGAATGTTCCACCACAACCTGGAAATTTACCATTAAAAAAAAAATCAATCTCCAAGATAAAATATCAAATTTAGAAACCAAAGATGGCTAGAGAATATTTCTAAATGTGAAATCATAACTCATCTTTTCTTGTGTCTGACTCATCTTTGGGGCAGAGACTAAGCAGGAGCCCATAGATGCAAAGGGCTTTAAATGGAGAGCTGTCACTGTTTTGGTTCACCCACACAACCCAGTTCAGATCACTTGATAGACTCCCATTCCGTCTCCAAAGAAGTCATCTTTTCTACTTTCTTGAGACTGTATAGTAGGTAGATAGCCAGGCCACACTCACTAACAGATGTGAATACAGCTGTATTATTACTGCAGTGAACTAGAGAAATTGGTTTGGAACTGGGGAAAGTCATCCCACTAAGTAACCTGGCTCATTCATATTGAAATTGATTGATTGTTCTAAATAAATCATAGGAATATGAAGAAAGAAAATCTATAATTATTTTCATAACTTTAAAATACATACCTACGATAAACAAAGAAAAGTATGAATTCAGAACAGAGTGAAGTTAAATAAAGGGACATTGCCTGAATCTTCTGCTTTTGAGCCAGTGGTTCATCTGTAACTCCCTGATGACTTCAGGAGCAAGCTAATGGTTTAATGGGGAGCTGGAATCATTCTATAGAGACCTTCATGTTAACAAACTCTGCTACAAAGAACTGTTCTGTGATAGGATTTACAAAAATCCTGATTGTCTAATACAAATATTTATATTTTCTGAGAATTTTCACAAGGTTTATATTTCATGGGAGGTACAATGCTACTTTAAAAAATCAATTCCATTATCTTTTGATTCAGTGTCCATAGCAGCCTTTTCCCCCCTTAAATACAATTTTCATCTGGTCACCTTTATCCTCAAACTCCTCCATCAAACATGGTGTCTCTAGGGACAATATATGTAAACCAAGACTCTTATGATGTATACTCTGTTTAACTTTCTGAAAAGTCTGCCTGTTAGCTGAGAGAGAGAGAGACTGTCTCTTGTCACTATCTCCTGGACAATAAGAATATAGCAACTATATACATTGCATTTATATTATATTATGAATTACAAATAATCTAGAGATAATGTTTTATGGAGGAAACTCATACACTGCACACAAGTACTACATCATTTTGCACAAGAAACTTCAGCACTTATAAATTTGTTTATTGAGGGGAGTCCTGGAGCCAACCCCCTGCAGTAGTAAGGAATGACTATATTTTAAATTAGTTAAGAAAATGTGTCACTGAAAAATAAACGGTAAGTATAGAACAGTTGTTTGGTTTGTTTGTTTTACCTAAAGTGCTTGTGTCCCATGTAGCATAAAATCCACGACTTTGCCCTTGACGGTCTGTGCTAAAAGTCACCACAAGCTTGTTGGAACCAGACTGTACTGGTCCAGGGATTGACCACCCGCAGTACCGTCCTATGATGGGTGATTCAGGGTAGCCACCATTCCTGACAGTAACCGAGTCTGAAGCGCAAGTTGGATGCATCTCAAGATGAAAGTCAGTAAATGTGAGCTACAGAAGAGAAAAGACACGATGAGTCATCCTGAGCTGTAAAGGAGTTCATCCACCAGCAGGTAGACAAGGTTTCTACAGATATTTTCATTTTGTCATAATTTACATAGCTTTGTATTTCTGATTCTTTAGTTATTCTCTCCTCTCCACTCTGTTTCCCTTGTTAAAAGTTCTCTTGTGAATTTAGAAAGAGTATATTTTTTTCCATGAAGTAGCGTCATTTGGGAGAACCCCCGCAACCTGTTAGGCTAGAATGACAGCTCATGTCAATACTGAATTTGCCTCCTTTCTGGAGGCTCAATTAGCTTCTACATACACCTTCTCCTAATTTAAGAAAAGATAATGGTCTTCACTAATCATACCCTGGTAGATAACAATATCTGTACTCTAAACAAAGAATTTTACAGAAAATTTTATCTGATTATAAAACCAAAGCCTACAATAATCACTTATTTACACACACACATACACACAGACAGACACACATAAGGACACACACACCATTTCCATGATCCAGTAACCCAGCTATAAGAACTCACAGTGATGATGTGCCCTTCTGGGGCTTCCAACAGCCATGAACAGTGGGTCCATCTACCATAAACATTTGGATAGTTAGGACTTGAGATCACTCCACTCTCACCTGTCTGTATTCCACCACAATCTGAAATTAGATTTGTAAACCTCTAAATAAAAGAAAAGAAAATACCCACAGAGCTGAAACAAAACTTAATGACAGCCATCATACTTTCTGGTAAAAAATATAATCAGCCAATCAATCAATCAATTAACCAATCAATCAAGAAATAAAAACCTGAACAAGATCAAAGTTAGGGTGGAAGAATAGAAACTAATGAGTTGAATCCCAAATAGTGTGCACCAAACAGAATTCCATAGTACAGACAGCCTCAACTGAGCAGAAAATAGGAGGTTCATGGTAAATGGAGATTAGCTAGCCGTAGGATATAGCTAACAATGTACTATAGACAAATGGAAAGACACTACCTTTCCTGAGAACACCAGACCATGGATATATAGGTAAACCTGAAGAAATGATCTGCCCTATAATCAATTATTGCATCATAACAAGCACTTAGGTTTTAAAGAACAGATTATTGAAGCACGTTAAAAAGATGGTACAGGTCTATAACATCATATGATATGCCATTCAACAGAAGCAACACTGCTTCTCTGTCTGATTCTCCTTTCAATGGGATGAAAAATAACCAATGGATGAAATGTTTGCCCAAGCAGATTATGTTTGGGCTTATTCCCTCCTTTAACCGCACATTTGGTTGTTGTGGAAGAATCTTTTTTTGCACACTGTGAAGATGTGTTTTTGCCAAGGCACCTTCTGATTACTTTAATAAAGAGCTGAATGGCCATTAGCTAGGCAGAAAGAAGTTAAGTGGGACTTCTGGGGACAGAGAGCTCTGGGAAGAAAAAAGGGGAAGTCACCAGTCAGACATTGAGGAAGCAGGATGAGCGGTACAGAGTAAAGGTAAACGAGCCATGTATTTAATAGTAAGTCTTTGTGTCGGGTTTTTTGTTTTTTGTTTTTTTTTTTTTTTTTGAGCTGGCAACCCAAAGAAAAATCCATCTGTATTTGGTTATAACACAAACAATAGTATATAAAACTATAGCAGAACATATGTTGATTCACAGTCAAACTCAACAGAAGGAAAAGTGGGATTATAAAACCTGTCAGCAAGAAGTGGACTCAAACACAGAGGATCAGTGTCAAACAAAAAGTGTGGCAGACTGAGAGGGTCCTCATGGAGACATGGACTTAGGATGGGAATAAAGCTTTTGGAAACAAAGCAGGAAAAGAAAATATGAGTTTAGACTTTCACAAAGGGAAACACTGCCACAAATGTGAAGGATTGCCATGATAGTGAAAGGAAGCAGAAAACAAACAAACAAACAAACAACCTGGAACCAGGGCAAGCGGTTTTGTTGCCCACCTTGGATTGAATTTCTACATATAAACTCTGAATGTCACACATGCAGGTCTAATTATTGCAGAAATATGCAATAATCTCAATAAAACATAAACTGTGACCAGGTAGGATTTATCCTGAAATGTAAGAATGGTTCACAATAGAAAACATGTCAATGTAAATTGGGGAACAAGCTTGGGGGCCAAACCAAACCATAGAAAACAAAATAAAAAGACTATAATTTGAAGAAGACACAGTTGTCTACACAGAGGAACAAAGCCAATCAAAGTATTAAAGCCATAAGACTATTGTAATGTCTCTGGAATAAAGGCAAATATATAAAAACCATAAAACTCTTCTTGGCATCAGTAACAACTAGTTAAAAATTTAACCTGAAAATTTTCACTGAAATTATTAATGAAACTATTGTATACTAAGACATAAATCTTTTAGGCTTACCTGTAAAGGAGTACTCTACATTGAATCCAGTATGTTCTACACGCTCGTTGGTGACAAAGTGTATCCACACCTGGGGGTAGGGGATAACCAAGGGTACTGCTGGTGCTGACAAGCTGCAGAACTTCTCTATCAGGGGCCCATCAGCATCACCTGATCAAAATAGTATGCCAAGTGACATTATTTGCACGGTTTTGGACAAATATCTTTAATTAATAGGAATAACAATTAATGAATAAAAATAACAAAAAGTACTCCTTGATACATTTCAATCCTGGTACAGTAGCAGACATTTCCAAAGAAATCCTCTATTATCTTTGTCAGTTACACACACAAGAGTTCTCTGACACACTGAGTGTAGAGACGCTTTTACTATTGGTGCCAATTTATTCCAATTTATGTCTTCAAAATCACTTTCACATATCTAAACAGAAATGCAATCAACTTAATACCCCTTTTAGCTGTGTGCTTTGTAAGGGAGGAAGAAATGTCAATAGTGATAACAAATATACTCTTAGGATAGAGAAGATGATTGCCAAAACTTCTCAAGACTCTTCACTGCATTTCATCTTCTAAAATGAACAGAATATTCAGCACTCAGGCCAAGAACTGTCAGGGTTGAGTTGAACAAGTTTCATGAAGATTCCTTTTCACAGAAATTTGATTAACATTTACAGAGTACCTGGAAAGTGCACATTTATCTGCTCCCTATGTATTCTGTCAGATGAACACTGCTGACCTTATAAATCAATGAAATAGAGTATTTCTACTGTCTCTAAATCAGGGGGAATAAAGAGAAGATTGAATTTCACTGACTGAAATTGAACATAGAGCTGTTCTGCTTTATTCTATGAATGGCTTGGCAACACATAGAGGTAGTAAGTGTTTATCAGCATTTCATGGAAAGCATTCTCAACGGCCTCTTCCATGTTTATACTCATGTGCCTCAGAGAGCTGGGATGATTCTCTCTTGCAAAAATTCCTGGTCTACAACCCAAGTTTATATCAAAACCCTCATTAAAAACTCTGTGTTCTGTGTTCTCAAAGGAGGCCATCAGTGACTGGACAGGTCTTCTCAGTTTTGGCCTTGGTGCAGGGCAGCTATGATGTGTCTCAGCACTACATTATTTTATTTAAGACTGGATAGAAATTATCTTTAAAAGTATAGAGATGGAACACATTCATTAACCCATTTGCTTTCTTAAATTTTACTTTATATGTGTCAAATTACTACACAGCCTGACAACAACACTACACTATTATAGCCACTCCATATGATATTATAACATTATTTTCTGTACAGACACAACTGATTATTACTTGCTGTTTAATATCATTTGTGTAGCCACATTAAGATTGTTACTCATCTCTGTAATTTCCCCTATTTCTCTACCACCCAAAGGTTTATGAGAGACCTTTGCAGAAGAACTTCCTCCCCTAAAATAAAGGGTGTTAACACAATGACAATAATAACATAATATATAATATAATGTATTATGTAATATGTACCTTATATTATATTATACTCTATTCTATAATATAAGGTAGCTACCACTGATTATTAGAGTTGTCAGCTTTCAGCTTTCTTTTCTTTAACACTGGGGATTAAGGAGAACACAACCAACATTTGACAGTATAGAGCACCTCTAATATTATTTTCCTCCCCTGTCTACTTATTTTCTCACTGGGAAGCAAGTGTCAGTGTACCAATGGAAGCAACCTCGTTAGATCCTCTATGCCTGAACTTTAAGAAGGAACTTGAATCCTTCCATGAACACAAAGTTTGCTTTTTTTTTTAAAGTCTTGAGAAATATGGTTCATCAGATATGCCTTGATCCTTTTCTACCATAAAAAAAATGAACAATGACTTTCAGGATAATTCTCCAAATAGCTCCCGTGTGCTGCTCCACATTGGTACAGTGTGGAAGGTTTTTAAACTTCTAGGGCCTTAAAAGACAGAAGAATTGAACAACCTCCTTGTGAGTCCTGCAAGTTCAGGAAACTACTGACAGTGTTAGGTCACTCTAAGCTTAGTTCCCGAGGCCAGTGACACACACTGATAGGACAGAGACTGGCTGGAACCTGACTTGGGTGAGCCTCCCATACAGGAAACCTGAGAGAGAAACTCTCCTTGCTAAGGACCCACTTCCCTCACAGTTCTTAGGTCACATTTGCTATCTGGGAACAGGGGATTTCAGCTTTGTGTTGACAAAGCTCCTTTGTAACTTGTGCCCTGAGATAGAAGCCATCTGAACTCCTGCTGTTGTCTCCAGGACTGAGAAGAATAAGCAGATAAATTAGAGAACACATTCTTTGATGGAACTCACCCACTCGAAACTCAAGGACATCAAATGCACAGTCTTGATGACTTTCAAGGGAAAATGCTATAAAATGGATATTAATGGATGAATTTTCCCGATTTGGGTTACTGACAGTCCATTCACAGTCTAGGTTTCTTGCATAATCACGGATTCCATTATAGCCAGGAGAAGTAAAGTTTCCACCAGAGACACTTGAAAGAGGTCCACCACACACTAAGGCAACAAAAGGCACAGAGAGAGAGTAATGAGATCTGCATTGTTACAGACGATTCCAACAATCAAGGCACAATGAGTAAAATAATAAACACTGCATCAATTTGCTCTTCTAGATGTAGTCAGGCTTGTAGACAAAGGACATGCAAACTATAGGAGGAATGCCTATGGATTCATGAATGCCTATGGGTTCATGAATGCCTGTGGGTTCATGAATGCCTATGGGTTCATGAATGCCTATGGGTTCATGAATGCCTATGGGTTCATGAATGCCTATGGGTTCATCAATGCCTATGGGTTCATCAATGCCTGTGGACTCATGAATGCCTATGGTTCAACAAAGTTCCTTTATTTCCCTTCTGGAATGGAGAAGATGGCTGTGGCTTGGCCGTGTATCAACATCTCCAAGTTTAGATATATTATTCATTCAATATTTAATTTAGAAAATACACAAATCACTGGTAGGTCCTAGTGGCTTTTGATAAACAATTTTCTACTTGATCCAATAATTTATTTGCATTAAATAGATAATATAACACTATAGTGCCAACAAACTTACTCTTTTTTATATGGTAATGAATGTCTCTTAAACCAATCAAATAAATTAAACAATTTTTGTTTTTGTTTTCTTTTTGCTTTTCAAGACAGGGTTTCTCTGTGTAGTTTTGGTGCCTGTCCTGGATCTCACTCTGTAGACCAGGCTGGCCTCAAATTCACAGAGATCCACCTGGCTCTGCCTCCTGAGTGCTGGAATTAAAGGCATGTGCCACCACTGCCCAGCAAATTAAATAATTTTTAAAGATGTATTTAGTTCCATTCTTCCTAAAATACAAAACCCTTGGATAATGGTAGCAGACCTAAAAGGAAGAGGATATTTATAATCCAGGCTACATGTTGCTTAATTTTGGGATAATCTATATTAAATGCAACTGGGTTATTATTTTCACTGAATATACCCATATAAGTAAGTGAATAAAAAACAATAACATATACTCAGTTGTCTGGGACATTAATTACTCCGTGGTCCTAAGCTACCTAGGAAGTAAATATTTTCTTGAATATAAAATAGTGTATCAGAGACTGTGGGTCCAGATTCAGTCCTAGCAGTGATATTACAGAGAATCATGTTAGAAAGAAATCAAATAAAATTTTGTTATAAAAGATTCAAAATACAACTTTTTTTCCAAAACCACAATGGTTGCTCTCCCTATGCCCCCAAGTAGATCTTTTGTTTGTTCATATATATCGCTCTTGTGTTGAAGATCCCAGGTACACTTCTGATGACTGCAGAGAAAAAAAGAAGACTTGGCTGTTTGGGGCAGTGTTTGGGGGACGCTGAGTGAGTCTGACCAAGAGGAGGTACGTTTGCAGCATCCTACATCACCTGCGTCTTCACTGGAGGTGTAGGAAGCAGTGAAGCCTCCGTACGGCCGGGATCCATCGGTGAAGAATACGACCTTCATTGTGTTTCCAGTGGATTTGAACTCACTGGTTACGTTCACACGGCTGCACAGTTTCTCTAGTTGGGGTGAATTACTTCTAATGCCATTGAACACCTGTTAGAAAAATAGATTGACTTGGAGCTGTGCTGCTCACTTTACTGAATATCCCTCAGGAGATGACCATCTGAGCCCTGAATCGTGCCCTTGTAAAGAAACCACAGTCAACAGTACAGAAACCTACCCCAGGACTACAAGCTACTAAGCCATGCCAAGCATATTTTTGGCCTTAGGGTCATGTCAAGAAAACGAAAGATTTGTAAATGTCCACCTCCCATGGGTCACAGATGAGAGGCTTCTCTGCACTTGGCAAGTGGAGACCCTGCTCTACATGGGAAGTAAATGTGCCACTATACTTTCTTTATAGTCACAGAGTTTACTGATATGCAGTTTTCTTAATCATGCCTTGGATGATTTTAACAAACTAACTTAAATGTTAGCCTTAGATGATTTCAAGTGTATAACCATTCATCTACTCCAAATACCTTGGAGAGTACTTTGCAGTGATTTTTCTTTATTGCTTTTAATTAGGTGTACTTATGCGTATCTGGGTGTGATTATGTGCATGTGAGCGCAGGTGTTTGCAATAGATTTGCCTGGAGCTGGAGTCACAGGCAGTTGTGACTGCCCAAAGTGTGTGCTGGAAACCAAACTCCAGTCCTCTGCAAGAGTAATACATGTTCTTAACCACTGAGCCAATTCTCCAGTGTCCCTTAAAAAGCAATTAAAAAATTAAGCTCTTTCTGAATTATTATGGATTTAAAGTTCCTATATTCTTAGTCATTTGACTTAACTTTTTTCAGTTTTTATTTCTGAGATTACAGTATAACAACCAATTAGTGTGTTCTTACTTATTGACTTTTAAAAATTGTATTATTACTAGTATCAAAATACAATTAATAGCTTTAGTTCCAACTGGTAAAGTATGATCGCTTCTGCACAAAGCCTTGTGAATGCTTTTCAGAATTCAGAGACGTTTCTAAAGAAATAAATAGCAATTTACTTGGTGATTGATATTCCTACTCTTTAAAAGGATTTGAATGGCTCACAATTAGAAACATCAGCTTAAAAGCTTTGAGGAAGCAGGCCATGTTCTACTCCAAGGGATGCAAGCTTTTCCAGTTACTGTAATTAATGACTGAACGTAGCTCTTGGGTGGTTTCTGGTTTAAAATGCCTTCCAGCTAGAGGACCAGAGGAAGTGTTTCCATCTTCACTTGTGCAGATACAGAGCCAGACTCTGCTAATGGCCTACTCAGATTATCTTATCTGATCATTACCATGCCTCTCCCTCTCAGACATGTACTAGGACTGCATTTTTCCTGATTCAGACAGTAGAGTACAGAGATTTGTACTTTGTTGAAATTCTAATAACTAGGAATATTTGAATTTGGATTCAAATTCCAATATCAAACCACAAAACAAAGCAACAAAAGACAATACGTATTTCATGCTACTATGAACAGGAGTAGGTCATGTGTTCTCAGAATGGAAAGAACTTATCACCAACTACAAAGTTGATAGGATATGTTGTAAGCAATGACCGGAGGTCTTTGTTGCCTCTTTATGTAGCACAGAACTGGAATGACTAGAACATGTGCAGTCACCCAGCTAGTATATGGACTTCTTTCTCCATTCAGAAGCAACCGACTGTGAGCTCCCGTCTTGTCCTCTAACATCTTTTGTAGTCAGAAACTACAAGCCTCAGAAGACCCAAGGCAGGAGCAGGCACATGACAGTCCAGACAAGGTATGAGCTGCTGTGAGCAGGAAGGAAATTAGACATTTGTCTCACGACCCCGCACACTGTGTGGCACAGCCTTTCATTTCCTGCATCTGAGTCATCGGATTTGTTGCTGGATTTGGGGGAGTTTCAAGTTCAGTCCAGCTGGGTGTGGTGCTCAACAAGCAGCAGGATGCTTACAACGCCCCATGCCACTTGCGGATCTTAAGTTTTCTTCCCTTCTTTTCGGGTAAGCCTTAAGTCCACAGAGGATGGAAAAAGGCAATTTAAACACTTGTTTGGAATAAAAGGAATAAAGTAAACACCAACACACAAACATGTTTTAAAGAAATGGAATTTGGACATTCTCCTACAGAAATGAATTCCCAAAGTGATTCCTTGATGGAGTTTCATCCTCCCCATGAAGAAAGATCTGAAGCTGTGATATTTGCAGATCACTAATTACAGGTCAAGATCTGTATTAGTTACTTTCATAAGGTCCAATTACTAGATTCAAGTACATGTGCAGAGCTGCCAATCAGCTTTTGCACACTTTTTTAAAATATAAATGAAGATCAACCAGGGCTCTGGGGAAACATCTAATATGAAATGCAGAGACCAATATAAATAGAGATAGAATCTGAAGGAAACAATATGAAACTTCATAGAAGTAATATGGAACTTCAAATTATGATTCTACAATAGTTTAATACATGCATTCAAATGATTGTGCTACAGCAGGAATCGTATAAGTCTACAAAAGTTATCATCCACACTTGTGTCCTTAGGGAGTTACAAGAGCATATGTCTCACCAAAAAAACAGGAAACTGACTAAGAAAGGAAATGTACAGCATCATAAAGCCAGGTGGCCAGTCCAGAAGGGAATGAAGATGCCACAAACATGACGGTGCTGGGAAATCCCAAAACAACAGCTCCCATCAGGCTTGCTGCAGATGGACAAGGATTTGCAGAAGGATACTGGTGATAAAAATAGACATGTATGCCTCTTTGGTGGAAGATATGTAGAACAATTAGTGACATCCATAAAATGTAAAAATAGTACAGCTGTTGTTACTGTTATTTGAAAAAGCAAAAGGAAATGTGGCCACAGCTTATTGCCTGATTTAACTAAAATGCAGTTTCCATAATCACCTAGGTTTAACACCAAAGGGCCATGACTGTGGAAAATGTGACATGTGTGTTTTGTAGGGAAGTTGGCAGAATATGGGAATTGTGGGTTCTCTATGTGCACGTCTCATGGGAGGGAGATAATTCCTCAGTTTCTATAGCAGGATATGGGTAGATGATACCCAAGAGCAACAGAAGAGGTGCAGAATAAGAATATTAGCTCAATACAATGGCATAAATGCTACCAGAAATAGCTGGAATCCAGAGGAGTAAATACATCTGGCTTCAAAGATTAGGAGTGGAGAGGTCACAAGTAAGGTCTAGTTTTGCAATTTGTGACCACTAGTATCAATTTTATTTTATTATTTGAGTTCTAAAACTGTGACTCATTTTATCTTTCCTATAGGTCATGTACAATCTGTGGTGGTAAAATTCCTAATAAACATTGGATTCAACAAGGTTTAAATCACAGACATAATTTCAAAGGGCCAAAAAAATCCCAGTTAGCATTATTTATGAAAATTTTAGTGATATGTAGAACGTAAAAATTAGGTATTTTTGTTTTCTCAATTTTTACGATACTTTTCACTAAACATCTATTATATTTAATCAGAAAACATCTTAAATTAGTTTTCAAGGGAATTTATATTGCTTAGTTAAAACTACTTAAAATTATGCAGGAGCCAGAAAGACATACAATACATAAAAATATGGCACACTGGGAGCGTTTAATCTTTTTTTCTCCTTGTGTTTGTCTATATATCCATGCAATAAGTAATAGGTGTTTCTTTATAACTAACACCTAACACCTTGGAGTCACAAAATGGATGCTTATAAAGGTGTCTGCCACCAAACCTAACCTTCACACGAGTGCTGTAGCATGTTCACATCCATAAATACACATGCACAATAGAGATATAAATATAATTTAATTTTAAAATTAACAATCTTAATGTAGGGATGTAATTCAGTTACTTAGCATGCACAAGTCCTGGGTTCAGTCCCCAGCACCACATAAACGAGATGTGTGGTACACACCAGAAATTATAGCAGTCTGGAAGTGAAGCTGGAGGATCAGAAGTTCAAGGCCATCCCCTGCTACATATCGAGTTCTAAGCTAGCCTGGGCTACTTGACACCCTGTCTCAAATAAACAAACTAATAACTAACTAACAAAAAACAAACACAAAAAAAGAATGAAAAAGAAAGAGAGAGAGAAAGAAAAAGGAAAACAAAAACATAACGCAGCATTTCCTGCCTCTCAAACATAAGGAAAACACACTGGTTCCATACCTAGTATCTGGGAAAATCATTACTTTAGATATTGGAACTGAGACAATAATCTGAAGGTTAAATACAGCAATTTTTGGGTCATAGAGAGTGATGAGGGGATGTCACGGGGCAGGGGAGGCTTAATCTTTGGAATTTACTATTCAGCAACAAAAGGCTAAACAGAAAACAAAAATGCTTCTTCATTTTCTTAAGCCAACAATGTTATTTCTGTAATTCATTCATCAAACCTATTTCTCCGTGAGCATGTATCAGCCCCTGGGGATTCACTGGAGGAATCTGAGTCCTGGCCCTCAGAGAGCTGACATGAAGTGCTATGAAACAACACAGGGGAGGCCAAGGGAGGGTGGGGCTTGCTTCATGAGTCTTAGTGAGGTGGTGTGGGTTAGCCACTAGAGCAGAGATCCAAAACAAGCGAAAAGAAAACCAGACAGCATCTTGGGAGGAACAATCTAGACAGAGGCCATAATCACCCATTAAAGCCTGATATTAGAGCCTGTTTATCGAAAGCCAATCCCACCCCCACCCCCTACCCTGGGTACCTGCCCTGTGGAGGTTTTTCCCAGAGCCCAGAAAAGAAGTGTACAAATGGCTAAGATTCTGATCTATATCAATTGAATTTACACATGCCATGCTCTTTCAGTCCATTCACTTTGTTGTTTTAAGTTAATTTTCCCTAACTCTACATCTTCTTTTTAGCCCATACATTACTCTGCTGTTCTTCTATCTTTAGTTCTCCCCCGAGTCTCTGAGGTTTCCAGTTTTTATATACATACAGTCAGCAATTCTCCGGCCCAAGCAAGGTCGCAAGGCTTGAATTCTCTCAGGGTCATAAAAGCAGATAAGAGTTTACACTAGGTAGTGACTGTCAGGCTTTCTTTATGGCTCAAAGAGGGGGTGACATGTAAAAGCCTCAGTGAACTCTTAAAGGGAGCAGGGTCAAATGAGAGGGAGAGAGACCTTAAATCAATTAGGAAAATCTAAGAAGGGAAAAGGGAATCTGCGTGTAATACTGCATTCCTAAGTGTGGTTAGATTACTAATATGCTGATTAGTAAACCAAGGTAAAAGGAAAAGGAGTTAAGAATTTGCTAGTGTGAGGTTAGCTTGGGACAACACTTGCCTATCTGTAGGCAGGGTGAGCCCAGGGCACTCTTGTTCTCTATCTATCTAAAGACTGTGAATCAACAAATTCAGACATGTTGTAATTCTATGTCTTTGGGTATCTGAGAATGTCTCAAATGAGATACTTTTGCCTGGACACTTCACACTGACCAAATGCCTGCCAATGAAGATAATTGCAAGAAGGCAGACCTCTAAGTTTATATTGGAGAAAGTAACAAAGACCTGGTTGTGGGAAATAGGTATTGACTGTGTGACTTTTTCCATACACAGCTGGGGGATGTTCTCCAAATAACCCAACTGTATAGGGGAAGTTGAGCCCAATAAATGATCGATCACATTGTTAGAAACTCTTAGAAAAAAGAATCAATTGGGAAAGCTACAATAGCACACAGGAAATTCACTGCAGGAAACAGGTAATACATTCAAAAGCCAATATCACCAAGACTCCTTGAGTTTTGGCTTAACCTCCATCAGAGCCCTGGGCTCTAATGGGTCTGTCTTGTCAATGCCAGCTGAGTTCCTACTTCATATTTCTGTGGCTCACAGTACCTGTTAGCATATCAAGGGATAAAAGAGAAGCTAGGGAGTTGGGTCATAGGAGGGGAGGGGACGGCAGGTAAGGGAGAGGGAGGACCAGCAGGTACTGGCTGGCTGGGTGGGACTTGTTAGGATTCATCTGGTTGAGATGAAAGATCATTGGAGGATTTTTTTAAAAAAGAAAGTGCTATGACATGATTAAGCATTGTTTTCCCATTGCTTAGGATTGAACCCAGGGCTTTATACATGCCTGGCAAAGTTTCAGCCACTGAGATACACTCCTACCCTCAACACAATCCTGTTTAAACCAGAAACTATTACTCTAGTTGCCGTCCTGAGAATGTGGGAGGACAAGGCTAGAAACAGAGACCAGCTGGAACTGATGGTACAGTCCAAGTGAAGAATGATGCAGTAGCAGTGGGTGTATAGATGTTAGAGCTGGATATTTTCTAAGGTGCAGCCAATGGCTCTTGTGTATAGGTGGGTGTAGGAACTATGACTCCAAAATAAACATCAAGATTGTTTCCTTGAGCCACTAGAAATATTATCTACTCACATAAGAAAGACTGAAGAGGCCAGGCATGGTGGCACATACCTTTAACACCAGCACTCAGGAGGAAGAGGCAGGTGGATTTCTGACTGTGAGGCTAGTTTGGTCTACAGAGCAAATCCTGAGACAGCCAGGATTACACAACAGAACCCTGTCTTGAAAAAACAAAAGAAGGGAGCAGGATGGGTAGAGAGATAGACTAACATTAATTCCATTTGGTAGTCTATTAGTCTATGAATAGCTATATCAATAAGTACATACATGTATGCATATAAATATGTATGTCACACACAGTCAACACACACTTCCTAGTCAACAACATATTTGCTATTCATACTCATGGGTCTCATTTGCTTTCTTCAGCTGAGGGAAGCTAGCAATGCTGAGGGCATGCCTCTCACATTTGAAGTTGGAACAGGGCGGGCTTTCTACCCAGGGTCCCTCAATGCCTCTGGCAGAGAATGAGGTTATGTAGGACCATTCATCTGCTTAAGTCTCGCTGGTACTTGTGCTGAGACCGATGAAGTTTGCCTGCATGCTTAGCTGTCATCTACTTGTTCTCTTTTGTCGTATGTAATGATGGTTTGCCCTGAAAACTTGTCCACCATGTAACCTTTGTGCATGAGGTGACAGATAATAGTCTCTAAAAGCAGTTTGTGGTGACTTTGCTCTATCTAAACTACTCAAATTTGTCTGAAAAGTAGTTGCGAAGGTGGCGATCGTTTGATTGAGTTTTCACATCATCACTTCCAGTGAATGCATTCCACACACAATGGAACACAGTGGCCAACCTGCAGGGACACTTACTATGAGGTGCTCACTGTCGCAGGATGGATGGTTGCTCAGCCTCAAGTTGGTAAAGGTTAGGATGATTCTCCTGCTTTCTGGTACAGTGATTGTCCACTCACAGATCCAGGCATGAGAATTAGGGTTTGGGTAGTTGGGAGAAGTAAATGTTCCGGTAGGGCCGTGTAAATTCCCACCACACACTGAAAGAAAGAAAGGAAAAAAATTAATCAAAATATCTCTTTTCACAAGGAACACTTTTAAAATTAGTTCTTAATGACCTGTCTGAACAAAATTACTGGCCATATTTTTTTCCACATGTATGAGAATGCTCATCTGTATTCACTTCATGACTTCTTGTATTTACATCTGTATTCAGTTCTTGTCTCTGTCAATACTGAATGTTATCTTACATGGAAAACAGTCCACTGGCAGCATTTAAATTATTATCAGAGCCCAGGATTATGAAAGACCAATAAATATAACAAACTCAGGAAAGCTAAAGTCATTATTCTGTTTTTCGACAGGACCTTTATTTCACCCGTGTTCGTTGGGGGCATTTAGGAACCTGAGTTCTTGATAGCTCTAGGGCATTACAATGTACCAATTTCTCAGGATGGTTTTCACAGAGAAGCCACATCTCTGCTCTGCATCTCTCATAATACACGTTACTTTCCTTTGTGGCATTTACTCCAGCTATACGTTTTCATTAACTGGTGACTGTTTATTACATCAGCCTTTCAACTTCTCGTAAGAGTCAAAAAGACAAAAATCACATGTTCGTTTTCAAATTCTTATGATATCAGTGTCCAGTGCAGCGTCTATCCTCTGTAGGAGATCAGTGCCTTTTCTAATATGTCATTGAACTCACCTTCTCTGCTGGACGTAAACTGCAGCCTAAATCCTGAGGCAGTGACAGAGCCATCTGTGACAAACCTGACCGAAGCAACATTGCTGGAAGTGTCCACATGGCTAGGAATGGAGTTTCCACAATATCTGCCCAAAATATTTCCTGCAAGAGTCAAATAATTAATTATGTCCATGCCCAGGTGATCATTTTTCTGTCAATGCTTACTTAAGTTGTTTTGCATGGACAAAGAAGATCTTAAGAGACAATCTTTTGTTCATGAAGAAATGGCAACCACTGTTATGAAAATAATGAATAAAAGTCAATATATTTAAATATATGCAGATGTATAAAGACTGGAGCCAATTAGGGTAAGTCTATTTCAGCCTGATGAGGAAGGCTTGCTCAGATGGCTGAAGAAATGATCCAAGTGCCTCTTATACTGTTATATGATATACACTATCTCTCCCTCTCCTTATGCATCAGGAGACTTCTCCAATAACCACAGGTGGTACACTGGGGTCTCCACAGGACAAGGATGCCGTCCCAACACAAGGCTCTTTCATTGTGCTCTCTAAGATGACTACAGAATGGCTATAGCAATACTGAGCATCCATTGTAATCTGTTAGAATCAATGAAAAGAACTACCGGTCTTGCCCAGAGCCCATGAATCTGCATTTCTCTGATGACATCAGACACACCTTTGCCTTTCTCAGAAGCCAAGATGCTTCAGGGGTTGAATTAATTGATTAAGAAGTAAACACCCCCAAAGAAAGCAGGATTTCACTGACCAGTGGTATGGTTTTCCCAGATCTCCACAAAGTCTTTTGCACAACCAGGGGAACTCTGAAGATTAAAATCTTGAAAATGAATGGTGAGATAGTGTCCTGGGAGGCCCCGGAGATGCCACTGACAAAAGGCATTGTTTGGATAGGGAAGGGTCGGGTATCCAATGCTCTCAATGACTCCATTTTCCCCTGAGACTGTTCCTCCACATGGGGCTGCAAAACACACACACACAAAGGATATTCTATTATAGATTATTTTTATGATTAAACCAATATCATTTAAAACTTTTAGGAACCAAGTGAATATTATCAGAAGTTGTAAAAATCTGAAAAGGTTTATTTAAAGCTTTCCTAATTCTTTGAAATCTACTGTGGATGGATAGAAAGATACCTCAGGCCTACTCAGTGTGAGAAGTGGAAGGTGACTGTGGGGTGTCACATCCACTCTCTTGGGAAAGCATGTAAGAACTATTACTCATAACGTAAATATCATCCAAGAAGCAACTGGTAGGGTAATAAGGCCTGCCTGGTACCCTCTGCCGCTGATGCCAAACACTGTCTGCACTCTTTTGGAAGGAGCAGTTGACTGGCGACTGCTGGTGTCTACCTCTCTAGGTTAACTATAAGTACACACTGCACATAGTTTTTTTGAGAATTCAGACCCACCAGACACTAAATTATATGTGATATGTGGTATGTGGTATTATATCACTTGGAGTGAATCTTCAATATGTGTGTTTGTGGCTCACTTTTTGAGTAACAAAATCAAACTCCAGGGGAACAATGTGCTTTCCATTTCTGGCTTAGCATTAGAGATTCAGAAGGAAAACGCTGGACCATTCCATGGATGCTTGGTGTTCTAAGTCACTGTCCAAGTGCAGTTGCTTGATCACTAAGGAATTTGTTGTTTTGTTTTGTTTTTCGAGACAGGGTTTCTCTGTGCAGTTTTGGTGCCTGTCCTGGATCTCGCTCTTTAGACCAGGCTGGCCTCGAACTCACAGAGATCCACCTGGCTCTGCCTCCCGAGTGCTGGGATTAAAGGCGTGCGCCACCACTGCCCAGCAGGAATTTTATTTTTTGCAAATATATTATACTTATTTCATGGTAAGAGATAGAAACAAAGGTTGATATAACTGAAAATACTTTTTATACACAAGTTAGGAAAATATAAAACACTAAAGTTTTAATAAAAATTACATTTTAGCCTAATATAAAATAACTTAAAACTGGTGATGATGTTGTGAGTTTATGCAAACCTTCTTCCAAGTCTTAAAATTAGGCAGATGAGAGGCACGGTGTGGTTAAGCCTCAGTGTTTCCCTGTACCACTGCTGTCCTGCTTGAAAATAAAGCATTACCTATGGAATACTTGGCCTTGAATCCCATGTAGCTGGAACCAGTACCAGATTGGAATTTCAAGTACATAAGTTCTCTTGAGGATATCCAGCTACCAGGCAAAGTGTGCCCACACAATTTGGAAAGCACTGTAGCACTTGAGTCGGCTCCATCACGCAATTCAAGGTAGCTCGAAGAACAGCTAGAAGAAAAAAATTGTCAAATTTAAAAAAAAAACCAAACAGTTACTTTGACTTATTTTGTTAGTTAAGACTTCTTTCTTCAGCCGGGCGGTGGTGGCGCACGCCTTTAATCCCAGCACTCGGGAGGCAGAGCCAGGCGGATCTCTGTGAGTTCGAGGCCAGCCTGGGCTACCAAGTGAGTTCCAGGAGAGGCGCAAAGCTACACAGAGAAACCCTGTCTCGAAAAACCAAAAAAAAAAAAAAAAAAAAAAAAAGATTTCTTTCTTCAAGGACAATATTTAATCATCATGTTTTTTGTATTAAAAGACCACATGACTGAGTCTCTTTAGGCTTCATGGCATTCTCAAATGCCATATTTTTTCCAATGATGATACAACCTTCCATGATGAGTTCCTGAAGGAGACAGCTTTTTACACTGGGAGATAGTTCTTTACATATTCTATATTTGTCTTACAAACATAAAAGTCATTTCAGATGGACCATGGATTCAATTAAAGTAGAATCTGTCAGACATGATACTTGAATATATTTCACATGAGAGAGATCAACCTCTCTTGCAAGCCTCATGACTATGGCTACTATGTCTACACAGCTGCACTATGTCTATAAAAGAAGACAAGCTTTTACTAATGTTTCCTAATAAAATCAAACTAGAGAGTCTATGCTAGTTTCTGTAAAAACAAATCACATTCAGTGTCAAAAAAAAAGTGGTGATCAGTAGCTCTGTTGTGACATGCATTTACTCATGCAAATATAGGACTATTTTAGATAAATGAAAAAGAACCCATATATCTGTGTATCAGCTTGTAGTTTTGCTTTGTTTTCACAGACTATACAGTTTTCCTTGGATTTCAGCATAGTCATACACGCTCTCTGAGTTGTGATCCTGCAAGATTCCTGATGCAAATAAGACTGGGAAATTGTGGAGTGTTCACTTCAGTGTTGTTTGTGGCACTGGCAGCCTCTAGCGCCATGCCACACACAGTCTTATTTGTTAAGCCGATATTTTTATCTGTGACACTCAATATGAGGCTGGAGAAAAAAAAAATACCTGTCTAACAGAGATTGTATTTTTCCTGTGGGAGGAAGAACAGATGACATCAATCTCAAACAGTCACCCTCAATATCTCTTGGAAGATGTGTTGAGGGTCAAGGTGGGAGTAGCTGCCAGGCAAGGCTTTGAGGCTTTAGACATTTACTTATCTCTTTGTCTCTACATTTTTTTTTCTGGGCAGTGGGTACTGCTGAGCAAAGAAGAAATAAGTTGTCTTGAGACATGACAGCTGAAAAAAAATATTAACTTTGGGTTGAAGGAACACTAAAATGTAGGTGACTTACTTGGGTGTTTCTTCAATATTGAATTGATCTTCAAATTGGAGCTGTATACTTTTCCCAGAAGGAGCCTCTAAGATCCAAATGCATTCAGCATGCTGTGGATAATTAGCAGGGTAGTTGGGGGAGGTCACGTATCCATCAGAATCGGCACCATGGATATAGATAGTGCCCCCACAGGCTGTCAAGAAACAGTTAAATCAATCTATAGTCTGGTGGATGGGAACATAATCAGATACCACAATTGCTGTGTACAGTCAATTTGTCTTTATTTTCCCTCTAAACTTTGTTTCATCAGAATTATCTTCATGTTCTTTTTAAGTAAATAAATTCTGTCTTTCCTGTAAAATGAACTACCATGTATGTCCCTTTTTATCCTGTCAAATCATCTATTATGTCTTTTCATTAGGTCAGGTGTTTTGTTTTGAAATGTGTGTATGTATGTGAGGGGGTGTTGTTTGCTTGTTTTTAAATTCTATTTTACTTTTTACCTTATTTATATGGATGTTTTGCCTACATGTATGTCTGTACACCACATGCATGCCTGGTGCCATTTGAGGCCAGAAGAGGGCATCATATCCCCTGGAAATGGAGTTACAGACAGCTGTGAGATGGGTGCTGGGACTTGAACCTTGGTCCTCTGGAAAAGCAGCTAGTGCAGCTAGTACTCTTAAACCACTGACCAATCTCTCTAGCCCATTTGTTTGCTCTTTGAGATAATCTTGGCTAAGGTCCATCTGTCTATGTCGCTGAGATTGCCTTGAATCGTTGAACCTCTTCCATCCACCTCCCATGAGCTGGGATTATAGACACATATCACAATGCCCATATCCAAATTATCTATTCTGATTGAAATTTTTATTTTTCACTAAAGCTAACAAAATTTTTATGCAAAGTGTATGCAGCCTCACATGAACACATAAACTGTTGTACAAGGCTGACTGTCTGGTTAGAACTTCCAGGATTGTAGAGTTGGACCGTTGTAGTCTGGAGTCAAACCATCTTGGACTGTCTTTAGCCTCCTTAACAGTCGCTTATTGTCCACCTGTGTTTAATCTAACATGCATTTTCATGGCTATTAGGTAAATCCTTTTAAAGTAGACTAATAGATTCCCGGCTTCATCAACCCAAAGGCTAAGAATGTCATCATTAGGACTTGAGGACAATAGAAATTTCCTTTCTTTATTATAAGCCACCTGGCTGTTGTTCCCACCAATGTATTTGGTAAGTGCTTTGATCTTGGACTCTCTTTTATTCTGTTACTACAAAAGTTTCCTGAAATCATTACTATCCTGGAACCTAGCATTTGAGGATAACCTGATTCTGTTTTCCCAGATCATGGTCATTCATATTTGGAATCCATAAAAAAAAAATTTCCTTCATTCCCTTTTGTATGAAAGCTGTGCTTCTCCATCAATAAATACATGCCCATCACTCAGATGAGTGAGGAAGTATGCAAGCAGCCATAACTTCCCATTAGAAGCTCAGGTCAGTGAGCTTTCACTTGCTGCAGACCTGTGATCTCAATATGTTAAAAACAAAAACAAAACAAATAAACAAATAAAACAAAACAAGAAGCTAAGCAGGGCTGGGGAGACAACTCACTAGGTAAAAACGTTTGCTATTCAAAGCTTATGAAATTCAGATTCTTAGAACTTTTGTAAAAGCCAGAAGTATAGCAGGGGGTAGCATGCATCTGTAACCCCAGAATTCCTCTAGTGAAACAGGAAGCAGAGCCAGGAGCATCTCTAGATGCTTGGCCAGTTGGAGTACACAGTGCAGTGGCAAACCAAAAGAGATCCTGCCTCAAAAACAAGGAGCATTTTGAGGACTATTACTCTAGATCAGCAGTTCTTAACTTGTGGGTTGAGACCCTTTTGGGACCAAATGACTCTTTCACAGGGGTCCCCTAAGATCATCGGAAAACATGGATATTTACATTAAAATTCATAGTATAGCAAAATTACAGTTATAAAGTAGCAATGAAAATAATTTCATAGTTTAGGGTGACATACAGCATGGGGAACTGTAGTAAAGGGTCACAGCATCAGGAAGGTTGAGAACCATCGCTCTGGATCATCCTCTGACTCCACACATGAACCTCACATGTTTAGTATTGGCTTGCTTTGGAGACAGTCTTTATGCAACTCTGGATGGCCTGGAATTCACTACATGACCAGACTGACCTTAAATTTGTAATCATTTTCCTACCTCTGCCTCCTGAGAATTGAGTACCTTGCTCTTTTCTTTCAGATCTCCTACTACCACCCAACACATGAATTTTTATGGTTGCGTTCAATTCTAGACATTTGTAGAAATTAACGTTGTTGAAGATATTTATTCTCCAATCTCAATTCTGTTGAGCAATCTGCTAATTGCTTCTCATACAAACTTCAACAGTCACTCCAAGCATCGCTTGTTAAACCTTCTCCCTTCTCCCTGTACCTTTGGATTCTCAGTACTACATGGAGCTCTCTTTGAGACAGAAAATGAATCATCTGAGGGTCCTGTCAATTTTCAATCCTCCATTTGTGACTAGTCAGAATAAATTCATTTGCGTCTCTCATTTTTTTTTTTTTTTTTTGCATAGCACTCTTGTATTTCTGGATCATGTTCCCTTCCCATCTGCCTCTTCTAGGATCTCCACCCTCTTCTTTCCCTCCTCTCTTCTCTTGCTCCTTCCTCCATCCCTCACTCACTCTTTCCTTTTGCTTTTCCTTCCTTCAAACTTATCCAGCGGGCTTATCTTGCCCCTCAGTCTCCTGCAAGTTGTATACCCAGAGATGCCTTCTTTATAATTAGGATTTGATCCCTATTGCATTTAACATGGTTGCCTACACCGTCCTTCTTTCCATCTGTGTCTCTCAGCTTCTCAGACATCAAACTCTTCTTCTCCTTCTGTCAGCATTTTTTCTCAGACTGTCTTGTGTCTCCTGCCAGGGCTTCCGGACAGTGCTGGAGAACCCCAGGAATCGTTCTGCAGGATTTTCCAGCTTCTCATTCAAAAGAATTCCTTGGTTGCCCCATATCAACATGGTTTAAACCTCAACCCACACTTTGTCAGTCCAGGCTAGACCAATCTTCTCATCTCCATTTTTCCAACAGCCTACCAGACATCTTTGGGGATGTAGTTCAGGGATTTCAGGATGAACATGTGTCAGTCTGGCACCTTGTGTGCACCTAACTGTTATTCATGCTCCTTCACCCCTTCTCTCCACTTCCACCTTCAAGAGACCTGAATGAAAATCCATGAATTCCTGACTTACAACAACTTTTGACATGGCCTCTTTTCTACCTTCTTACTGACACTGCCTTAGCTCAGGACACAGCAGTTTTCCCTGAATTATTCTTTTATCTGGGTTCTTATTTCATTCTTCCAATCAGACAGTTATGTTGATGTTTCTGTTCTGGTCAAGCCATGGTGCTTTGGATTTAAACCTTTCAGTGGCTCCCCATAAGCATCTGGGAATACTAGTACTAATGGCCCTGACATCATGACAAGTATGTCGTTCATCACCATATTCACCTCCTTTTGACCCTATTCAACAACATAGTAAATTCTTGCAGAACTGTGAATTGTCTTCTGGTGATGAGATGTCTCATGTTACATTGTCCTTTGCTAAAGCACAAATCACTGTTCATTCCTTTCTTCTCTGGTCCCATCAGTTGGATAGGTGCTTCTCCCTGTGGTTACAGATCCTGGAGCATTTCTCCATCTGGAACTTACTATGTTGTACAATAACTGCCTCTGCTTGTCTGCCTCCTTCATTGCATGAAGCCTCTTGATGGAACTTGGTAGTGTGTGCAGTGTAAAGCTCTTTATAAATGTTTAGCTAACTAATTAACAAGCCAATTAATCAGGTGAGAATAAAAGACATTTAGCACAGGGCCACAGAAATCTCAATCAACTACAGCAAAGAGAAGTCCTTGGGGCAAAGACAGTGTAAAGCTCAGCAAGTGATGCTAAGAACTAGTCACACAAAACATAATTTAAGACATGGGAAATGGTATGAGGGAGACACGATAGGAAGAGAGCCAGGGAGAAGTCTGGCTTAGTAAGTAGTTGGAGACAAGCAAAGCACAACCATATTGCTTGGGGCTGCCCCAAAATAGCTTTTAAAACCAAAAGATCTTTGTTTGATCTTAATATTAAGGACAGTCATGAGTGTGAGGAAAGACAGGGAGATGATAATAATCACTAGTATAGATGCATGACCAATGGGCCTAGAAAGGAACTAAAAAGAAAATACACAGTATATCTGAACTGTCACAGAGTTAAGATTAATCCAGCATTAACAAAGTAGGAAAGTGAGTCCTATAGGGAGGATCAAATCAGCCCATTCAAACTCACTGCGAATCCCAACATGAAGACAGAGATGTAAGAGAAAATGCCAACCTTGAACAGCAGTGCAGCTGCCCTCAGAGCTGATAACAGATCCCTGCTGCCAGAGCTTAGTGCACTAGGAAGTGACTGAACACACTCTTTTCTTAGGCCTTGAACAAGTTATTAAATGCTTGTGGGGGGGAATGATTAATAGAGATTTTTATTTCCTTTTCTTTTCCCAAATAAAGAAATGATGCTGACATTCTGAACTCTCTCACATCTGAGATGATGTGTAAAAAAACAAAAGGTTTCTGTTGTGCATGCTGGCATATGCTTTATAATGCCAGGATTTGGGATGTCAAGGCAAGAGGATCAGGGATTCAAGGTCTTCAGCTACTGATCCAATTCCTGGCTACCTTGGGCTACAAGAGACCTCATTTCAAACAACAGCAGTATCAGCAATGGCAACAACAACAACAACAACAACAAAAACCACGGTTCCATTAAGATCAATGTATCTTTTGAAGCATATTTGAGAATCTGGGATTAAGGTCATATAATCATTCATGATATTGAATTTGGGGAGACAAGTAAAGATTTAGTTCAGCTGTTTACTCTCCACCGACATTTAATTAAATCCTATTAAAAAAGTAAATGTCATAAAAATCAAATAATCACAGTAAAATTAAATAATTAAACAAAATTAAGTAAGGGTGATTATATAAAGATTGCTGCTGTAATGCAATAATAGGGGAATAATAACTAAATGAGTAATAATAGAATCATAGGTCAGTGTTCACTACAAAGGAAGAACACAATGATGATGAGGAAGAGCAATCATAGCCTTTACCATGCTACTGTAACTAAGTTTAACTTAGGCACTCCATCATGGAAAGGCCTAAAGAAGTCCAGGGGCCCGTTAAGATCAGTTCATTTTCTACACATGGAGAATTCACTTTGTCAATAATTGAAACAAAACAAAACAAAACAAAACAAAATAAAACCAATAACTTGGAAAACTCAAAACCTCATTTTACTTACCTGTAAAGTAGAAATAACTATACTATATTCTCCTTAAAAAGCATCATGCTCAATAGTTAGTGTACGAAGACTAAGACCAAGATTGATCAAAGACACCTGTTCTTATTAATACTATGACTTTCACCTCAGAAAATTTGGCATTTTCCCCCTAAAATCCATCTCAACAAAAATCAAAGAATCTAAGGAAAAATATAGATATAATTCTTAGAGGAATTACTTACCTAAACTCTTGGCCTCATATCTGATCTTAAATCCTTGCCCGCCGTTACTATTATCAGAAATGAACTGAACAAACATTTCATTGTCTGAGGTGAACAGAGTCGATGGAGTATAAATTCCACAGAAACGACCATTTCTTCCAGAGGGTCCCAAGGGTGGAGAATGGATATCTGGTCCATTTCTTAGCTAGGAAGGGATTAAAATTGTGTAACATCTTTTATATTGCAAAACAGTGTTAAAAGGCCTATCAGTTTGCATACTAAGAATTTTAAATTAAGTCTGCAAAGGCAGTTAACTACGAAGAGTAACAAGCATGACCTACCACCAAGTAATCCCCCTGGTTGCACGAAGAGTCTCTATTTTGAATCTGGAAAGGCTGCTCAAAATGGACAGCAATGGTGAGACCACTCTGGACCAGAACATGCCAGGAGCAGTTGAGATTGGGAAGGTAGGAGTCTGGGTACTTGGGGGATGTGATAATCCCTCTGTCTGCATGCAAATATCCACCACAGCCTTACCAAGAAGAAAAAGAAAGGTAAGTTATTTAAATGCTATTGACAATGAGATTTTTATACTTCTCTCCCCACACCCTGACCCACAGTTGTGAATTTTTTAAAATGCAAGTAACAGATGAGAAATTTGAGCCTAATTGGGATCAAAGTGTAAGAAATGATTAGAGGCTAAGTGGGCACACACTGCTGGATGCTCACAGTGCTGGGGTTTAGATGTGAGTCATGGAGAAAAGACCAGTTTTACTTTCACAGAAGTTGGCTTCCCAGAGGTGGAAGACATGTTAAAAACAAATGTATACTATGCGAAATAATCGTAAGTCCAGGAAAGACAAATGAAGGGGTGAGGGGGAAATGTACTCTGTTGCTAGGGAAGTTAGAAAGGTAATATCTGAGCAGGGACCTGGGTGGAATAAGCAATCAAACTGTGATCTTAGGGAAGACAGAAAAACACTGTAATCCAGAAAACAGTATAAAGCTTGATTTGGTAAGAGGGGTGTCCCTGGGATTCAGGATAGATGAGGTAGCATGAGCATTTCAGAAAGTAGCTTGGTGAGATTATGCATGAAGCAGAGCAGACTTATCCTGGAACAGAAAGGCTTTGGAGATCACCTGTGTATCTATCATCCATATATCTCTCTGTCTGTCTGCCTGTCCATCCTTCCATCCATACTGATCTACCTACTGATCTATTTATCTGTCTATTATCTATCTATCTATCTATCTATCTATCTATCATCTATCATCTATCTATCTATTCTATCATCTATCTATTCTATCTATCATCTATCTATTCTATCATCTATCTATTCTATCTATCATCTATCTATCTATCCTATCTATCATCTATCTATCTATCTATCTATCTATCTATCTATCTATCTATCTATTCTATCTAGCTATCATCTATCATTTATCTATCTGCTTGTGTATCTATCTAATAAGATGTGCTATATCTCTATTAGACATTGGGAGTTGAGGAAGAGAGGTGAAGCAGACCTTAAGTTGTCATTGTCAAGTGCTAGACAGCCTGTCATCAAGTAAATAAAGACACTTCCCACATATTAAATTGCAAAGGCAGACAACTGTTCGAGCTCTAATTCCAAAGCTCACTCTCTATCCCCTGCACAGCCTGCTTCCATCGAGTGGAGGGTAGATCATTTTCATTCGATTGCACCATTCATATAAGGGCTACATATAAACAGAGAAGGAACTACTAGATTATTTTTAATATTAGGTTATGATTCCATTTAAAATTAATTTTTTCGTACGTGACTATCCTTCAATATTCCATAGACAATTTTTTTAATGTTAATCTATCTTAGCTTCAAAGTTATTATTAGATTTCACATGCTGTCAAGTTCTGAGAAATCTCAATGATATGACACAACAGAGCATTTCATATTCTACAGACATCCTCTGACGAATCAAGACCCTGTTTCAAGAACTACAGGCTCTTCCACACTCAAGTGGATGACTTCAACCAAAACCTTCATAAAGCTGTCTCCTGTATCATGTTTACTGGTTACTTCTTAAACTGGAGACAAAAATGTGTCTATAGTTCTTTAGATGGGCTATGATATGTATTGTCTCCCAGTTCCAACCCTTAGCTAGAGTAAAAGCTATTTTAAAGATCTTTCTCTTGTGTCTTCCACGAGCACACCTCTTACAGAAGTGAGAGGTGCCACTCAGACACCTGAGGGCAAGAGATGCCCCAGTACAGAGACAACTCTGGTTTGTGTGAGTACTTGGTACCTGTGACTTTTGATTGATAATTTGTTCTTAGCATGGGAAAATGAGATGTGATTAGGCAGAAAGCCAAGTGAAGAGAGTGAAGGGGAGGGGAGGGGTGGGGAGGGAAGCAAGGGGAGAGGAGGAGAGAGGATAGAAAGGGAAAGAGGAAGGGAGGGAGAGGAGAGGAGGAGGGAGAAATATAAGAAAAGAAAAAGAGGACAGAAAGAATTGGGAGAAGAGAGAAGAAAGGTGAGTAGGGGGGAGAGGAAAGGGGCAAAGAAGGAGGGGGGAAAGGGAGAGAGAGGGGCGGGAGGAAATTAAGCGGCCAATGTTTGGCCACATTACTCTTGTGAAGGGAGGCGTTGAAGCCGGCTGTAGTGATGCTGGAGTCTGAGATGAAACGGATGTACATGTACTCTCCAGTTGACCGGATGGGCCCGGGAATCTCTCTACCACACAGAACAGCCAGCTGCTGGGCTAAGTTATTGTCTCCTGTGACCAAAGAAGGAAAATGTCAGTGTGAAAAATACGGTCACAAGAATCCACTCCACCATCATTTGCAGCCCAGCCAAAGCTACTCACATATTTTTCTCAGAACACCCAAGTTCCTAGGAGATAATAGTGTTCTCAATAAGAGGGACAGCCAGCTACATCATTCTGGCTCCAGCTTGCCATGATCTGCCTGCCCTTTCCTTAACCCTTTTCAATAAAGACCTTTGGGGCAAGTCTCACTGTCTTCCTGGCTGCTGGTTCTTCCTGGCACTAAAGTCAGAAAGAGAGGAGCTGAGGCTGGAAAGGAATAAGGGCCATGTTTATGTGAGTGGGAGTTGGAGGCTCTGATCTCAGCTACTGTGATGGCTGAAGATCAAATATCCAAGGAGAGAGAAAAACTGGTTCCTCAGCCTAGACCTGGGCTCACATTCGCAGATCTTTCACTGGGAGGTACAGAAGCTTTATATGACTATTTCCCCAGCCCAGAGATGATTTTTTCTTTTGGTATTTTTTAACTTTTGTTTTGCTTTCTGATAAAAGGACCATGGTTATGTGGAGGATGATAAAGATGATTCCAGCAAGTGTGGTCCCCAGGAAGAAACACAAAAGGAAGTGAGGCCATTGTATGCCCCCCTTTCCTTCTGTTTCCTTTGGGTGTAAGTTTCCATCAAACCAACTGTCAGCTGTCTCAGCCAGAAGCTGAATGGGATAAAGGGGATTATAGCAGACTCAGAGTCCTTGGCTGGGAAAATAATAAAGGCAGAAAACTGGCAGATTTTAAACTTATAAAACATAAGAAAATTTGAGACATGAGGAAATGTGCTCTTTTACACAACCAGCAACATACATATTATAAATATAGTTATGTATTTGTATGATGTTTATATATAAGTATATAAATATACATATATATGTATTTTTTAAAATACTGACAAGTCAGTTTCTACTTTCTATGTGATTATCAATACACTGGCAGTTATAAATATGAACTTCTTGAAGAAGCTTGAAACAGAATTTTTGTTGACTTTTTCTGTAATTATCAAAGCGACCAAATTTTGTTTCATTTATGACAATACATGTTTTACTTCTTAATGACACTGGGCTTTATCTATTAATTTTTATTTATTTTCTAAGTACCACCCCAGACTGTTTGGTGAAACAATGCTTATCCCTACATGGTTACTTGTTTAATTCATTCATTAGTTGTTACATAACTTAATAACTATAAAATGGTATTCTTCACTCATCTTTCTAGTCTCCAAACCTCCAAACCTAATTCTGGAGCATTTTGATAAACTTCCAAATGCTAAACATTTCAATTTTAGACACCCCCCCCGCCCCCCCCCCCCCCCCCCCCCGCGCAAAAAACCCATCTCTATAAGCCTGAGAGTCATAAACATCAGGTCTAGAATACAGTTTGGTGATTCCCTAGGCCAGCCTGACTGTCTTAGAGATGTAGAAATAGGTACTAAGGTTATAAAAACCTGATATTTATTGTAATAGTTACTACATATGGTTTCTGATTTTTCTTCACAAAAGCAGTAGGGTAGGTATTATTATCACAACCAGAAAAGGAGTCTTAGAAGGGACACAAGTTTGGTTACCATATGTAAGTGCACAGAGGTCAACAATGACTCTAACCCTGGCAGATTAACTCTAAATACTCCAAACTTCTTCTACAAGATGGTATGTGTAGTGAGACTACAAAAAGGAATTACTGATAGATTTGTTTTTCATTTTCAGACAGGTTCCTGTGTATTCCAGGCTCACTTTGAACTCACAAAGTAGCAGAAGATGACCTGAAACTTTTGATCCACTTACCTCCACTTCCTGAGTGCTGGGATTACAAGTGTATGTGGCCCTGGGAACTGAACCAAGGGCTTCTTAAATGCTAGGCAAGCGCCTTATCAACTCTTTATCCCTGTCACAGACTTCCGATGTAATATTCCCCTCCCTCTCTCATCTCATTCTTTCCCTCCCTCCATTTATTCCTTTCTTACTTTCCTTTCTTTCAAAAAATGTTTTCTATACTCAGGATAGTTCTATGAAATCTATTTGGCAGAATGTTTAGTACATAAAATTTTATGTGTGTTGTCTTAAGAGAGTGATTTGGTTTTAAACAATGAAAAGGAATCCTAGCTGAGAGACTGACCAACTTTTTTCCCAAGATTGCTGCAGGACCCTTCCTGCACCATGTGGCAAGAATTTATGAGGACTGACCAATTAATTGCACATGATGTCTGTGTCACTGTTTTATGGTCAATGAACTTCATATATTTGCTTCAGAATGTCAAACCTGCCTACTAATCAGAAGCAAAATAATTGGTGGGGCAAAAATCCAAATAAGTAAAATAATAAGGAAGTACATTGTAATTCCACAAAATTTTAACACAATGCAAGTGGACAAACTACACAAAATACTCAACAACTGACACAGGTATTCAACACATACTTTTGTGAAGAAGCAAGTAAGCAGATGAAGAAGGAGGAAGCTATGAGCCATCTATTCATGGGTGTGAACAAAACGGACCCATGTGCATTTGCTACCCTACTGATCTAAATGCTTTTGTTGTTTTGTCACAAAGCACAATTTCTGAGCTCTTTCAACTCACCCTATAAGCAAGAAAATGGATAGAACATGCCAGCAATGTCTACTTAAGTAAAGTAAAGCTTAAAGGATTCTGTATCTACAAAATTCTTGGTCTTTTGTTAGAATTTTACATTTATTGCCTTTTCAGAAAATCATAAAAAGCCATTGGGGGGAGAAGCCCTCAGAAGCAGCATTCATCTCTTTCATAGATGATAAAATAGGCTTGTATAGGTCATTCAAAAGAAAGACAGTACGCCTTAGAGTTCAGGCTTCCAAGACAAGCAACTCAGTAGCTAGTGATTTTCAAAGAACTAGAAAGCTACTCTCCATGGATGCAGTTTCCCTCCTGAAGATTTCTAAAAGGTTCTAACTGTATTGTGAACACGCAGAATTGTGTGTGCTAGGATGCATCCATTGAATTACACTATAACAATAAAATTTAGTATTTACTGAATGCCTTGATGTCAGAAAAGAGGAGGTATTCTGTACATGTGCTGAATGCCAATTGTTCACAGGACAAAAGGTCTATGAGGGCATGATTGATCATTTCTTAGTGCTCAGTCTCTACAAATTGAGATATGTATCTCCACCAAGCAATGTTTCTCACTGGGAGGTTTTGTAGGGATGGGAATTTAAGAAAGCAATTTCTTGAATATTACTGTCAAACATCTTTGCTTTTATTGACAATCTGCATTTCCAGGTGATGCTGACACTGGTATTCTGGGAGCCACTGAGAAGCACTGGTATGGATGATGTGGCCTCCCTATTGTCCTTTTCTGCTTAGTTGATGCCGAGTGTGAAGGGCAACTGTATGTGCATTGTAGTATCAAAGTTCATGCCCCTTCATCATTGTATAGCAACACCACAACATTCTCATTTCTATCTATTCTACCTACAGATTCAGGGGAAATGGATACATAGCCTATCTTAGATACTTCTTGGTTTTTCATTTGGATCTTAAAGCCATAAGTAGAAATGTCAATATCTATTTTCATTGTATCAATAAAAATTTAGCACAGCATGGAAATCCAGACTGTGTCTCCCCTCCAAAAGCTTTTTTTTCCCCTCTGAGGAATGTGCTATCCTAGACGTTTTGTGATAGGTAATATAGTACTCTGCCTACATTCTCTAGACATTGTAGCTATTTCTTCTATTTGATGGTTTTATTGGTTACAGTATCTATGAAATTCCATACAAAATGTATGGAGCTAGTACACAGGCATAAATACAACTGAATGTGACTGTGTGTAAGAGTTTAAACAGTGATCTCAACACTGTTTCTTACCATCTCTTATGATCAGCCTGTCATAGGCACACATTAGCTGAGGTTCAATGTCCATGGAGAGGATGTTGAGTTCCACAGTAGAATCGGGAGCGTAGATGATCCATGTACAGTCAGCATGATTATGGTACTGCCCAGGCCAGCCCGGGGAGAAAAAAAGGAGAGGAGTGTCTCCTGTCACCATATATCCTCCACAAGCACCTGGAGAAAAAACTGCATCTTTAAGCCCTTGTCCTGTAAGTGTTTCAGAGTGACTGCACTCTGGGGCTGAGAGATAACACACAGTTAAAAGCACTTCCTGCTCTTCCAGAAGACCTGAGCTGTGTTCCCAATACCCATGTCAGGCAGTTCACAGCCACCTGTAATTTCATCTCCAGGAAACTTGACCTGTCTTCTGGCCTGTAAGGGGACCAGTACACACACACACACACACACACACACACACACACACACACACACACACACACACACACCAGTCTTAGAAAGACCCCAATACATTACCAAACACACCTGGAGCAATGGTAGGATCAGTGCCACCAGAAACATCTACCGCAAACCACTCCAGAAGGAATCCCTTCCCGGAAACGGTAGCGTCAGAAGAAAACTGGAATGTCAAAGAGTTTCTACTGGAACTAAATGATTCCAAGGGGGGTACTGCAGTAAGTGCCAATCAGGCGGGAATGGATATCAAGCCCATCATAGATCTGCATGTAAAAACAAACAAACAAACAAAAACCCACCACAATAAGACATCATAACTAGGCAACTATCTATATTTTTCTTCATTAAAAGAGACATTTAAAGGATGGTTTGTAGTTTATAATTTAATCAGACTAGAAAGAATATCAAGAAAATACTTCATTTTAAAACAGAAAGTCATGTTAAATATATTATTACAAATAATTTAAGGTGTTCCATATAGCTTCATTGCAGAATTATCTTAATAAACATGCTTGTGGTATATAGCGTATTTAGTGACCTACAGTCATGTATGTGGGTGGAAAAGTACAACCAATTGTAAAGAGGTTCATACTCTAAGAGAGAAAAGAGCTAATAACAAAGAAAGAACCACAGCTCATGGGGCTCCCCATATTCAAAATACTTAGTAAATCTAATCCATCTGCCTGTAAATACTAGAGATATCTTATGATAGTTTCCAAATAATTGCAAACAATTTCATTATAATAATTATAAAATCCTCCATTAAACTTATTTCTTTCAAATTACATCACAATTATTTCCACACCTATTGGGCATTGTGTCATTAGTCACTGGGTTCGACTTTGAGCACTGAACTTCCAAGAAGAGTGATTGGATTGTGGCCTTCAGGGATATGTTAGTGTTTTCTGGAATTTACAGAGTAGCCAATGCATGGATAATAAAAGCCATCATAGCATCTCCATTTGTATTTTCTTATTTTTATATCACCATTTCAGGTTTTAAGGCTGTGCATGAGAACAGACAACTCTGTCTCTCTTGGGAAGTCTGCTGCATCTGAGTATGCACTATGCCCCCTTCCTTTCTCTCCACCTTAACACTGTAGCTTCTATCTACACTAAAGACTTCTCTTAAATTCCCACCTTGTTCCTTGTTTCAAGAAAAACAACAAAACAAGACAAACAAATAAAGGAACAAACAGGATAACAGGATAGAAGATAGAATAAACACATAACTAGAGCAAATAGGCGTGCTTAGACAAAAGTCAATCATTTTATATAGAAGAGAAAATAACAAATATAATAAAAGAATTAATTAGTATAAGTGACAGTGAAGCAGCAGTTATGATGTGATAGGACTTTCACATGTGTCTTTTATTTATTTGAATAGGTATGAACTTGGACTTATTTTCACCAATAGTATCCATCAAAATATATAAACATCTCCCTCACAAAGAAACTCACCTTTAATTTGTCATAACGGCAGTTTCCTGCTGTTTCCATGTCTATCTCCAAGATTCTACCATGTATAATTTGAGATGAATTTACATTTACTGTCCATCTGTAATTGGAGTTAGGGGGGTAATTTCCAGGCCATAAGGGAGATGCGATTTTCCCATGAGTTCCCACAATATTATCATCGCCAAATACTAGGAGGAAAACAGAGTTGTAAATCAGACCTATTTAGAATTGCTCTTTAATTAAATGAGGAAAAAAAAAACAAAAACAACAAAAAACAAAAACAAAGGCAAGACTGTTGGAAAGGATGGGCTTTTAATTGACTGGGATTTCTTTTCTGAACACTGAAAGAAATACTGCTTCCCGTTTGGTTTTCTGGGCTATTAGGTCTTGGAGAAGGATGGCTCTTGAGTGGAATTCCATCTCCTTAGAAGGCTGTAGGGTTTGAAAGGAAGGGACAGCTTCCCATGAGTAAAGGATTTCCCAGACCCCTGGGGACTGGGGAGGAGGAATGGTACCTCACACCTTAACTGTATTTTACCAGTTTTGTTTTGTTTTATGAAAGAAGGGAATTTTTCCTTCCCTTTTAAAATTCTACATCAGAATCAACACAGAGAACAGCCAACCATGGAAAAAACTTGAGTTAAAGAATAAAAATAATTAATATTGTATCACTGAAAGAAGAGCCCACGTTTTATCTGAGTGCTTAAGCCAGTCCAAAAATAATTCTAAAGGTCTTAATTTGAAGATTGTACTTAAAAGACCAAATGAAACATGTTTGACAGAACTCTATCTGCCTGTAGGAAAGTAAAAGGCTCATTTGCATAATATCAGAAACATTAATAGCAGGAGCCCAAACAGAAGACTCAGAGCATCAAGCACAATTTCCTTATCAGTTAGTGAGCCATCCATAAATAATTGAGTTTTTCTGATTCATTTTTCTACAATCTGAGAAAGGAATGTAGAGTGTAGGATTATTCTTGGTTGATAAATTACTGAAATGTTTGTCAACATTCCTAATGTGTAGGATACATTCTGGAAGCCATTGGGGAAACAAACCAACTTACCGTGACTGAACCTGGCCTGGAAGCCCATGCCACTGCCTGAGCCATCAGAGACAAATCTGATCCACAGAATATGACCCTTGATGGATGAGAAATTGCCAGGGAGGGAGTTTCCACAGTATCGTCCCACCAATTGGCCTGTGGCATTTCCTTCTCGGATTTCCACAAAATCCTTGTTACAGTTTGGAGAGCTCTCCAACTGGAAGGTTCTAGTTTGGAAACAAACAAACAAAAAGTAACGGAGTGAACAGACAGAATAAATTTGAGAATATCCTGATTTCAGTTCAGAGGGGCCAAACTCCTCTTCTGGCCCCCATGGGCCAAAGCAGTTCAGTACTGAAAGAGTTGCTTCAATAATTGGATACTAGAGTAAGAAAAAAGAAAATCAATTTCTTTCTTTATATGCAGAAACTAATTTAACATTTTTCACATATGTCCTCAAAATATTAGAAATACAAAAAAACTCTTACAACAAAACAGACCATCTTTGGAACTTTGAGATAAGCAAATGCAAAATAGTACTACCTATAAGATAAACAGTATAATTCAGGCTCAATCTTATTACGCTGAATGTTATTGCCAATATGAAATATGCCAAAATTGCTTTACTCTGCTCCTGAGAAAAGAGAGAGGCAAGTCCTCTCTCATCTCAGAAGGTAAAGCCACACAGACTTCCTCTGGAAGCATTCTACTGAGGCCTGGTGTGTGGTCCAGCAGTCTTAGTCTCACGTGAAGACTCATTTGAAATAAAGAATCTGGACCCCACATGCTTTACCCGGGCATTTCTTCCCCTCCGCTTACAGACCCTTTGCGTATATATTGTAGTTTCCGATTTTGTTTTTATGGTTTTTCCATGGCTGTGAATGTGTCTCAGATTCTGTCTGTGTTTCTTGTGCTTTTCCTTTGGCTCTTTTTTTTCTGTTTGTTTTGTGCTATCCTGGTTTGGTTGTTCCTATTTTATCTTATAATAATTATTATTGTTTTAGGTGACTGTATTCTAAGGACAGAAAAAAAAGGTGTGGATTTGAGTGGGTGGGGAAGTGGGGAGGATCTGGGAGGAGCTGGGGAGGGGAAACCATAATCAGAATATATTGTATAAAAATATTTTTCAATAAAGAACAGATAATTATATATCCAGGAAGGGGGTGTGTGAATCTAGCGCTAAATAGCAATGAATCAGGGCTTGAAATGTAGCAAAACTCGAGTGATCTGAATGCCTGTTAAAATGCTGACCAGTGACCCAGGAGAGTACACAGGCAAGGTCTTTCCTAGTGATCGGCTTGTCTTCCAGGGATAATCAGCAGGGAAGGCTTTCTATTAGAAATTACAACGGTGATACTCACAAGCGTCAAACCAATGTTCTTATACAAGCTTTGATCTTGGAAGTCTTTGTTTTAGGCTGGTACATTTTATAAGCAAATCTATCCTTTGGCTAAGATCTGTCAGTAAAAATACAATGTGCAACAAAAATAACAAAATTTCTGTTTCTCATTATTTCATTTCAGTTCTGCTCCCAGAACCAACCATTTCCTCAATGCCTTCTCTGGCATAAAGTACAATTTCTGTTCATTCCTTTGAATATCTGTCTCTATAGAATAAATAAGTTTTATTTCTCCCCTCTCCTTTTCCTTGAAAATTCAACTATAATTTTTCCACGTTTCCTCCCTACTCAGTCTCACCACAGCATCCATAATCTAAACCCTGTGTTAGAACTTGCTGTGCTTCATATGTTTCTCACACACCCCAGGGAAGAGGTCTAGTCCACATCTGGATGTAGTTTAGATCAGGGCAGAAATAACTCCCAGGCCTTGCTAGGAAGCATTTCTCATTATTATTAACACACAGCAAAAGCAACTTGCATTTTACAAAGGCCACTTTAACAATAAAACTCAGGCCAGTAACACAAAGGTGTCAAACTTCATACAGGTGAGCAAGGAAACTGAGTCATTGAGAGTTCTCTGTTCAGCAATTAGATTTAATGTCTGTCAGCTGGTAAAATGGATGACACTTTCTGTTCTTTGCTTTCTGTTGCTGTGAGAGACACCATCACAAAAACTAACTTGAGAAGGAAAGAGTTTGTCTGGCTTCTGGGTTACAGTCCCTCATGTGGAAAGACCTGGGCAGGGGCTCTAGGCAGGAACCTGGAGGCAGGAACTGAAGGAAAACAGAGAAGGAATACTGCTTACAGCCTTGCACCCAGGCTTACATCCAGCTGCCTTTCTTCTATAACTTAGGCCCACACTGGGTGCCCACATCAATTAGCAATCAAGACAGTGCTCTATAGACATGCCCACAGGCTATCCTTCAGTAGAAGTTCCCTCTTTCCATGAGTCACATGGACAACCAAAATAAGCACCCATGCTCTAGAGAAAGTCTAGTGTGGGCCACGTGGGATTGTTCCTGAAGCACCATAGAAGATTCTTCAGACACAGCAAATATTGAAATAGTTTTCACAGAACACTGCTATATCATGGCCCTGGGCTATGTATTTTAAATTGTAGTATCCTTAACCCTAACAGGGGTCCTTCAAGTTTATGATTGTCTTTCTAAGGATGGAATGAATCTTTTGAGGTTTCCATTCACTAGCTTCCTGAAGTTGATTTGTCAATAAATTTGTCAAGAACAGAAAGCATATGTGTATTAAATATCCCCCACAGCTAACCCAGTTCCTGGAACCGCTGACCACCAGAAAGGTAAACAAAACGAATATGGTAGAGATGAGAGGGAAAAGGCCCAAAAGGAGTCTCCTGTGCTTGGTAAGTTTGAGGTCTAACAAGGTCCTGGGAGGACCGTAGGCTTCATCACTAAGACAGAACAGCACTTCTCTCATCACTGTAAAGCATCCCCAGGGAAGGGGATGTGTGCTCAGGGTGCTGACAAATATTTGCTGAATAGAAACACACATCATGAAGAGATTGTTATATGCATATTGTATAATTTCTTATTACAGAAGAAATGTCATGATTTCAGTGAAAACGAAGACAACCCCCAAATTCCCACATTGCCTTTCAGATATAGAAAAAGCTTAGCACGAGGTCACTTGTACCCTGTGGAGGTACGGCCTGACTGATCGATTCAAGAAAGCAATCTGAAATATTTGAACTTGCTGTCTCATTTTTAATCAGTTCTTGTTGCACAGATGGGCATGTCTATGAGGAAGAGCCAGCAAACAATGCCCTCCTCTCAACATGGAGGAATTGACATCCTTTCTAAAACAAAATTAACAGCCAGACATTGCCATGCATGCTTGTTATCCCTGCATGGCAATGTGAGGCAGGAGGATCACAAGTTCTAGTCCATTGTGGGCTACACACTGAGGACTCGTGAAAAACAACAGTAATAAAGAATTAATGATTTCAACCTGACTCCCGTAACATGTAATATAGTATGGCACATAGCTTTGAACTCAAAGTGGTAATTTAAATACCAACATATCTTCAGTAAATAATTACTTGTTTGTTCATTTTTTTCTTTTCTTCTTTTATTTTTTGAGACAGGGTCACTATGTCACCCTGGCTGTCCTGGAGCATGCTGTATAGACCAGACTGGTTTCAAACACAAAGAGATTTATGTGCCTGCCTCTGTCCCTGAGTGCTAGGATTCAAGGTTCACACCACCATGCCTGGCTGCCAGGGCATATTTTTAAAGTACCCATTATCAACATGGTTTGTCATTGGAACCTCTTTACTGAGGGATGACACAATCCCATTTCACATACCATGTGCTGTTTACATCTACTTCTGGGAAATATTATTATTGCCGTTTAGTTTAGCCTAGGTCTATTTGGAATGTAACAAGATCTACCCTTCATTCCACATCCATAGTCCATGTTCCAAAATTGTTAGTATTCAATGAGAAGCTTGAAGGCAGATTTACAAATCAACTGCTAATATAAAAAACTGAAATGAAAAACCTTCCGAAGATCATTTCTCTGATAGGAAAGGAAGGGTGAATTGGAATAGGGATAAAGCATGTGGGTAAAGAAGGCCAAATGGGGGCTGGAGAGATGGCTCAGAGGTTAAGAGCACTGACTGCTCTTCCAGAGGTCCTGAGTTCAATTCCCAACAACCGCATGGTGGCTCACAACCATCTGTAATGAGATCTGGTGCCCTCTTCTGGCCTGCAGTCATATATGCTGTATACATAATAAATAAATAAATCTTTAAAAAAAAAAAAAAGGCCAAATGGAGACAGACACAATTTCTCTCAGTTGGAAGATAGAACATTGTTGAGAGAGTCTTAATGTTTTATATAGCTCAAGCTATGAATGGAACAGAGGAAACTGGGGGAAGTCTTCCTAAGGTTCCCACTTGTTCTCTCTGGTGGTGACTGGGACACAGGATGCTGGGTACCCATTTTACCAGTATCAGTGCTTCTTCCCTGCAGACTCATCAGGACTGAGACCATACACCCATGTAAAGGACTCACAGAAAGGACAGCTGCAGCTGGTTTCCAGGGGAGCTGACAATGTTCCAGACACATTCCGCATGAGGATGGTATGCTGCTGGGTAGTCAGGGCTGTTGAAGATGCCATCAGCCATGTTGAAGGTTCCACCGCAAGCTGGAAGGCAAAAGAAAAAAAAAAGGAAGTTTCAGAGCAAAGAGCAAATGAAAGACAGCACAAGATACAAGAGGAAGAGCACTAGGGCCATGTGCAAAGGACAGGACACTTGCACCTCACATTAACAGTTGATCTGTTTCACATAGTGTAACAGAGGGAAGATTCCAAAGATGGAAAACCGAGAGCTCTACAGAGGGAGCTCTTTTCTAAGAGTCTTTCTCCATGTGAACTAGAACTTCATATTAAAAAAAGGACTTGTTTTCAATCTTGCAGCCACTTGGTTTTTATGGCCAGGGTGATTTTTAAGATTGCCCCGGAAGAGGGTGTACTTTTCCCTGGCTGCCATGGAAAAGGCAACTGTCCAGCTTGTCCCTCTGGGGAGAGCACTAAGACACACCATTCTTCATTTTCTACACTTGGGCTGTTAACAGCCTCTCCTGGCCAAGAAGCACAGTGCTGGATGGCACCTCGTTCCTTTCCTGCCCATGTGCCTCACTGCACAGTGGACCTGTCAATATCCACACCTACCTGACCCTAGCATCAAGTGCAGAAAAATAGCCATGAGGCTGTGCATGGTATGAGTCTCCATCAAACTGCCAGTCATGGAGCACCTTGGCAAACACACTGCTGTGACACTAGAGAACAGGTCTCCAAGAAGATAAGGTGGGGCTTAAAAAAAAACCAGCCAGGTTTTCAGCCAATTCTCCTCACTTTCTAGATCTCATGGTTATGAGAATTTACACAACATTAAATCATAAAGAAGGCACAAGGGAAATTTTAGGAAACTGGCTCCCCACTTTAAAAGGATCCTAAATAACCAAGCAAAGATTTCTACCCCACACTGCCAAACCCTGCAATCATCTGTTAATGCCTTTTACTTACCTGACGTTGATGCAGAATAGAAGGCATGGAAACCCTCACTTACAATGGAAGAATCAGAGACAAACTTCAGTGTCAGGGCATTGCCAAAAGATACGATGGGATGGGGCAGGGAGGTACCACAGTAACGGCCTAAGGATGAAGAGGTGACAAGGAGGTAAGTAATGCAGGCCACACAAGACATCACAATGAGAAAGAACCATTTACATCAGAGTTGTGTTTGAGACAACGCCTGAGCACTAAAGATACACTCTAGATACCAGCATAGCCAGGATGAATATAGACATGATTAATTTAAAAAAAAAATAGAGGGACAGAGGGAAAGCAGATGTGACTAGACTCCAACTGTAACTCAAGTGGACACTTCCAGCCAAGTAGGGACCAGACAATAGTGCACTTAGAATCTCAGTACATTATCACAGAGAGGACGAGATGGTGGATCAAGTTCCATGGATTCAACACCTGGCTTGCCATTCATGAGTTATGCAACCTGAGACAAGTTACTTGGGTATTCTGTGACCCAGTTTCCTCATATGAAATAACTAAATCCATGTCGTAAGGCTATAAAGACTGAGTTACCACTTATAAAGTACTTAGAGCAGTACTCCGCAGGAGGTGGTTGGGTAAGAGCGTGTGTTCTATAACATATCCTTGTCTTTGATTCTATGCCAATGGATTAACTTCTCACACAATACAATTCAAGGTGTGTCTAGTGCCCAGTCGTTGTCCACCAGGCTCTGTTATGGGCACAGTAATAAAAGTTGTCTCCTCTGACAGAGCTTGTCTTCTGCAAGGGGCGGGGGGGAAGAGGGGAAATACTTCCATGGCAAGATGCTCACAGAGAAAGTGCTTAGTGCATCTAAGCTTATATTGTCTGAACCACTTGAAGAGCTACGCCACACACATTTTAACTTTATTGGGATGTCTAACAAACAAACTGGTGAATTTTTAATTAAATCAATTAATTAATTTTAAAATGTTTTCCTTCCTCTGGAGACAGAAGAAACATTTCCAATGGAGTATAAGAAGTATTTTAAAGTACTAGCCAGAGATTTCTGAATTTTCTGTTCAATGATGAAATGGTCTTTGTTCCACTACTGCTTCAGATTGCGATTTGGAATCTGTAACTTGCACTTTAGAAACAAACTAAAATACACAAACTATTTGTGAACATAAATAAGTTGAGTTTCTTGAGTCCTACATTATTCTGCTTTCCTACCCTCTGATTATTCCTATGTGGCTTATGAGGCTCTTCGTGCTTATTGGAAACACTGTAACTTTGGATGTCAACAACAACAGCAACATACACACACACACACACACACACACACACACACACACACACACACACACACACACACACACACACACACACTACATGCCAAGACTACAGATGTAAATGACTGAGTCTTTGGTACCTTGGACAGGTGCGTCATAGTCCTTGCCATCCAAAATTTCTAAATAGTCCCGTGTACAGTCTGTGCTGCCTTGAAGTTGAAAGAGGCTAAAGGAGAGGGTAATATGACTGACTATAGAAAAAAAGAGAGAGAAGAGGGATGGTTATTTAATAAAATATTGGCAAGCAGAACAGAGAGATTTTTGCCTCTGGTACTTTGAGATGAGGGTTTTCCAGCAGGGAAGCCAGGCATTTGGCAGCTTTGCACAGGGGTGGGGTGGGTAAACAGAGCTAAGGGCTCAGCTTCATGCTTAAAGGGCTTCCTTTGAAGAGTAACAGAATCGATGCTTTTGAAAACGCCTGTAGAATCCCAAATGCCAGTCATGGTAAATCAGGACTCTTCGGTAAGTTCATCCCAGAGACTTTGGGAAATGTCTTATTGGAAAACATAACCATAGGCTGTTGTTTTGTTTTATTAGCTATTGTTGTGTGCCTCTCATAAACATTCTTCTCCACAGGTTAGTTTTCTTAGATTCTGATTCCTTACATGTGCTGTACTGAGACATCCTTCTTCCACAAGACACAGCACACTCAAGCTTATTTAGCGGTCAGAACCAGTGCCCGAGAGCTTCTGAATCATCCATCAGGAAAGCTTTGAACCACGCAAGGAACAGCAAGTGCCTGGGTACATTTTCCCTTTGTTGTCCCTCACAGCGTCCCTAATCTTCAGAATGGGATCTTTTCCTGTTGCCGTCCTTGCAGTGAGAACTTTCATCTGGATGTTTTTACAGCTCCTTAGAAAATAATCAATAGGCACAAAACTGCTGGACTCGGGTGGGGGATGGGGTGGGCTTCTTTTTCTCTGCTTTGTTGGGGCTCCACCCTCTCCATCTACAAAGACTGCGAATTACATCACCGGCTCCCACATCTTATGCGTGGCCACAAAATAGAATCAATTTGGGAAGCTCTGTTTCACAACTAATAACAATTAAATTAAACTTAATATTTAAGGCCAGCTCTTCTGCAAATTATTTTATGCTGGGGCCTGATGAGCCTAAGTGCCTGTCCTATTTTCACACGGGTCATTAATTAGAGAACAGAAAAGAGGACTTAATGGCTTTCCCACTTCGTGTCTGAAATCACAGACTCTTCCTGGAAACCTTAAAGGAGGGCAGGGTTCAAGTGAAATGGGATTCCTAATGGGACTAGGATCACTGTGTTTGGAGCGGTTCTGACATGTCTACAAGGGCCATCTCATTTTCTCTGCCTGTAAAACGTGGACAGACTATTACCATGTCAGATAATAGAATTCTAAGATTCCAAAAAGAAAAGAAAGTAAGCCTTTACTGAGTGCTTCTAGGCCTATGCTGGGGTTTCAGCAATATGTACTTGGCAGGAGAGAATAAGTTTTGCTCTTAGTTTCCCCTTTAGTGACCAACATCTTGTGACATCGTATCCTCCAACTGTAAGATTGATAGTTCTCCAAACTGTATCTTCATTATTCACATATTCATCCAGCATCTACCGTACTCAGCAACACATGTCAAGAGCTGTTTATCTATCAATTACTTTTTCATGACCTCAATCTCACATGCCTACCAGTACAACAAAGACGTACACAAATACAACCTAGGGTTCTGTGCATAGTAAGTAGGTACATGTTCTAGGAGCCACATCCTCAATCCTTTGTCTTTGTTTGTTTGCTTGCTTGTTTGTTTTTAAGACAAAGATTTCACTGATCCCAGAGTAGTCTCCAACTGGATATGAATGGAGGGTGACCTTGAACTTCTGCTTCTTCTACTCAGTGTGTGTTGCAATGACAAGCATGTGCCACCACTTGATGCATGTAGTTCTGGGGATCAAACCCAGAGAGTCAATGGTGGTAAGCAGGTACTCAGTCTACTGAGCTATCCCTTCAACTCCCCAGCCTTTGGATGTTTTAGAGACAAGGTCTCCATATATTACTCAGGCTGGCCTTGAACTTACTGTTGAGCCCAGTCTGGTCATCAACTCAAAAGCCTTTTGCCTTAGCCTCCAGAGTACTAGGATTACCACATCCAGCCTTAAAAATTCCTTTAAATTAATATGAATCACTTTTAAAATTGTCTGTGTACTAGACTAGAAAAATGACTGTTTTCATGCATTCCAGGAACCAGGACTTCCAAAAAAGAGGTCAGTCATCAATTGTTACCACTGAAGAGGTAAGTGCCCTACTGACAGCCATACTTCCCAAAGGTATCCCTTGCCCCAGACTCCTCTGTTTTTTACTTTTGTTACTTACATGGAGGTTGAGCTTCAATTATCCAAGTACAGTTTTGATTGTTTAGATATTTATTAGGGAACAATGGAGAGGAAATAGTATCAGAAGAGTCAGTGATGATGTGGCCTCCACATTCTGGGAAGTAGAAACACACATGTCATATACTTTTGATTTCTACCAACTACACCAACCAATTATTAGATGACTGAAAATACTTCTTATTTCCACAGTGCATGCCAAGAAAGCTCTCTGATAAGGAAGCTGCACATCAACCATCAGATAATGAGAAAATACTTTACAGTTATAATATTTTTCAATTACAGGAAGTGGGGACATGGTAACAACATATTACAGGAAGTAGGGACATAGAACAACACATTAAATGGCTATAAATTGTCTGAATCATTCAACCACCAACACTCTGGCTTTGATTCACTCATTCTATTTACTCATTAATTATAAGAAGGGTAATTTGTTTATAAATGAACTTTATTATCTCTAGAAAACACTCAATTTGTAAAGGTGATTGCAAATTAACCATAGAAGTTCAGTGCTCTGTGGGAACCAAGGAGAGGAGAGTGTGTTGCACTGTTGAGCGCCCAGTCTCCAGAGGAGGCAGGACTGGACGAGGATCTGGAGGATGAGAAGCACAGCACAGGGAGGGCAGCCTGAGCAAAGACATTGGTGAGGAGAAGGGCCCTATTTATCCGGTCTTGACTGAAGCATGTGAGGCTTAGATTGTATTGGAAGCAGCACTGTAAAGGGGTCAAGGCAGGTTTTGGAACTGTACTTAACAGTTGGAGTGGCTTGACTTCCATCTTCAAACCACACAGAGAAAGGACAGACACGAGGAGTCTCAGTGTGATCAGAGTGTGTCTCTTACGAGTTATTTGGGAGAAAGATGGAGCAAGAGGGGGTGAGTTTGAGGAGGCTGTTGTAAGAGTTCAGATAGGGATGAGAGAGTACTCTCACTCTGAAGCAACACTTAAGGGAATATTAGGTGTAAAGAAAAATAGTGTTAAGTACTACTTTTTCTTTGAAATCACCGAGAATGGTAGACACACATGCTAGTGTCTTGCTCCAATGTCTCTGAGGGTGCACCTTTGTGAGACTAACTGAGAAACACTCTCCACCTAGGAGTGTTTACTAATATGATACCAGCAAGTCTACTAGTGTGGATGTTAACAGGTGCATGATGACGGAACAGGCTAACCTTATTTGAGGTGGGGCCAAGGAGATGGCTCAGCCGATAAAGGCATTGCCATCAAGCCTACAGACATGAGTTCAATCCCTGAGAGCCACATGAAAGGAGAGAACTGAGTCCCATAAGTTGTCCTCTGACCTCTGCATGTGCACCATGACACATACAAATAAACACATGTACAACTTTTTTTAATTAAAAAAATTTTTGAAGTAAATTATCTGAGTCATATAGATAAAAATCATAGCCCCATTCAAACCAATTAACAATCCCTCTAAGTTTGGGTTCCTTCTATGTCTGCCAATTTGATAAAGATTAATCTCTGAGGAAAAATCTGGTGAAAGGCGATGGGTGAAAGGCTTGGGAGAGGAAATTGAGAAGTGGTGACTTGAGGACAAAAACAATGGAAAAATATGGAATTCAGCAATGAGGTAAACCATTCTGTGAAGATAGAATCTGACTCTACATTACAGACAAGTCTTACAGCTGTATATCTCCTTGGTTAGGTGCTTGGTAAATTAATTTGGCTAATTCTTTTTTTATATTGCTGGTACTGTACCATTAAACGTTATCCTAAAAACATAGTGCTTAAGAGATTTACAGGTCCTAAGACATCATCATCATTTAAGGTAGACGAAGATACATAAAATATATGAACAGCTAGCATACTCATAAGTCTTCCTATCTGAACATTTGCATGTTAAGTTTGAAACTCTGGTGAACTTCTGAAGTCTGGTGTCATTACAGCAGTTGGGGGTTAGGTGACCCACAGGATACTTGCCTTGCCTGAACTGAGCTCGGAAGCCCCTGCCCTGTCTGGAAGAGCCAGACTGGAATCTCACAAAGAGGCTGTTTCCTGAAGAAGTGATGGAGTTAGGTGGTGTCTGTCTTCCACACACACTGGCGACACGGGTGTTTGTGGAACTTGAGCCATCATACGTCTACAAAGATGGAAGACAGAAAACTCTCAATACTGCAAGTTTACATCTATAAGGCCCATATTCTGTGGATCATCTGCAAATCAATGAGCCAGTAAAGCATTGCATTGGCTGGATCTACAACAATTGGCTTTTTTTCATTGTCTTGTTGTAGAGTTCCAGAGACATGTCTGAGTGTTTGGTCATTTCTAGAAACAATACAAAGATTTCAGTGTGAGGTTTTCTGCTAACACCACCAATACCTCTCTAAGTTCTGACCCTCACAGAGCCCTCCTTTTTCTCATGACCATCAATCAGCACATGCCCACGATGTGTATTGAAAATGTTTGATGCAAAGTTGATGCACAGAAGCAGAACAGGTGAGAGATAACAAGTAAGGATGCATTGTTAGAAACACAACATTCTTGGAACCTTTTGCTCCTTAGAGGCTCATAGACAATGAGCAAGAAAAATGGCAAGAATAATATGAGAGGGATTAGCCTGGTGTAGGAAGTTACCTCATTCAAAGACATGTATCAGGTTCCATCCCTGCCCAGTACCATGCTGGAGTTCCTTTGACACACTTTCTGTGCCAGTGGAGTAAAGTTTATATTATATGTGCCCCAAATCTCTGCATCATTCTGTAAAACTGGAGTTTACTCATCTGTTTGGCATTCTGAGCTAGCATGAGCTCTTGAACACTTTTATGTATAAATCAGGAATTGATGAGTCCCTTGTCTTTGCATGGTAACACTTGGGACCACTAGGTACATACTCTGTCAGAAATTAAATTCAGTCTTTCTTATTTGATTCCTCCAAACATTTTCTCTACCTATATTTTTATCAAAAAATTCATAGACAATCTTAGTGATGTATAAGTTACATAATTCCTAAGAGGGAACAAGTCACTTTGAGTCTAAAAACTTGATTTTAGCGTCTAGCATTGAAACTCTTACTTTGTCCAATATAAGATATCTGTTGAACAAGGTAGATATATTACTATAGCGAAAGTCAGTATCTGGAAATATTAAATTAATTATGACTATCTCATTCAAACCTAGTTGCCATCTGCATTTTGTCAGAAAAATGTGGATAGATAACAGAATATTCAAGTAACTTGGAAAATCTAGTGATGACTGTAATCAGCATTCTATTAGAGAATCAGGGTTGGGAGGATATTCTGAACTGATTTGTACAAGCACATGAATCATATGGCTATCGGATTTAAATCCTCAGAGAAAGGGACCAGGCTTTTATAGTAATAAATACAAAGTAAATCTGGTTCTAGAACAACACTTCTTTCTCCCTTCTCCCTCTTACCATTTAATGTTCACATTTTAAATCCAAACATTCAATACATGAAACTTTAAAAATGATTTTTATCCAACAAACATTGACTAAAAATTGAATGATATTCATCTAGCCATTTCAAAATATGATTTTCAGATCTAATCGGTTCAACCAGTCACTTAGTCTCTGCAGAGAGTGTTCAGCTATAGGACATCTGTGTCACACAAGCTCAGAGGCTATCCGGGAAGAGGGCAGCAGATAGGACTGTGAGAGTCAGAGGATACGGAGGACTTCTGGACAGCAGTGTCTTCTGGACATGACTGGGTCTTTGCACCCATAAACTTACACAGCTGTGGTTGCTTGCATGAGACCTTGCACACGATCAAGGGAGTCAATATCCAAACATGGATAAGGGAGGGATTCATGAGGCTCCTCCCCCTAGCTGAGGAACTACTAGCAGCTGATGGTTGATGGGAAAGGGTGAGTTTCTTCTGTGATATGGGCCTTGTTCGTGCTCCAGTGTACAGCTCTATACTCATGTATGCACAAGCAGCCCTGTACTCAGATGGTCATTGTCAGGTTCAAAACAAAAACCCTCCAATTACTCAAACTCCAAAAGGCACTCCAAATATCCATAAATGAGCTCAACCTGTGCTATAGGACTTCTGGTGATTAGATAAAAGCCAACATTCTTCAGGAACTTGTAGAGCAAGTTCCTGTCTACCAAAAGGAGACATTTCCCTTACCTCCAGAGGAAGGGACATATGGCTACATGTGGTGCCTATCAGTATATCAAAACTCAGGCTGGCTTCCAGATCATTCAGTATCCCAAGTAACTGTTACACACTTCAAAGTCCATGCTAGCATTCTATCCCTTCTTGTCCCCTCTCCTCCCCTAAACTCCTTCCAGCTCATGGGCTTTCCTCTACACCCCTATGGCCCCAGCTACCTATCTCCTTATAATCCTGCTATCCTCAATATGTTTTCTCTTTGCTCTGCTCCTGCTTCTCTCATTGTTTTCTCTATTCTCAATCCCCTGCTATTCTCCCCTTTATTGCTGTCTCTGGCCATGTTTGGTCTACTTCTTTCTCTCTCTGCTCTGGACTCTTCCAGATGCCTCTGGTTGTTCTCTTTCTTATATCTACAGTAAAACCATTCTTCTTCACCATACCGTGGAATAGTCATCCTGTCAATTTATACAGTTATTAAGCAAACAAGCATACAAAGGCATGCAGTTGGGCATGGGTTGAGAGGAGAGATCCAGGAGGAGTAGGAGGGGGCCTGAGGCATGATTATGATCAAAATGAATTATGTACATGTATGGAAAATTCAAAATAAAGAAATATTGTTTCCAACCTGGTATGATTGCGTCTTTTAGACATTGTTTAGAGCTAAACAACATATAGGCCATCACAAACACACCTCTTAATTTGCTTAATTTCTTAAACTTTGGTAAAGTACTAGACTCTATTAAGTATATACAAACTCCCAAAAGAATAGAAACTTGAACCTTTTTCAAGCCCACACTTAAAAAGGCAAAATGTTCTGGTTTACCTTCTGCTGCTGTGATAAAATGTCCTGACAAACAATGTAGGGAGGAAAAGGCTTTAATTCAGCTTATAATTCCCGTTTACAGGCAGTCATTGTGAGAAAGGTATGGCAGGAACCTCAAACAGCTAATCACATTACATTCAAGAAAAGAGCTTAGCCCCTTCCTTGCTTGTTCTCAGCTTGATTACTCTTATAAAGTTCAGGACCTTTTACCTAGGGAATGGTACCACCCAAAGTGGGCTGGTGCCTGTATCAATTAATTAAGTTGAATTCCCCAGAAACATGCCCACCCAATATAGACAATCCCTCCCTGAGACTCTCTTCCTAGGCCATTCTTGTCCTTGAATTTAAGTTATATATCAACAGCATATCAAATATGTGTGTGTGTGTGTGTCTGTGTTGTAAGTTTATAGGCACGGCTAAAAATGCCTCAAGTTACTCTCCAACAACATGTGGTTGTTTTTAAATAAAGAAAGTGAGACAAGTGTCCTTATTATGAAATTATGCCCTATCCAAAATAAGCTAGTAACTTATCTAAGATAAGCTAATGAGCATGAGTCTTCACTCACCAAATTCTACATAACATTGCTTCTTTCTAAAAACACTTGTGATAGCTGGCTTACTGTCATGTGCTCGTAACCCCAGAATTTTGAAGACTGTAGTAGGAGGTCATAAATTCAAGCCCAACTTGGACTACAATAGTAAGACGCTGGCTACATAAGTAAATAACTTACGCATACTTAATTATCATTCTGTAAAATTTCAAAGTCTCAGACTAGCAATGAGATAGTATTTTTAAATTGCATGTGAAATATCAATTCTACTTGAGAATGCTTTCAACATTAGCAATATTAAGACAATATTCTCACATTTTAATTTTTAATTTGCAAAGTTACAAGGCAGCACCGCAAGAAAGAAAATACAAGAAATTTGTTTCTGCTTGTTTAAAGGCCTACAGTCACAAGCCTATCAATATGTATGGTCCCTTGTTTCTACTTAGCTCCCAAAGCAGAGCTAGCAAATTGTATCACCACTGGATAAATGTATAATGCATTCATATAACTTAAGTAATTCTTAAGTCTGCTGCCAAGACTAGGCTTAGGAATTGATTTTTCAACCCACTATTGAAGTAGGAAATGCCACAGCAGTATACACACAAGATAAGACTCTCAACTTACTCTTTTCTTCTAGGTGACACTAATGAAGTAATGAAGCTGAATCCACAAAAGAAAAAACAGGCACCATGTTCTGGACTCCAACTAGCACAGCTCCCAACAAGCTGAGCCAGAGCTGGCTAAATGGTAAACATTTCTGCGGGAAAGTGAGCCCCTTTCGAAGGGACTGGGGATGGTATAAAATTACAGGATTCTAGCATACACATTTACTAAGCCAAAATGTAACTTTAGTGTATAAAAAGAAAGAAAAAGTACATAGCCTGGCACGTAACAGCCAGTAAAAGGAGATGTGGAAATGTCTAACATATGTCAGTCTATAGTTTCTAAGAACCCTGAGAAAAAGCTGCCCTCTCCATGAGGTGGATTACAGAAACAAAACCAAAGCAGACTCAGCAGTAAGAAGCTCTTCACAGGGGAGAGGGGTCCCTGTCCTGCCAGCTTTTCTATATTCTGGGACCAAGGAGGGAATGGCAAGGGTGTAGTCACAGAGCATAGCCAGCCCCACACACTCAGCTCACACAGTGTGAGGGAAAGGCACGGGATGAGGTGTGCCAAGGGCTTTGAGCTTAGCCCACATCCCAGAGTATCTCAGATACAGGACTAGATGCAACATCTCAGCTCTTTCCATACCCTGAGCCCTAGCCAGAAGCAAGAACTGAACTGATGGATTAGGAATTTTCATATTTGACATTTCAATACCGTGAGGTTTGAATAAATGTCAACCATTGTCAGGTTAATACATGTCACCCTCTTGTCATAGATCAAGTGGCATTAGGAAACAAATCATTCAAGTGAGAGATTGACAACCCTTCCTGATGACATTTACAGTTCTGGGAGGAGGGGCTCTATGTTCAGAGTCTTATAAAGTGGCAATGTGAGGAAACACAACGAGAGTCTTAATTTACTGGATATAATGTGTTGATGTAAATATTCATTATGAACGAACTGTATGAGCTATTGAAACATTGATAGAACTTTTTTAGAGCGAAAGAATCTTTAGCAAATCATCTTTATAAGCCTCAGTGTGGGAGTGGAATAATGGAGGTGATGTTTCCTGTCTTAGGGGACAAGCTGCTCCCCTTCATGTGCTTCCTAATCTTTGTTTAGCCACCTACTCTGTGAAAGGGAACTAATATTGGTCTTTATAAAATATTATTGTGAGAATTAAAAAGAATGAAATAAAAAGAATTAGGAGAGTTCCTGGTATACTGTTTGTGGAACAGATAGCTATTAAATAGCACAGATCTTCATGACAAAATATTTTACATCTCTCCTCTGTCTCCCAACCCAGAGGATCAGTATGCTGTCAGTTTTCTCTGCTGTATCTTTTGATCCCATCTCTTCTCCTCATGCCTGGAGGCTCCCTCTGGGTACTTTAGTATTTGGATCTTGCCTTGATCCCTTTTTTTCTGCCTTGGTTTTGTGTCATCTATCAATTCAGTCTCCCAGCAACTGGCATGGTGCCGTGCATGCGCTGTCTCTAAAGTCTGAAGTCAGATACAAAAGGCAAGCTGAACAGCCCTATAGGTTTGCGGATGACATCAGATAAGCAGCCACTGGTGGATACACTTGAGAACTGAACACGTGATTGATGTGGATGCTAGTAACAGTGCTTTAGCCTGGAGTACCCCCTCTGCGATGATCATAACCCTGAAATGATTAAATGGCTCATGATTGACTGATGGAAATATCAGTCACTCATGGCCCAATGCTCATGACTGCAGGGCAAAAATGAATTTCAACTGTGGTAGTAACACATCTTTTACTTCTGAAACTTCCAAGTTGAGCTTTCCATGAAGAGAAGCTGGGAATGTAGAAGTGTGTGGTTGTCTTTCCACGTGTGGTGCACTATACTTTTTGTTAACTTATTTGCGAATCATCTGGGAAATAACAAAATAATGTGATTGCAGCCTAACAAAATGTGTTAGGTGGGGGCTGGTGGGATGGCTCAGGAGGTCAAGACAGCTGCAGACAAGCCTGATGACTGGAGTTTGATCCCTGGGACCCACTCACATGATGGAAGGAGAGAAGTGACTTTAACAAGTTTTTTTTGCTGACCTCCATATGCATACCCACATGGACACAAAATTAAGACATAAAATGTATTTAAAAGGTAATCTAGTTAGGATGATGTATTGAAGATGGAAAGATAGTTACATATCTTAAATTTTAAGTGCTTAAACACAAAGTGGGGCTGTTTATGATTTAATAATGATAGTGAGCAAAGAGCTGAAGATTCTGAATCCAGTTCTGTAATCCTAAGGTCCACAATATAAAAAGACAGCTAAGACCTTTAACATAGTGTGACTAATCGTGTTAGAAGTAGTGGCAATGAGAGACTTAGTAGTAATAGCAAAATGCCAATATGAGGCCCTGGCAAGAACCTCAAATATAAATATATGAAGTTAGTTCTTCTTATGGTCCCATTATGCAGCTTGGAAACTTGAGACTTAGAAAATGTGTCTTGGAATCACATACTTACTAGTAGCACAGAGCATTATAAGCCCTGTCTTCCTGACGTCTTACTGGTTATAATTAAACCAAAGGGAAAGGTAAAATCAAGTTCCATTCATTGATCTGGAATATTAGGAGGTTAGAATTCTGTGAAGCTTAGTGAGATCCCACGACCTTTTAGAAAGATAATCACAGGAGCTTCCTGGTCACCTAAAACTGCACTAAAGCAACCTTAGGGGCTGTGATCTTGGCAGTCAACTTGACTTCATGTGGAATTAACAAACAGCCCATCAGCTGGGCACACCTGGGAGGGGTTTTTCTTGGTTGGATTATTTGAGGTGGAACCCACCCTGATCTGCATCAGTTGAGGTCAGAAGACTCACTCAAAATCTGGACCACACCTTTGTGGAGCTCACAGAAAAAGACAAGGAAGATGGAAGCTTCTGCCTTCTGCCTGCTTGCCCTCATTCTCACTGGCCAATTCCTCCCTCCTGTTCCTTTAGAGAACCCTGACGAATACAGGGATGTTTTAGTAAGTCTTGTGTCGGGCTCCTGTGGATTTCAGAGGGTTCTGTGGTGCATTCTATTCCACTAAAGAGCTACAGCATTTCCAGCATGGCTGATCCAGTGAGATGTCTTAACAAACAGCCCAGTGTCTAGGCTAATAAATAAACCTAAAACTTGTATCCCTGACTGCTAAACCCGGCTGTGCTCTTGGACCTGGGTGCAGTAGTAACTGTCCACTTCCCTTCTCAGGCCTAATCACAGATCTCTGGCACAGCCTCTTCCCTCACTGCCACCGGGATTTCATTTGGCTGCCTGGTCCTTTTTGTTTTTTTCTTGAGCTGAGGATCTAACCCAGGGCCTTGCACTTGCTAGGCAAGCACTCTACCACTGAGCTAAATCCCCAACTCTGCTGCCTGGTCCTTACTCTTCACTAAATTGTAACTCTGGCACCTCAGGTCTCCTGGTTCAAGTACTTTAAATCTTAACAAGGTGAAAGAGATGTGGGGGAGGGGAATACAGTGGGGGGGGAGGTAAAAGAGCCAATTTATGTCTGTCAGGTCCAAAGGAAACTCCAGTTCCCCAAACTCCAAAAGCACTCCAAATATCCAGACATGAGCTCAACCTGCTATGGGAGGGTTTCTGGAGGTTAGATAAAAGCCAGCACACCTCAGGAACTTGTGAAGCCAGTTCCCCTCTACCAAAAGGAATCGTTCCCCTTACCTCCAGCAAAAGGGACAAATGAATCTCTGATTAACATATACCTCTGGCATCTCTCAGCATAATCAAGGTCTATGCTAGCCTCCAGGCTCCTTCAGTCCCTTCTCACAAGTACTTGTTATACATTTCAAGGCTCCCATGCCAGTCTCCTGGCCCTTCCCTCCCCTTCTTATAACCAGGCTATTGGCACTCCTCTAGGCCTCTGCTGTTGCTATTCTCAGTATGTTTTTCTATTCTCTACCCCCTGCTCTTTTCCCCTCTCTTGCAGATAGCACTTGCCATGAACAGCCTGCTGGCCCTGTTCAGTCTACTTCTTTCTCTCCCTGCTCTGGACTCTTCCAGATGCCTCTGGATATTTTCTCTCTCTTACGCACAATAAAATGTTCCCATATCACAGAGCAGTCACGTCATTTGTTTATACAATATCGAGGTACGAAATCAACCTTGAGAGCAGGGAACTCATGAACCACCTTCACATGTTATATACAGTAGCGGAGCTGCTAATGGAATTTCCAGCTTCATGTCTGGCTCCAAGATAGAGGAAGTACTAAACGACAAGGAGGGAGTCCCTCAGGATATTGTCCATGCTGTTAGTCATAAATATAACCAGGGAAGGATATGGAAACACAACTCCTTGTAGCGGCTTTTCTTGAGGGGAGAGAGGAAGGAAGCATGGGCTTCCTCGGCAGTGACCTTTCCCAGCACACTGCTCTGAAAAGGAATACCAAGTTCAACTCACAACTTTCCATCTCAGCTCAGGACTCCTGCTCCTGGGCTGTTGTTGGTCTACACTGTCTGAATTGCTCTTCACATTTTCGCAAGACTATGAGATGCAAAAATGTGCAGTGTCTACAAGCCGTGACTTAAAAAGGCAGCATTTAAAGAGACTCTGAGCCGAAAGGAACAGAAATCACAATAACTACCCTGGCCCATGAACCCAGAGCTGTGGCTGCAACTCAGCTCCCACCTTTGCTTTGGCACAGCGGCTGGAGATTCATTGGCATGGGTATGGCCATGGCTAAGCAGGTTATCAAAAGTGAGTCACAAAGCAAACATTTTAAAGACCTTACTCCAGCAGCTCAGTGCAAACCAAGATGTGTGATGGGGATGAGGGGGGAAGGGGAGAATGGAAGTAAAAGGGGAGGGGGGAGAGAACAGAGAGGGCTAAGGAGGAGGGGAGAGGGAGGAAGAGAGGCTCTCCTGATTCCTTTGTAAAACAGTAAATATTTAAAGAAGGTTGTTTTCCTTTGTCTCTCTGAAGCTCCAGTCATCTGCTATTCCTGCTTCCCTTTGGCTCCTTTTGAGAAATGACTATTTTAAAAGCAACATATCATGGGCTGCATGGCAAAAAAAAAAAAATAATAAGACAAAATGTGGATGTATTAGGTGCCCGCCCTGTTGCACCCTGGGTGTTGTGCGCAGGTAATGTGAACAACAAGCTCTGCTGCCTGGGAGTGAGGCTGGGGGATCTGGCTTGTTTCAGTTCAGATCCCACCCTTGGCTTCCTTTCACTTAGATAAGCACCAAAAGGCTCAGAACAGAACAAAACAAAACCAGTTAGGGCTTGCTTGCCTCCTCCTGCAGCCCCGACTCTGTTTGCCTTAGTATATGCTCCCTGCAAAGGAGAGGCAGGATGGGCCTGGGCTCTGCTGGCTTTTTATCTGCGTTCATTCTCACAAGGCAGACGACATTCCATTGCGCTGAGCAAAGAGGCTGCTGGAAACAGAGGTCAGCCTCCAGAGGCCCTGGGTGCCCCTCAGCTGCCCTCCCTCCTCCCTCTGCCCTCCTCCCTCTCCCCTCCTGCCTCTCCCCTCCTGCCTCTCCCCTCCTCCCTCTCTCACACTGAGCCCAACCATTTTCTCCCACATCAATAAGAACTTGCAGACCCACAGCATCTAAAGCTCAGGAGAGAAATTCTAATGAAGCAATTAAACTGGCAGTTGGAGGTCACTCTAACACTTAGCCCTCAGAAAGGAAACCATGCTGAAGCTGCTTTCCTCTGCTGAACACACAGAGCCACTCCCCAGCCAGCAGGTCCCACTACTGCCTAGCATGAAATACTCATGGTGTATCATTTCCGGAAGCCAGAGCAGAGTTAAGGCCAGGCTGGAAATCAGGTGAATAGAAAGCACAGACATGTCACCAAATTTGTTGAAACCCACCTCCTAGTCTGCCTTTCAGGTCAGCTCTCTGTGGTATCTACCCTCAACATTTTGTTTTTTTTTTTTTTTTTTTTTTTGGTTTTTCGAGACAGGGTTTCTCTGTGTAGCTTTGCGCCTTTCCTGGAACTCACTTGGTAGTCCAGGCTGGCCTCGAACTCACAGAGATCCGCCTGGCTCTGCCTCCCGAGTGCTGGGATTAAAGGCGTGCGCCACCACCGCCCGGCTTTGTTTTTGTTTTTGTTTTTGTTTTTTTTTGTTTTTTTTTTTTTTTTTATTTTTTTTTTACCCTCAACATTTTAATAGAAGTTTTTGTTTGTTTGTTTGTTTGTTTGTTTTGTTTTGTTTTGTTTTGTTTTGTTTTGTTTTTAATAAATCGGTTTCCCTCTGTTTTCATTATTGCAGGGTGAAATTCTGAAAACTCCACCTGGTCCATGAATCCTAAGTCCTCACACAGCTCAGAATAATGAGGTTCTACATCAATAGCAGCGCCAGGAATGAGGGGATTGCAGCACAACCCCACAGGTATCTGCTGCTGCAAATCTTCAACTGCACTGATGGTAGCAGGAGGACAGATGGCAGAGACTCATTCACTCATTGGTCACTGTTTGTCTGTTAGGATTCACACATCCCCACATTGCTGCCTTTGGGTGCTGACCGCTGTGGGTTAGAGGAAGAGAGGAGATGGACAGTGGTTATTACTGTGCTACCTTAGCTAATTGTGCATCCCAGGGACAGAACACCTGACAGACACAACTGAAGGGGAGAAACGTTTAACTGAGCTGATGGCTCTATTTTTAATTTTTAATTTGTTTCCTCTGCATGCTAAAGCTAGCCGTTCATTCCCAGGGCTCCAGCTCGGGGCTATTTGTGGGCCCACCCTATCTTCCAGATGAACTGCCGTCTGTGTATACAGAGGAGAAAAGTGTGATGGCCACTCAGACCCTGGGGTTCATGCATTCCAGAGACTGAACCTGAGAGGTCCTGTGTGTCAGACTTACCATCCACTGCACCTACCCTTTCCCCCCTTTCTACTCGCAAACTGGATGCGCTTCTCTAGCTTTCCATGTTCCCAGAGCCCTTAGCAAACTAAGATCCTCAGGTCATTCAGAGAGACAGAGACAGAGAGAAAGGGAGAGGGAGAGAGAGAGAGACCATACTCAATACCAAGGACCTAGCAGTGGATGCACATAATCAGCACCAAACATTGAATGAATGAATGAATGAATGAATGAATGAATGAGCCAATCAGTCAATCAATGGAATCTAGACCTCCTGACTGCTAACCAAGGACATTGCCCACTCCATGTTTAAATTTCTAACATTTTTTTTCTTTCAGTGATAATTCAAGTCTAGGTTCACCAGAAATGGAAGTTGACTTTTATATTTTATCAAAATACTTATTCTTACTTTAGGGAGTATGATAAAGGCTTCCTTTGAGTACTAGGCCTGCTATTAATGTGTACTGCATCTTGACCTAGACCCTGGTAGTCTCTTTCTTAAGGAGAGGACACTAAATGATTTGGAATCTCTCCTGACTTTAGCATTCTGTATCTTTATTAACTCTATGACTGTTGATATTTCCACTATAATCCTAATTACTACTTTTTTTAAATGAAAAAAGGATGATTTGTCTCATTTAAGCAGCTTACCATGGTATTGTTGGTACACTTGAGCTTTTCTAAAAATGCCCTGAAGGCAATCATTATTAAAAGCATCATTGGCTGCTGTTATTTTTTCCCTTGCTAATGGCTCTGTCTAAGCAACAGGAGCAAGAAATTACCTTTGGTGTCTCCAACATGAATGATTGGCTTTGTATGAGCTTCAGCTACAGAGAGTCTTGTGTAAGACATTGGACATCAGGGTGCATTTCACATCCAGTGTCCATCTGGCCATAAAGATAAATGGCTGGGTTTCAATGCTGGCCTTCATGAATCCCTACATAATTAACTGTATCTTGGATCCAAGCTTCCAGCCTCACGAAAGCATTGCCCTGCCTGGTTCCAAACCTCTGTAGACCTCCTGTTCCCATAATCCAGTGTACTTGGCAACTGTGCACAGCAGATCTTTTCCAACTTATCTGTATGCCCTTTTCATACTTAATTATGTTGTTGTGAAGGTGATTTCTAAGTTATATAAGAAAGAATGACTTAGCTTATACAAAGTTTGTGCCATTGACAACATAAATGAATAAATCAGAAAAATATAGATCCTGTTTTCTAATTTCTCATTGTAAAAATATACAATTATAGGATCCATCTGGGTCATTGCATTAGTTAATTTTGTATCAGTGGCAGAATACTTAACAGATGCAGCTAAGGGGAGGGAGGGCTTAACCTGTCTGATGGTTCCACAGTGACTTCAGTTCATCACAACAGAAAAAGCATGGTGGTGGAAAGGCTCCATCTCTGGGGATAAAAGCATGTGAGCTGGATAACTCACATAGCATAAACCAGAAAACGACAAAATATAACATTCACGTGGATGCTTTTAGTAACCTACTTCCACCAGTCAACCTCAACACCCGAAGGCTCCACAGCCCTCCAAATAGCACTACAAGCTAAAAAGCAAGTGCTGAAATTATTAACGTTTGGGAGATACCTCAGATTTAAACCATAACACTGTGTGTCAAGTCTGTGTATTGACAGCACGACTATGATTGTTTTTATCCATGGGTTATTACCTTTTATCCTTCCATGTCATTTATGTCTGTAATTCTATGGGAACACTCAAAAAGTTCTGCACTTTCTAGCCTGATGTGATTTAGAGTCTTCCACCACTACCCACACTGACCTTTTCCTTACAAGTCTACTAAACCCAGTGACTCTGTTTCCATCCTTCTTATACTGTCATTTCTGCTGAATGTGACACCTTTAGTTACCCACTCTTTACATTCAGCTTTGCCCTAGGTCTCTCTGTGACCACTCTCTCTGGTTCTTCTCCTATGTCCCTGGTATTCTCCTCAGCTCCTGTCCTCTGAGTTTTCCTTTGCCCCTTGAATGGTAGCATGACCCCTAAGAGTTTACCTGGTTCTTCTGGAAGTGACCACATTTACTCTCATTACTTCAAGAACCACCCAAGTAAAAATACATATACAATGACATACGTATTTCCAATTAAGACCCCCACCTTGAGCACTGAACTCAACCTCTAAACTCTATAGGGTAGCCATTAAACATACAAGCTTCCTATCAAACCCTTATAGCTTAACTCTTCACTCAGTCAATGACACTGTCACTCGCCTGTTCTTTACACAAATAGTTTTAATCACACCTTTTAGTACACCCTTGTCTTCCACCATGTGATTGGTCCATGGATCTTTCACTTTGTCACCATAACAGGACTCTAGTATGAATGGTCCCTTCTTTCCATTCCTAAGACAACTGCCCAGAGTAAGACTCTACCACTCAAGCATTTCCCGCTGATTCTCAACGGTCTTTACTGAAACCTTTTCTTTCTCTGCCAGTTCATTCCTTACAATGCTCATTGTAAAATACAGTCCTGAGTAAGTTATTTCTCTGTTACGTGGAAAAATGTACATGGACTGAATCTACCTATAAGATAATTCCATTTTTTTTCTTTTTAACTAAGGCATGGAAGAGCATTCGACTTGGATGGCTTCTGTTGGCTTTGGTCTCCATGCTTCTTAACAACCGTCTACACTCCAGGCACAAATCTGGCCTTTCCCGTTCTGAAGTCCGTGTGCTGTTTTCCCATCCTTCTCTGGCAGCCTCCCTCACCCCTTGCTTCACTGGTGCTCTCTCTCACTTAAATGTCACCTCCAATGTGAAAGGTTTCCTGGCTTCCAGGACCAACTGAGTCACCCCTGCTGCTTTTTTGTGATTGTTATGGCAGTGTGCTGAGTCCTGGGTACACTAAGATAGAATTCCATTAGGAAGATTCCTAAACTTCTGCATCTAAGGAGTTTGAGCCCAGTGTCAGAGAGCCTCTCAGCTTGCTCCTAAGCCCATTGATCCTCCTAATAGTCCATTCTGCCTCTTCTCCTGATCCTTAAACATGTCTGTCTGAAATCACATGTCTCATCAGTGACAGAAGCAGGCTGAAGGCTACAGTCAAAAGCTTCTCTTTGACAGCAAACACATCTTCCACATTTTCTCAAATAACCCAATGACAAATGTGTCATAGGCCCCCTTATTAACCTATTCCAGTCAACGAGACTCAAGCTGAATGCTGAACTCTTCTCAAGCAGCGCAGTTAGTAGTGATCACATCACCCTACCGGAAAGCCACTGATCTCTGAGCCACTGCACTACAGTGACTCACAGTGTTGGTGCTGTGCACTTGTGTTATCATAACTCACCAAGTGCTTCAGGGTACCTGCTTCTCAGCACCCTTCTACCCACTGCCTAGGCTACTCGAGTTGTTTCGAACTGACAACATGTTTGGATGATCGCACATTGTATTCTGATGTATCTGCTAAGATGAATCCCTCCCAGAACCCATGTGCCAATTTAATTGCGCACCTCCATCCTCTGATGAGATCCTATTTGGGTTTCACTTCCTCTTGCTCATTCTCTCCGGCAACGGTTGGTTAAGCCAAGCCCTGCTGTGCATGGAGCTATGCTAGTAGTTAACACAAACTTTTGACTGTGTATTTGTCCCCAAGGTCCATGGAAAAATCGTTTCATGAGCACAGGAAGGAAAAACACACCCAAGTTGGGTGTGCCTCTAATCTGGGTTTTGACCTGATCACACTCTGTATGTTGAGCTCACGGGATCGTGGAATGTGCCGAGGAGCTATATCTCCACTTGTCTGCTTAGGGAAGAAGAAGTGGAGAAGTGCCTGGTGTCCCAGTCTGTGGGCAGAAAGTATGCTTCCAGCCCATTCAACTTCTATCAAAGACCCTTCTTTGAATCAGTGTTTATTATGTTTTGCTTGTAAAGAACTTTTGCAAGTCTGTAGTTTCCTTCTTTAGGCAGAACATACAATTCCATTTGCCTTTCGATTGTTTGCTTGCTTCGTGTGACTGCTGTAGAAAGTCAGCATTTGGTCTATAGGATTCTGAAAGACAGTCTTTCCATACCCCACCCACTCACTTTAAGATTTTCTTAAGGAAATATGTCTTTCTATTTATTCTGCTTGTGAATTTAGGTAATTCTTACTAAGTTAGTTCTTTACTCGATTTCAGAAGTCTTAATCATTAGCTCTCTAAATACTGCTTCTGTTATGTTCTCTGCTCTCTTCCTTCTAGGATCTTTTCTACACACCTCTAAAATGTCTGCGCCTCTTTTCTGTATTTTAGTCTTTTGGTCACCTATGCCTTTCTTCATGTTCATTATTTTGGCTTATCTTCTAGTTCATCATTTCTCACTTCATCGTAATCTAATGTTCCCAAAATCCTTATTCTGGAGTCTTCAACTTAGACAGTATTTTGTTTGTTTTGTGTGTGTGCGTATTGTTGTTGTTGTTCTAAAATTTTCAATTAGCTCTTTTTATAAGGCTGTAATGTGACTTTTTATAGTTTGCAATTTTTTGCTGAAATACTTTAGCTTGATTTTTATCTTCAGGAGCTTAGTAGTCATGTGTCTGGTGAACCCATTTTGGGGCATGGCAGCAACTTTGTTTCTGCTGCCTGTTGTTCCGCTGCATCTCATTTATGTAATAGCATCTCATCAAGTACATGCCTTCAGCAGGCTGCTGGCTACTGCACATGAAAATGTACAGAGGGTCTAGGATGATTCTCTCTCCCCTTAAAGAAAACTTTAGATTGCTTCTCCCATTTTCCATACCTGAACATATAAGCAATACAAGATTTGCTCTCCTTCATCCTGAAATCTGTGGGGAGGATTCAATTGACTTGAAGCTGGGAAGCTTCATTTTACTTAGGTTATAAATTGTTTTCTTTTTTTCCAGGTCCTGTACCTGACTGGGTTCAGAGCTCACTGTCATCATTACTCCTGAAGCCCCAGATGTACCGCTGACCTTTTCTGAATGGTCAAAACCCTTATGGGCAAAAACTGTTTCAAATACTGTGTTCTCATTTCACATATTAAATGAGACATTGCTGCATTTAGAAAGCTGTTTTTAAATGTCATCCAATTTTAAATACCTTTTTTTTTCAGGAGAGTTTGTCCAAATTAGCATTAAGGAATATGGATGTCCCACATATATTGCCTTGCCCACTTGGATTCTGAAGGCTAGTTAGGGGTTGATTATATAGTCATGAGTCAAATGAAGATTTTCTAATGATCCAGCCTTGTAAAATAATGCATAAAATGCACACCATCACACTTGATGGTTTTGAAACATGGAAAAACTTCTGGATTTCCTTGAGACAAATTCAAAAGAAGCTAGCCAGTTGGAGTGTGTGCAAGGAACTGGGAGGAAGCTAAAATAGGAAGGTCCATTAGCCAAGAGAGCCTGGTTTTATATTAGAATAAAATACCTATAAACAAATGAAACATGGAAAAATCTTTGCTGGAAAGTCAGTAACCAAATCCTTTTAAATTGCAAAGATAAAGAAAGCTTTATTCATTCTTACATTAACTACAAAGTATTCATTTCAAGTCAGAAAGCTGTAGCTATTGGTAGCTGCAGCAAGTCTTTATCAATAAACCCACTAATAGTCACATCTTTTCTGTACCCCAATCTCCCAGCCTGTTTATCCTATCGGAATATTGATTTGTTCAAGTAGCAAAATGAAAAATTCTCATCATAAGAAAAGTAAAAATCTCCAGGAAAAACAGAAGCTTAATGATAACCCATCTAAGCTAGTTATGACAAGTCTAATGATAACCCATCTAAACTAGTTATGACAAGTCTAATGATAACCCATCTAAACTAGTTATGATGAGTCTAATGATAACCTATCTAAACTAGTTATGAGGAGTCTAATGACAGCCCATTTAAACTAGTTATGATGAGTCTAATGATAATCCATCTAAACTAGTTATGACCAGTCTAATGATAACCGATCTACGGTAGTTATGACAAGTCTCCCAGTGGGCTTCCCTGACCTAGTCTGTGACCATCATGTCCATAAGGAGGCTTTGTAGAAATTTTCCCTTGCACATACACACACACACACACACACACACACACACACACACACACACACACACACTGTCTCTTCTTCCTTTCCCCAGATAATGGACTGAGATAGGGCTATTGAAGTTTTTCTTGATATGAAGCAAACAAATAAAATAAAATAAAAGCTAATAATGCTAGAGTAGGGACGCCGTTGTTGAGCAAACCTCTATATTGGCCACCTCCTGATCAGATTTTAAGCAAAACAAACAAACAAAAATACAATGTCCTTATATTTAAAGTTGCTACGAATTGGCTCTCTTACAACCCTGGCACTGAAAACATCCTCAAAATAAATTAGCTCACGTTGTAATGGTAATGATGTTTGAAATTTGTGTCACTTACCATAATACACGAATCTGTGGCTTCAAGGTCAAAGTCAGTGATGTTCAAGAGAACACGGTGATGTTTTTCAACTTGAATGGTCCAAGAACACTCAGTATTAGCGCTGTAGCTATTGGGGTAATTTGGAGAATGAATCTCTCCTCTGGGAATCTGGAAAACCCCACCACAACCTGCAAGTAGAAAATCCAGTCCATCCATGAATGGAATCCCTGGTATATGGAACTGTAAGTCATCTGGTTCTAACCACAGATGACCAGACTCCTACTTGGCTTGACCACTGCTTTGGCTCTATGCTAAAACTTTCAAGAACGAAATGTCCATTTTCACTCATTCATCTCAAGACAAATGAGGGAACATGGATAATATGAGTAAAATACTTCAAATACTATAAATCTTGGTGCCCAAGTTAATTATAATAATAATGTGGCTGAGAGTATAATTCAGTCGGCAGAGTGTTTGCCTGGCATACACAAGAACTTGGGTTCAAACTCCAGCACTGCATAAACTATGCACAGCCATGCATCCTATAATGCCAGTATTCCAGAGGTAGAGACAGGAGGATCAGAAGTTCAAAGTTATCTGTTACTATTTGGAAAACTTACTATGGTCTAAATATAATCATGTCTCAAAAAAATATAACAGCAAAAATAAATACAAATGGATTCATTTTTCCACAGACCATGAAGTATCCCTATGTTCTCTAAAACATCCTAAGAATCATCCTTGCCTTTGAAATGCTAGATGATCCAGTAGCACATAATGTCATAAATTACTTAATGTCTGCCTTTGAAATTGTTAATATTCTAAATAAAGTTCATTACTCAAGTTGTGTTTAATTCTTACAATGTTTCAAATATTTGTTAATAAAAAGTCTATCAGTGTAAAGCATTGTTCCTTGGATTTATGATAATACAAACAACTGATAGGAAATAATTTCAGCACTGTTTTCTGGCAGTGGGACTAATCTTAATACTCCCCATATAAATTAATATGTAATTCACCCTAAGAGAGACTTCACATAGTGCCATACTGCCTTGGCGTTAAGGAAGTGGCCTAAGGTGGCCTCCTGTCACATCTCTTCACTAGCATACAGATATGGGACCGTGAGCAAGTGACTAAGTTCTCTAAACTTCCTTCCCCTTCCCTGCTTGTCAGGTGAGGGGATACAATAGACTTCCCTCACAGTGTAAATTGTAAAGATTAAATGGGATAATCCTCATTAACTAAAACAACTACCTGGGATATAGTAACCATTCTATGAACACTGCTAACCTCAGCAATCCTGTGAGGGTCTGTTAAAAAAAGATTGGGATATAACGTGTAATTTAAAAGAATCTGCAACAAGAAACTTATTTTGACAACCTAAGATCTTGAGCAGAAAATCACCATTGCAACACTTAATTTTGAATTTGACAAATTTAATGCTTATTTCTTCTTACATTTGCTAAGAATCCAAAGTCTACTCTATGGCATGAGGTAACTGGATGCTTATTGCTGTTTAGATTTGACCCCGGGGAATAGGAACTAGTCACGTGTCAGCAAATGAGTCTTTACAACCCCCTCGATTCTGCTCTAACATGAACTGGTGTGATGATATATTGTGTACCCTAATAAAGCTTGCCTGAGGATCCAAGGACAGAGCCAGACACTAGATTAGACATAGAGGCCAGACACTGGTGTCAAGTACCCTTAATCCTACCACTTAATCCTGACGGATCTCTGTGAGTTCAAGGCCACACTGCAAACAAAGCCAGGCAGTGGTGGCACACACTTTTAATCCTAGTACTGGTAAGCACACATGCCTTTAATCCCAGGAAGTAACATGGCTGGGCAGAGATAGGTATATAAGGTGTGAGGAGACAGAAATTAAGGCACTTCAGCTGAGACCCTTTTGGGTGAAGACTCAGGATTTCAGTCAGAGGATTTGTGGAGTTGGTGAGGTAATAGGTGGTGACTGTGGCTTGCTCTGCTTCAGTGATCTTTCAGCTTTCACCCCAATATCTGGCTCCAGGTTTTTTATTATAAGACCTTTTAAGAGTTCAAAAAGCAGATTGGCCTACTTATATCCTTAGAAAGTTGGACTACATCATGATTTTTAAGGAAGACCATGTGTCAAAACAACACTGGCTGCCCAAGAAGTGACAAAGTCATCGGGGTATAACTCTCATGCCTTTCCCCAATAATTTTGTAAAATTCAACTAGGCTTCAGCTCAAAGACTTTCAGGACATCTCCATATATTCACTTACCTCCAGGGACTGCTCGCCATGAAGCATTGAAACCTCTCCCATTTATATTGTTATCAGTCTTAAATCGGACTGCTAGCTCATTTCCAGTGCTGGAGATCTGCATGGGGTTCGCTGATGGTGTTTGGACACACAACTGAGCCATTCTCGGAGAGTGAAAATCAAGGCCTGTATAGATCTAACAAGGTACAGAAAGGGACTTTAGTTAAAAGATACAGCTAAGCATTTCAGCCCCCTCCTCAGCGGCCTTTTTACAACCAACTCTTAGAAACTCTCATGACTAGAGATTAGTCTCTCCGGGTAGGATGAACTATAAATTTGAACTGAGTGTTTATAGGTATTCCTTCTGCTTTAGGAAGACCGAATTTCAATCACCCACGGAATACCTATTCGCTTCATCAGATGGAACAGTGAAGTTAGGACACTGAGATTATTGCAGCATCTTCCCCAACTTTTCCTTTCTTCTTTTTTACACATCTAAGAATTCTTGCTTTCTCTAACAAAGACACTGAATATAACACAGTACAGAGACAGACTTTCTAAATCTTCTAAGTCTCAGGAGAAATATGTTTTTGTTTACAAATATTGGGTTCACTGAAGGCTTTTGATTTTCTGGTTACATTTTAAGGAAATTCCATCTACCCTGAAAATTGAATGTTTTATAAGATTAGGAATCAAACAAAACAGGTTCGCTTCTTCAAAGGGAGTCAAAATACAACCCACAGAAGTGTATTCTGGACATCACAGGAGTGCCATGCATTCTTCCATCCCTGCTCTGAAGAGTGTGGTCAGGATTTCCCACCTCCTGTGTAGAAGACCTCTAAGTCTGTAAAACATGTCTGCAGCCCTTAGGCACTTCCAAATTCGCCCAACTATATGTCTGACTGGAATCCCTCAACTCAGTGGTACATTCTGCCAGAAAGGGTTCCCTTTCCTCAGCCCTACCTCCTGTAGAACTTACCCACTGGACACTTCTTATCTGAAGTGTGCATGGGACTGGGGGTGAGGGGACGAAATGACTTAAAAAAAAAGATACTGACATCCCCTACTCCCATCTTCAAGGTCTTCTCAAAGTTGTTCTGTAGAAGACAGACCACTTTGGCTGACTGTTTTCAGGTATATTGATGTCTGAGTCTTTCACAGCATCCAGGGCCAAAGCCAGGAAGCCATCTCTGGGTGAGATCTCCATGGGCAGCAACCCCTCACCTCTGCAAGCAGGGCCTCTTTCTTTCTGCTCCTCCACATGCCCCCCTTCTCTGCTCACCCTCAAGCCCTCTGCTGACTGATAGGGAATTCACTCAAGAGTTCCCTGGGGAGACAGTGAGAACAAGAAACTTACTTGGGAGGAGGAGTATATGACTTGAATCTTTAATGATTTCTTTGTCTGATTATCTCTCCCCACATCCTCCCACCCCAGCTGGGCAGGAACCGCTAAAGAAAAAGAAACTGCTGTTTCCCAGAGGGCTGAGCACAAGCCCCGTAATTGCAAAGGAATGAAGCAGGCAACTGCACTGGGCTTATTTTCATTAGGAGGAACTAGCCTTTGTTGTTTGTGAGGCCCTGAAAGTGCCATGAAAAGCCGGGCTTCGGGAAGAGCCGCCGCTGGCCCTGGCCATGAACGCACATGTGAATGGAAGCTCATCTAGGTAAGAAACCTTTTCCCACAGCTGTCTTTCCTACCTCTGCCCAGAACGCAGTCCCCAGCGTTCTGAGGAGAGCAACAACCAGCACATATTCCCAGAGAACACCCGCTGCCGGCGCTAAGTGCTCACAAAGAAACCTACAAGTCGGCAAAATCATCTTTGTTTTTCCTGTTCATGCATCCCCTTGAGATCACAAACATAATGGGCATGAGTTGGCTCGGCCCAGAAGCCTCCAAAAGAATAAACACTGCCACTTCTGACATTCTTTGCTTCCCCTGGCGCTGGACTCAGCTCACAAATGACCATTGCTGAGAGGCCCTGGCTGTGCAAACTGCCCACACCAAGTGATTGTCTTGCTTTATTGTACCAGGGTGGGGATTTCCTCCCCATGGTGCTGATCCAGGCTCTGCACAGAGCTTTCTTGGAGACTGAAACAAAATCAGCCTGGGATTTCCATAACCAAAACAACAGAATGGCGATTTTTTGGTTCCCATAAATAAAACTGATAGTTAGCACATGGTCAAAGCAGGAAAGGATGGAAAGAATTTCAGGGTGTGATTCATTCCACTCCCGCTTGTGACTAAACTCTGTGGGGGAAGAAATGGACCGCTGATCAGAGATTAAAGTGGGTTTTTAGCCAATGCCCAGAATGGAGGGTATTTCAAAGCCTGCGGTTTTCATCTGTTCTCAACATCGCTTTCTGCCCTGTTAGCTCCATTTATTTGGAAGATCAAGTCAGCATTCCAGGGTTATGAGTAGCTCTATGGCTGTTTGGGCAACTGGCCACTTTCTGGACTGTGATTCTTTAAGGGAAGAGATGGCTCCCAGTAAAATTTAGTGGATCCCAGAAAGTCCCGTGTCTTGTGACAGTAAGTCCTACGTGGCTGTGCTCAGCCGAACAGGAAACGTGAGTGTGCAAATTGAGAAAGTTAGCCTTGTTTCTGGAGCACACCCCCATCTGGGTAACAGATTGAGAAACCTACTGTCAATATATTATCAGTGACTAAGGAAAGAAAAAAAAAGAAAAAAAAAAAACCTTCTCAGGCTGATTTCAACATTGACTCACTACAGAACTCTCCATCTGAGCTGAGCACCGGCAGAGATATGAAAAAGGTTTGTGCACAAAGGGCCAAGGAGTTAGTTCTCTTTTAGCCTCCAGGCCTTGACATCTGCCTTCAAACTGTGCTCTTAGGAGAACTTGGGAGCCCACAGAATGATCAGTTTGTCCTAATAAACATAAACCCAAGCAGGCTGCCACCTCTTGTCACAGACATTTTTGAACTGGCCTAGGACGCCTACCCCCAACAGGGCTGCTTAATGCCTGGAGTCTCTCTCATTTTGTCCCTATGCTCTTGAGACTGCTTACAGAGAACACCCCCTTGTCTCTGCTTTCTCACGTAATGGGTGTGACAAGACCCAAAGCACAATGAATCCATTTACATTTTGCCAAGTGGGCACAAATCACATGTACTCTGGAATATGAAAACGAAGGGCTTGGAACCTGGAACAGTGTGCGGGGCTACAGAGAGTCAGCTGCCAGCCCTCAGTAAGTGTGAAGGGTTTTATGCAATCAAGTAGTATTCTTGTTGGTACGGAAAGGACTTCAGCATCCCGCAGGTCTTTCTTCAAGCTCTAAGGGTGAATTTCAGGAGGCACCTTGTTCTCTCCTGAACACCATCCCTCCAGCAATACGGAGGCCTGGCACAGTAGCAGTGCCAAACAGAGAAGGGTATAAATGTGACCCAAGACCTCACGCTCTTGACTCTAATTGCCTTTCTCTTACCATTGCCTCCTTGTAGAGGGAACTGAGGTGCTGAATGTAATTCCTCGTGACTGAACCCACTACTTGGGCTCGAGAACCCCATTTCTTCTTACCAAATAACTTTTAAGGGTTAAAGTTTTCCTATAAAGTCCTCTCTGCTGTTTTCAGTCTTCGCCCCTACCTCATTTTATCTGGGCTTGCACAGAGCAGTGAGTGGCGATTGGGTTCATTTCTTAGGCCTTCCATGTGGAGGAGAGTACTTACTAGAGAAAACTATATCAAGATGAACATATGGAAAACATCAGTTTTGAAGCCTTGAAGCTCTTCCCCTCCTAGTTGCACAGAAGAGAGCATGCCCAAGTAAAGCCCAGGATCTACAAATGTGGGAGAGGCTTGAGTTGTGTATATGACCTGTGAAGGTAGTGGGTGCTGGGGCCCAGTACTCTCAAGGGCCTGCATTTACCTCAGCTCACTAACTCACTCTAATTTTCTTTTCTTAATAACTGTCTCTATGTCTATTTATAACCATGTATCTCTGGTCTACTTCTTTGCCCTGGGACACATGAAACTGGAAACTTTATCAAGTGCTATCCATGGCTATAACATCCACCCTCCAGGTGGTCACAGAAAAGCCCATGAACTTGAGACTTGGTTTTGACAACTATCATAGGTGAACAGAATCCTCCTCTCCTTTCTCAGGACTATTCACATCCAAATGTGAATGTGGTCATGTACAATCATTGTGATCCAAATGTTCGTTATTACCACATGTTAGTCAGAGTTGTGGATGCTTTTGCTCATTCACAAACATTGGATGCTTATTCTCCACTGGGTGATTGGCACTATGAATACGAGGGAAAATAGAACACACCAAATACCCAGCCTTGTGGAGTCTACATATGATTAGCTGTGGAATGATATGAAATAGTAGTCCCCATAGCAGAGGTGATGGGGACACTAAGTGACTTAAAAAACAGCCCCCTCCAGCAGCTGCTGCTGGACCTCCAGCAGAACAGTGGCCAGAGTCCCAGGCAGCCGCTGCGGCTGTGAAGGCAGTACTGGCACACGGGGCCAGTGTGCTGGGGCCCATCTTCCCACTGACTTCCAAAGGCAGAGAGTTTTCTCTGAGGGAGATTCCTCAGACCCCTCAGACCAGAAGGAGAAGTGTGGGCTGCTGAAGATCCCAAGCACAGTCTTTATCAACAGGGGCCAGAGATAGGGGGACAATGAACAGCCTTCTATGTATGCCTCAAAGGGCCCAAACCCAGCCTGCCCACTTGGGCTCCTTCCTTTCATTGGCTCTCCTTTCTCAGGTCTTTGCTTATACTGTTCTCCAATTGCTGCTGGTTGTCTTTACCTCCTAGTGAACCGGCCCCAGCCAAGGCCCACAGGCACTACTAGGAGAGAAGTCCAACTGGCATATTAATCCCATATGTCTGCTAACACTATACACAGAGAGGAGATACTTGTTAGAATGTCTAAGAATAGAACAGGCCTCGCCACTGGAAAGAATGTGGGCTCTCCCCAGCTCTACCCTAGCTTTTGTAGTATACTGAAAACCAATCTGACTTCCTACCTCCAGGGAGTCAAAGTTGCAGTTTGAGTGATACTCCACATCAAAATCATGGATGATGAGCTGAATGCTCTTCCCTGGGGCCACTCGAATGTTCCAGATACACTCCTTGTTGTGAGGATAGCTGTTAGGGTACCCAGGGCTGCTGAAGGAGCCCTCGACTCCAGACATCTCCCCACCACAGCCTGTTGAACAACAACAACAAAAAGCTCAATTAGTGCACAGTGGTAACAGGCCACAACATATCGAAACCTTCATCTCACCCAAAGTGACAGAGAATGTGCAACGCCTGATATAGGAGAAAAGTTACAATACAGCTTAACTTTGCCATCATAGAACAGTGAGAAGAGTGCGAGGTACAGTTAAGTGGTAGAACACATGCTTAGTGTATACAACGCCCTGGCTTTAACGCCAGGCAGAAGAGTCAACACAGGGAAAAAATCATAATTATTACATTTATTCTTTTAAGATAAATGCTTATTATTTTCTTTCTATAATAATGCTGAGTTCTTGTTCCTACCACATCTAGATTTTCTTCATTAGCTTCAAGTGAAAAGACCTCAGAGGAAGACAGTGGATTTGGGGAGTGGGAGTCCTGAGTTAACAGCAGGATTTGGAATCACTAAAGGACCTGATTCTAGCTGGGCATGGTGGTGCATGCCTGTAATCCCAGAAGGGGAGGTAGAGACAGGATCAGGAGGACAAGGTCAACCTCGGTTCCAAAGCAAGTTTGAGCCCAGCCTGTAACACCTGAGATTGACTCAGGAGGCGGGAGGGAGGGAGAAAGGGAGGGAAGGAGGGAGGGATCCCTGATTCTGGCTCCAAGTTCCTTGAGTGCTAGTTAGCATCTTCTTCACATGCTTTCCCCTCCTTCCACTTGGAACTTTTGTTCCCAGACGTTAAATCTGTAGTTCAAGGCAAGACCTTTCCTATGTCTTATAATATTTCTCCTTTTATTTCAGGGGTAGGGAGATGTCATTTTGAAAAAAAAAAAAAAAACGTATTTAAAACTAAAACTATTGACATTATTTTTAGACTGGAGAATGGTCTAAAAATAAATGTCTCAAAAATTAGGAAATATTTTTCCTACTGTAAAAACATGCTGAAAATACTCCTGAAGCCAAAGCCAGCAGAGCTTGTACAATTCTTCAGTACATCTGCTCAGCCTAGGGGGCACCATTCACAGTCCACTTACTCTAGACATTGGCACTTCCTGAGTTGGGGCAGCACTGGGGCCGGTGCTATGTTCAAATATGGAAATTTTCCCTAAATTACAAGTGTGTGAAGCCATTGTGTCTACACACGAGGGTTCTTGATAACCATTTTATCAAATAAACAACCCAATGAGAAAGCCCTTCAAGAGAAGGAACAGGGAGCTCAGCTAGCACATCTCTGCGTCTTTATTTAGGTTCAGTCCATCAGCCAATGGAATCCATTATTTTAAAGTCAAAGTTGACTCATCTAAGCCTCTGCATCCCATTTTCCAGTTGTTTCCAATTGTTTTAGACTTCCTTGTGAATTCCTTTGGACCTCACAGGATACTAACTCCCTGACTCATCACTGTGCACTGGGATGATATGAGATTCTTGACTCCAGTGTGACTTTGGAAGCTGAAGTTACAGCCTTGTAGATCCACAGTACCCTCTCCTACAATTCAAGACCAATAATAAACAAGGTGTGTTTAATAATACAAGTAAAATACTGTTTTTAAGTGTATCATATTATGCTCCCATCAATAGTGAGTGAGAGTGTGTGTGTGTGTCTTTGAAGAAAATAAAGATGCAGAGATGTGCTAGCTGAGCTCCCAGCTCCTTCTCTCAAAGAGCTTTCTCATTTGGGTTGTTTATTTGATAAAATGGTTATCAAGAACCCTAGCGTGTAAACACATGGCTTCGTACACTTGTAATTTAGGAAAAGGCTGCATGTTTGAACATAGCACAGGCCCCAGTGAGGCTCCAACTCAGGAAGAACCAATTTCTAAAGTAAGTAGACTATGAATGGTGCCCTCTAGAGTTTTTATACTTTTTTTGGTTTTGTGATTTGTTTTTTAATTATTTTGAGACAGGGTCTCATTACGTATTCTTGGCTAGCCTGGAACTCACTATGTAGACCAGGCTAGCCTCATAAACATCTGTCTGCTTCTCAGAGTGCTGGGATCAAAGGTGTTCCCCCTAAACCCGACCCTTAAACGGTCTTAATACCAACAAGAATGAATGGATGATCATATCACAGTCTGTTGGTTTGGTGACTTTGGGTCTGGGACTTGAAGCTGTAGGAAGGGGTTAGAAAGGGAATGCTGAAGAAGAAAAATGTCATGACAACCGACAATTATCTGGACGGAAATAACACAGGAGGTGATTTCAGACTACCAATACCCTCTGTGTGGTCATGCCGCACTTGTGGTCAAATGAATAACAAAATCTAGAAGAAATAGGGAGGCTTTTAATAACTAGATATTTGTGACTGAAATAGATGAAAGCTGACTTAGAAAAGGCATTCCAGGGCTCTACATGGAGAAGCTGACAAAATGACAAAAAATTCAACCACTGAGGGAACAAGAGCATGATAAATCAAAACTTTTCAGAGTTGCAAATTGAGTAGAACAGTGATGTGGCTCCTTGCACCCGGTTTGTCAAAGGTTTTCACAGAGAGAGCAATATTTGTAACTTTAACTAGCATGTTAGGTCAAACACTTTCAGAAACAGTCTAGTATATGGGCGAAATGTGGATTGTGACATCAGACAAAGCGGGCTTCAATGGATGCTAGGACTAGGACGCTTGGTGGATGAGTAATTTACCATCCCTAATCTTCAGACCAGCTGCGTGAATGATAGTCCCTAACTCATGGAGTTGTTATACAGGTTAATAAAAGAGTCAAAACAAGGTTTTTGGAACAGTGTCTCTGCTTGTACTATGTATTATCTCCTAGCAAGAGTTTACTAGATATGAGAACACACTATAAAAACAAACAAACAAACAAACAAACAAACTTGGGGCTAGGAGTAATTATTGGCTAAAAATTCATTGTTCATTAAGTTATATGGTTTTAAAAACTGCTTATATGTACATGGTAGTGCAGTTTTTAAAATGCTTTTTTAAAGCACATGACAACATGAGGCAGGCAAGAACAGTATTCAAGGCTCACTTTAGAGATGATCTCTGAGTCCAGGTCACTTAGTGAACTACTTCAGGGAAAATTCTCAGTTATCCTGACACCCTGCCCCCAGATCCCTAGTCCAGTGCTGGTCCCGTTAAGCCCCTCGGCCAGGCCAGCCTGACGATGCTGTAGTGCTGTCATGGCTGCATTGGACACTACCCTCCTGGCTGCTCTGGTCACTAACTAAACAGAGAATTACCACAGCAACCTAGATAAAGGAAGTGGAGCAAAATCTTTTCATCGACGTTGAGGCTAATCTGCCACTGTCTAGTATGTTAATGTCACAGCTACCAGCTGAACTGGACTACAATAGTGCTTTGAAGCGACTCACATGTTTTTCCAGTTTTAAACAGCTGATCTTTAGAAAACCTTTACCAGCGACTGATAATCTATTTGATTTTCTTTTCCTCCAAATCCTAGTCATCAGCTGAAAGGAAGCATTTACCTTATCAGCAGGAAGCACACTGCTCTACAGGGCTCTGAACAAGGAAAAGTTGAAAGCTGTTGCTTAGTCTGTTTATTTTGATACATAATTAAAAATTTTGTTCATGAAATAACTCACCTAATACTATTTTTTTGTTTTGTCTAAAACAAGCTATGAATTTTTAAATTGCAGCACAAAGTACAGTAAGGATCTCTTATGAGTATTCTGTCTTTAAGCCAATTATGATCAGAGGCACAGAGTTTCAGGTCACCCTCTTATGCCCCAGGATCACTCAAATTGTCATCACTTCACGTTTGGTGTCTTCCTAACACTATAATCCAGAAGCCAATTCGTCAGGAGAGGTGCCAGTATGGAATAAATATGACCAAAGCCCACTAATACTGGAGGAAAAGGAACTGGGAAGGCAGCTTCCAGGGTACTCTCATTCTCTGTTCTCTACTTCCTGAGGGTCACGCCTGAGAAGTCAGCATCTGATGGTACAAAGCTCGAGAGCTGGAGTATAGTAAAAACAACTACAATACAAACAAACGTTAAACACAACAAAATGAGAAGGCTCACAAACTCAACTAGATATTTATTTATAATTCAATAGTCTTTCTGTGACCTAGAAATGCAAACTTTTGTTCTGTTATACCTTGAAATGGGCTCAGTGGTCAGGTCAATTTACTTCTACCACATAAAAGGCCTCAGTGTGCCTCTGCCTGTAATTGGCTGTCTCACCTCTGGTTTGTTTTATTGAAGCTGATTTTATTTCAAGCACACAAACACAAAGACTCGAAGGCAGAGCCTCCATAGAAGAGCCTTGTTTTATTCTCTGTACTGAAATTTAAAAATTCACAGCTTATGTCAGATACAACAGAAACAATATTAGGAGAGTTCTGTTATGAATGCAACTTTCAGTTATCTTTAAAAGCAAGCAAGTTTAGTAACAGCCAGAAAGAACAGGAAGGAAGAGCTGGAGAGGACTGAGGAAGACTAGGGAGTGGGGTTCCACTCTTGGCCAGGGAGGTTCGATGGGGATTAACAATGAAAAGCTGGGAATTTAGGGAAGGTCCAAACCATGACAAGGTAAACTATTTCCTGGTTCTTATGTTTTACTTCATTCCATAATCATCTTAGCTTGTGCTCTCGTTCCCACAGATAAATGCTAACCCACACATATTCCCTAGAAATTAATCTGCAAATTCTAAAGTTGAGGTCAGTAGTCTTGACAAATTTGGGAGACTGCCTTTGCCTGTGACTTCAAAGGCAAGAAATGTGAGATTTTCCCAAGGAAAAGGAGGAAACAGGAAGACAGAAACAAGGGAGCAGACAAAGCCAGAGAGGAGAGTTGTCCAAAGTCATGGAACAGAGCATCCTGGAGTAGGTAGAGTCATTTCCCAGATTCATGTCCACCAGGAACCTGAGATTGTGACAGGCAGGTCTTTGCAATGTTATCACAACGAGGAGAGGCTACTAGATTAGGGTGAAGCTGAAATCTAACACAACTGAGGTCCTCACAAGAAGAAAGAAAGTGAATCCAACACCAAGAGGAGGCAGAAGTTGAGGTCATAGCTGCTATAAGCCACAAAAACCAAGAATTT